TCAAAATTAACAATTACTACCTGATAATTACTTAATAAGGTAAAACCAAAAAGCCCAAACTTTCTGTATGATTATTTTTAAATTTCACGTATGTTATGTTTATTTATGTAATCTTCTTTAAAATCAAAGAAGCATTGCCATACATTACTAACATCTACAGATGCATGAGCAATACATTTATTTTTATTAGATTGAATTAAAAAAGCCTCTTTTATTTTTCTTTTAGAGGCTATCGCTTCTTTCATTATAATTTTGGCGTTATTAAAATTTATTCTGTGTCCCAAGAATGCTGACAAATCTTAGATTTGTGAAAATCTCCCTTTCTTAAATAATCTTTATGTTCTTTAATTCTGACATTTAAGGGTCTAGATATTTCACCAATGTAAAATTTATCGCATTCACAGGGTATTTGGTATATTACATTTTTTGTTTGTTGTTCTGTATTGATTGGTTTAGTATGTGATAAAATGGATCTAAGTGTATTTTGTGTTTTGAAAGATGTTCGTATGTTATATTGTTTTCCTATCCTTCTTATTTTTCCGAAACGCCTCGTGTGTATGGAATTGTAAGTTGTATATATATTGTGTATTGTTATCATTGTGTCTATGATTTGGGGCTTGTATTTCGTTTAATGTTTTGTCAATAAAATATGGTGGATAGTCGTTTTTGATTAATGTATTTTTTATGTGGTTTATATCTCTATTTAATGAAATGTTGTCTGTACATATTATTTTTGTCCTATCATATAAACCTTTTATCACACATTTTTTTACACTTATACTGTGATTAGATGTGAAATTTAAGTATCTATCTGTGTTTGTGGGTTTTCTGTAAACATCTAAAATTAGTTTATTTTGAAACTTTGACACTAAAACATCAAGAAATGGCAAACGATTACCTCTCTCTACTTTTAATATAAATTTTATGGTAGATTCGCGAGAATTTATATAATCCAAGAAAATGTCTATTTCAGAAACGTTATGTGGCCATATTGCAAAAATATCATCAACATAACGCAGCCATATTACAGGCTTTTTTGAAAAACTATTTATTGTATATTTTCAAAATCTTCCATAAAAATATTACTTAACAAAGGAGAGAGAGGTGATCCCATTGCCATACCGAAATCTTGTTGAAAAAAATCATTATTTAATTGGAAATAAGTAGTTTTAACACAAAAATATAAAAAAAAACTTATTTTTCGACAATATGTACTGTAATAATTTTTATTTCATTATCATTGTCAGGCTATTGGCATTGTCATCCCTGTCAATTTTTGGAAAATTTTATTTATTGTGCCTATCATCATCCTGCATAAACACGTAGAATGGAAGTCGAATTTGTTATCATTGAACAGGGAAAACAGAAACTGTTAGTCCACAGTTATTAAAAAGGCACGAATGTAGAAACATCTTTTGTTTTTGTTTAGTTTGGTTTTTATTAAATGGACCGTGAGTTTAAATGCCTTGTATTAATGCCCTCAATTAACTGAATAATTACTAAAAATATATTAATTAAAAAAATGTATTTTTGTATAAAAAACAATGTTATTAAAATAAGCTAGATAAGTGTATTTTAATTGATTATTGTCTTTGCTTCTGGAATGAAAATTGTCTTTGTTTTCAGTTGATCTAATCCAACGCGAATAAATTCCTGATTTTTTGGTGATTTTCAGATTTTTTCTGTATGTATATTATATTTTCTTGTATGTATTTACAAGATGTGAATATTGTATTTTTTTTCCTTATTAAGAACACTTTACCATCATTTTTAAATTTATTTTACATGGGTGTATGTATACTATTCGTTCGGAAATAAATTTATTATTATTATAACAAAAAAAAATCTCTATTAAACAACTAAAAAGAAATTATTTATTAGAATTTACGCACAATTTATCTTCAGAACGTTTCCTCAGTGTCTCCGTTTAAGTGTTAATACAAAAACACTATTAAAAAATTAAAGACTTTACATTTATTGGCCAAATAAAGTAAGCGATTTTCTTTAAATTGCTCTCCTGAAAAGTAGTAAAAATCGAGATACGCCTTTTCGTCATAAAGCCGACGATATGTACTATCCAATCCAATTGCAACTCCAATTTTGTCTCAAACTTTTTATTTTTAATTCTATTATTTTTGTAACTTGGATCGGATAAATCATATAGAATTTTGAGTATTTTTACAGCCTTAATTGGGTGCTCTGTTAACTCCATTTCTGAATTGCAACAAGAAAAAACACACAAAATAACGGAAAATTGTTGTGGAGATCCCTCTAGCATACATTCTTATATGGGACACCGTGTATATGAATCACATAAAATAAACGCACTTGAAAATAAAATTTATAATAAGGTAGTTAGTACATAATTTATTAAAATATAAAAACAATTAGCGCGATCACTTTAATGATAATATTTACGAATCTTTTTATATAACTATCAATATTTTATTCCCAGGCCTGCTGAAATAAAATACACTTTGATTACTTTTGATTTCGGCTTTGTAATAAACAGTGGAATTTGTGGGAGTATAAAATTAACATTTAAATACACTTCTTAGATGGCTACTCTGATAAATTATGGATATAGAGATCGATATATCTGTTGATAATGGGTATTAATAGCATCGGATTGAAAAAATACATTTTTTTTTGTTTTTTAATGCGTATAGAAGCAAATAAGTGGAAAATTACTCTGTAAGATGTTTTTCCGAAAAACTCACCGGTTTTTAAATAAAAATTATTCTAATATATGAGGGGTGGTTTCACCCCCTTAGAATTCGAGTTTCGAAAAATCCCTTCTTATCGAACCTCTACACCCTAAAGTCAATCCGTTTTCCAAAAATCAGCTTTTTACGTCAAGCGTTTTAAGCACGATCGTGATTAATCAATGACCAGATTTTTCGAAACACCCTGTATACATTTTTAAAAAATCTTAAAATATGTAAAAAACAAAATAAAATATACGTGTTAAAGCGTTTTTTCGGAAACTTGACCGTTTTTTAAATAAAAAAATATTGTAATATTTGAGGGGTGGTTTCACCTTGGTCTCACCCCCTTGGAACTGGAATTTCGAAAAATCCCTTCTTATCGAACCCTAGAATAGGGAAACTACCTAGAACCTCTACATCCTAGAATCGACCTGTATGCCAAAATTGAGCTTCTTACGTTGAGTCGTTTAAGCAGGATCGTGATTAATCCGTGAGTCAGTCACTTAAGGATTTTATGTATTAGTATAATCCTTATAATAGATAGTAACATACCAAATCTCATTTTTTTATCTAAAAAAATAAAAAAGTTATAGGGGTGTACTACACATGCACTACATGGTATATTATATTTTTATCCAAAATACGATTGTCATCTGCTCTAAAAAGGTATTTAAAATATTTAACCTTCCCTTTTTAGTCCTTCAAACGGGGAACTAATAATTCCTTTTCAATTTTCCAAGTAAATAGGTCTTTTGTGCCGGGTGATTTATAATGGCCGCTTCCGTGAGGCTTTTCTACTTTAATCGTATCAGAAAATAAAAAATGGCGTTTCCAAACAGGATATAGATAGAAATGAAAGGGCCAAGTTGGATTTATATTGTGGGTGGGTGCAAGCAGGCACTTTCCTTTATACTCGTACACATATCGATTTTATGGTATACAGTATGAGCCAAAAAGTTAATAAAAAGAAGAAACTATTGATAGTGAGTTAACAAAAAAAGTATTTTAAGTTAATATCTCCTCTTTGCAGCTAAGGCTAATCTGGATGGGAAGTTTCCGTGGAATTCGAACCGCGGTCCTAGGCCATATCATTGTCAATGGCCTACCGATCAGTCTACCGGGTGCGTCTCAAAAGTGGCCCACCTCTAAAACTTTTTTATTTTTTCACAAAAAAAACGAGATTTGGTATGTTAGTATATGGCATTAAATAGGATTGATTGACGTATTCAATTGTTTTTGGTCACTTTCTGTTTCACCGGAAATGACTACAACTTTTGACAATGACACCTCGGTATTTTTTTACTGTATTTGATACAAAATGACACTCTCAATAGAATGACATATCATATATCAACTTTAAACTTTTTTGCATATGGTTTATTTCAAATTGTAACATGCGTTTCATAACGACAATTTGACTCAAATACCAAGCTACTTTTGGGACGCACCCGGTATATCGAAGCTTACTCACGAGACATCGACTATAAATTTCGGTTGACCGAAGTAACTATTTTCTGTCAGTAAATAATATTAATGAAACAAATCGATACATAGATAAACCAAAATTATGTATTTTGGTATTTTGTAATTTATTCACAGGACAATAAAACTGAAAGAGCTATACTCTCTTTCTAACGTTACTTGATTAAAAATTAGTGTTTTTAACACAACCATGGCACTCTAGATTGAAACTTAAAATACATTTTTTTTAAGCGGAAATGTCAAAAGTTGACACATCATAAGATGTCATTCTATTCAGAGTGTCATTTTTTATAGAATAAAGTAAAAATAGTGATAAAGTGATAAAAAACAACTGAATACGTCAATCAATCCTAATTTATGTTATATACTAACATAGCAAATCTCGTTTTTTATCAGAAAAATAAAAAAAAGCTACTTTTGAGACGCACCCAGTATATCGAAGCTTACTCACGAGACATTATCGACTATAAATTTCGGTTGACCGAAGTAACTATTTTCTGTCAGTAAATAATATTAATGAAACAAATCGATACATAGATAAACCAAAATTATGTATTTTGGTATTTTGTAATTTATTCACAGGACAATAAAACTGAAAGAGCTATACTCTCTTAATCTATTATTTAGAGTTCTGACGTGGTACTTAATAGCATGTCAGTGTTCTATATATGGTTTACAAAGAATGTTACGAAGAATTACTATGATTGATATACCAAAAAATTAATAGTAAAGGTAGAGTTATTTATCAAATAAAAATTAAAATACGTGAAATTAAAATTGATTAATTTTTTCCTTTTTTTTTAATTTCAGAAAAAGTAGAAGTTAGTGGCTGTGAGTCCTGCAGGTTGATGTTAACCTGCCGTCAATTAGATACCATAATCGCCATCTTGGATGTGGATTTCCGAATGAAAAACCCGATTTTCGATACAGGTGTCATTCAAAATCGAGGCGTTCAAGTATTTCCCCCAGATCATCCTCGAGATGCTTTAAATAAACGGTAAGGTTACTAGAAGCTGTTAGCTAGTATATAAATAAATGTTTCAGTTATTTATAAAACTTCTACTATACACCAAAAAAAGATTATACTAATAACTACTACTGTATATGAGTACTACTTCTATTTGTTAATTAGTTCTTTCTAAATAATAGTTTATCAACGTCTGTTTACCATTACATGCACTTTAATTTTTGACAAGCCCTGCGGCATGTGTTTTTTGTGTAGATTAGAGATGAAAGCTATTACAAAGCATGTGTAAGCAAGTGCAGATGCAATCCAATTTAAAAATGGCTAGATATGGCCGTGGCATAATGTTTTTTTGAATAATGATTTACGATTTATTGAATCTGACAACTCATGGGAAGTAGGGCACAAAAGGAACGTAAAATATACAATTTGAAAAATTTTCTCTGTGGCGGATTCATCTCTCCAAAAAAGTCCTATGGGTATTTCGTATTTCGCCACTGTAAGAAAATCTACAAAATAAAATAGTTATTTTTTGTAAACACTGCTGGCGTAATACAACGGAGATAATTGTCAGCACTGAGTTACTAATAAACAAATTTGCCTAACGGACAAAAAAATGCTTAACGTTTCGGAAAGTATATCTCTTTTCGTCGTCGAAAGCAAAAAATACAAAGAACAAAGAAAAAACCTATTTAAATTATCTAAATGCCACTATTCGAGGACACTTTAGTTTTTTAAAACAGATACGTCTTCAAAACCGTTGACGTTCTGTTAAAATGACACCTGAAAATTACTACCTGATAACAATTATTATAAAAGGTAAAACTAAGAAACTTCAAACTTTCTGTATGAATGTTTTTAATTTTTACGTGTGTTATGTTCTTTAAATACAAAGAAGCGATTGCCATACATTACTAACATCTACAGATGCATGAGCAATACATTTATTTTTATTAGATTGTATTAAAAAAGACTCTGTTATTTTTCTTTTACAGGCTATCGCTTCTTTCGTTATAATTTTTGCATTGTTAAAATCTATTCTGTGCCCTGTGTTCCGTGAATGCTGACAAATCTTAGATTTGCGAAAGTCGCCCTTTCTTAAATAATCTTTATGTTCTTTAATTCGAACATTTAAGGATCTAAATGTTTCACCAATATAAAATTATTTATCACATTCACATGGTATTTTGTATATTACATTTTTTGTTTGTTGACCAGTGTCCATTGGTTTAGTGTGTGTTAAAATGGATCTAAGTGTGTTTTGTGTTTTGAAAGATGTTCGTATATTATATATTGTTTTCCTATCCTTCTTATTTTTTCCGAAACGCCTCGTATGTATGGAATTGTAAGTTGTATATTACTATATATTTTTTTTTATGTATTGTTATCATTGTGTGTCTTCTGTCTATGATTTGTGGTTTGTATTTCCTTTATTGTTTTGTCAATTGTTTTTGTGTTATTGTTTTGTCATGGTGAATAGTCGTTTATATTAATGCATTTTTTATGTTTTGTGTATTATCTATTGCTATTCTGATAAACTTAAATCTACACAAGGAAAATAAACCTATACAATATTTTACCACAAAATGATTTAAAATTTCCCTTATATCTCACGATATTAAAATTGTAGAACACCCTCTTGGGTTGGGACTCAATAGATACAGACACAATGCCTATATTCTATACAATTGAGGTGAACTACTTCACAGATAATTTAAATTTTAGACCTACATACATGGGGAAAATGAAACACGATTTCACGTAAAATCAAGAATTATGACGTATTCCTTTCAATGTACACGCCAGATGTTCCTAAATAGCCAAATCACCCTGACCAGTATCTATTGTTGAATTTGGGGCTGTTGGACAGGAAGACGTATCGGCAATGGACTGTATACAGGGTGATGCACCCAGAATTTAGAATTATGATTTTTCTTCGCCTAGGCACAGTGTCAATAGTTTTTCTAAAAATTAAGATGCATTTATTTATGTAGGTCTGTTCATAGAACACTGGCAAAAGTGTGCAAAGTTTCATTAGAATCACTTTAGTAAAAGTCGTTCAATAATAATATTAAGAAAGGGGAGCATATTAACAAACACAGGTGGAGCGCAATAGGAGATTAAGGGTTGATTCTCACTATATCTTCCGTATCAGCTCCCTTCCGTTTTTCTTCCGTTTACGTAAAATATTATATCATGTAAATGAATAGGACAATGCACACTATCAGTTCCGCTTCCCTTCAGTTCCATATCATTATCTTCCATACATTTTTTTGGCGGCCAGACTGAAGCGTTGTCAAGTTCTTACATTTGTGCAACAACTTAAAAAAAATTCCCAATAATTAGAATAAAACCTTAATTATTTACTAGTAACTTTGTATAACCGGATATGCAGATAAAATCTCATAATACCAACCCCGCCAGGGTTATGGCTAAAATTCGTTTATGTTCACCTCGTATATCTTTCCATCGATGACGCAGGATGCCAACTCACCCCAAATATTCAAATCTATGACGTATGACACGGGTGGTACACACGGCATGGCGGTTCTATTCACACGGCACATTTATTATTCACTTTGCGCTGCCTTTGGCACGTGTTCAGGCAGTTCGGCAAAGATAAATGATTCTATGTAAAGTGCGTGGAGGGTAGCGTTTGTGTTCATTTAGAGTTACTGGGTTAATATTGATGACAGACAGATGACTGGTTGGGAAATATGTTAATTAAGAAATAGTTTTAAGACCAATAATATTTATGGGTACCTTTTTGGAAGGGTGATATTATTTTCTTTGATGAGTTTGACCCCTTTAAAAAATATCATAGGGTCACAGGGTTGAGTTCAAACATTAAGAAATATTTAATTAATCAAAAAATGCAGAGAGTAGAGAGTAGAGAACCAGTAAAATTATAGTACAAAAATGGAAGTTTAAACTATCATATATAATTTCTAATTTGATATGAATTGTTACCAAAAAAAAAGGTTTTACTTGAGTTAAGTAAAAACAATCTTCGGATTGTCACGGGGTTTCTAACAGAACACTGTCTCCTCAACGAACACCTCAGTAGTCTGAAGCTGAGAAACAAAGGTGAATGCAGATTCTGTGGGGAAGAATGGGGAAACACCAGAACACCTTATCACTGAGTGCGCCGAGACGACGACCATTCGTGCCATGAACTTTGGTACGGCTGATGTCGAGGATGAAGAGCTGGCCTCTGTGGAGCCCTCTCAGATACTGGCTTTTGTTAAAGTCCCGAGACTGTATGATGAGTTATAACTCGTTATAACTCAAGAAAGGGGAACACACAATAGATCTGTAAGGTCGCGGTGATTAACTCCCCTCCTAAACATTCTACATTCTACCAAACAAAATAATTACTATCCCAAAATATAAGGTAACTCGTAAATAATAATTTTAGTGCGGTTACATCACTTGCTATTATACAGGGTGAGTCTTAAATAAGTACAATTATTTTCAGGGCTGCTAGATCTCGATAAAAGAAACACATTCTCTTTAAAGTTATTTTACTTTGAAAATTGAAATGAAAAAAGCCAGTGGATTTTTCTTCTTTTATAAATTAATCATCCTTGTATCTCATATATATATATATTTTGGTTTGCGAGACCCTTATAGTGTGCATCATTATAATATAAGACACCGTGTATACAGTAGTTGACAAAGTACATTTTTTCAAGTTAAAAGCGAGATATAAAATTAAATTAAAATCTATTTTCTTGTGGTTTGTTTGATGGTTTTATTTAATATAAGGAGACATTCAATACCAATCTATTTTTTTTATAGGTGTTCAGGAGTAAACCACTGCAGTTTCATATTACGGGAAGACAGTCCAGGAAGTGAAGCGTGGGGTTTCGGTAACATAACCATAAGATACGCCTGTATCACACGTAAGTAAAAATATTTTATCAATCATATACAGGGATAGACGTATATACCCGTTGTGTAAATACCAGTAAAATACCAGGAATATTGTAGATATATATCTGAATTTAATGGTATATTCTTGGTATTATACCAGGTATTTACAGTGCAGTCGGCGGGAACTCCTTTTATCAAATTAGGATATTCATCTAAATGTACAAATGTTGAAATTAAAAGCCCCCCATACACCCAGGGGCGGATCGAGGATTCGGAAAGGGAGGGGACTAAACTTAAAACTATACTCAAAGTACATACTCCAGGGTCGTTTGTGACAAAATAAATTAATAATATCGTATTACTTGACTGAATCGCATCCTCGATTACGTAACTAAAGTTTAATTGGTATCGATTATACTAGACATCTAGAAATATACCATATCTAATTATTAAACGAACATCCTTTTTTATTTTCATTTTCGTATCATTTTCTTTTTTATTTTAGAGGACAGAATCCACAGATACTGTAACAGCCAAGTCCGTCTAGACGAAAACATATCTGCAGGATTACTACACAATCCCGGATATCCCAGGTTTTACGCGGGTCAGAGGAAATGTACCTGGAAAATTACTGCCCCTTCACAAAAGAGAATCTCTCTAAGAATTTTAGATCTAGCTCTATTCGGTTAGTAGGTAGTAGGTTAGAGTAGGGCAAAAATAGAGTTTTCATATCATTACTATAAAGAGTTATAATATTTTTTGATAAAACCATATGAGTATTATTTATAGGGATAAAACTAATATGTTTTCAGATACGAGAGTATCATCGATAACAGACTGCAAAGATGTGTTGCAAATCAAAGATACAAACCAAGTTATTTTTTCTACATGTAAGCAGGGGTATCCACCTGACGAAATAAGATCTGGGAGTGAGTCTGTAGAGGTTAGTAAATTATTAGTAGATGATTTTCGCCTTAGCTTCTCAAGATAGGCCATCTCACACTTATCCACTCAGGAACGCGGAGCAAGATCTTTATCTACCTACCCCACGCTCAGAGTTAGTTAAAAGTTCAATATTATACAACTCGAAAAAAATGCACACCTGCAATCACCTGCCATTTGAAATCAAATCCATAACATCATTTTTTTCATTACGCAAAGCATTGAACTCATTACTAACTTATTTACTAGACAAGGCTTTCTACGCCGTAAATGAATTATATTTTGAAAATCGAATTTGATCATCTTGTAAACACTGGTCGAATGTTTGCTATTGCTATATTTACTAATGACATCGAAATGAATTTATTTAGAGGTTATTGATATTTTACTATAAACTAGTTAAATATTTTTGAATATTATTTTTATTTTTTTGTTCTTTGACTTTGTAAACATTTATAAATGTTTATTTTAACAATAAGACTGACAATATTATTTGTATAATGTTTTGTATTATCTTTTGTTTATTTGTTTGTGTACCTTGTTTTTTTACTTTGTTTGTTAGTTTACCTTTGTCTACAAATTGAAAATTTTTTTGACAATAAAGGCATTTATTTATTTATTACAGAAATAGGCAGATGTCAATAATACAATACAACTGTAACAACATCTATCATATACAGGGTCCGGCAACAGTGCGTCGGGCATCTGTAGCTCCTCGCGAATAAAAAACTTGGGAATGTTGTTTAAGTGCAAACCTAAGGTATATAAGAGGGTGTATTTTAGGAAAATATTCAAATCTCAAAAAAGAGTGAGTGGATCGGGATGATATTTTTTAAATGGAACACCCTATATACCGTATTTTATTGCATTTTTAGCTAGATATAAATTACTATAATCATCATATAAATAATCATATACAATCTTTGCTAATAATGTTTTTAATAAATATGTTGGCTAATTTAATTTGTGTACTCGTTTTGAACAGTATTTCTAGTATTTGTCTCCAAGTAGTCTGCTTTCCAGTTTTCTCCGATTAAAATGTTCGAATATTAAAGAATTTGTAACATCCTCTATAAAAAAATCGATAAAGGGATATTAATTAATCTACTGATATATTAAAACTGTAAAATAAGGTACAAAATGGCTGGTTTTAATTAAATTTCCACCGAACTTGCAAATTTTACGAAGCAACTTGGGAAAACGGGACGTCGTTTTTCTTATCAAGCCTCTTGTTTGTTATAATTAAAAGCAAGAAGGTCCTTAACGACACAATGTCGAGTTTCAAAACAAAGTCCCTGTTTCGGTCCCTACTTTAGGGGTAGTTATACTACTAGTAAGGGGGCCAGGAACTTACCTCAAGAACCCATAAACAACCTTATAGTGGGGATGCCCCGACGACTTGATGCACTCATAACAAATCGAGGAGGCAATATTTTATATTAGTAACCTCAATTTTGTCAGAATTTATTATTTATTTATTTATTTTCTCTTTTTTGTCAAACATTTTTCTTCATGGAATTTGCATTTTTTTGTATTTTGACAAAATATGTTATTAAACTTGGTGAAAGTTTTCCCTTTTTTGTGTTATTTTTTAACATAACTTTAGCATCTCTTGATTTCCACGAAAAATAAGTTTGAAATGTAATTTTTTATTAAAATAGTAAGGGGGTGCAAGACTTTTGCCGATGAGTTTATATATATATTCTTTTACTATTTCTACATGCCTTCCATTTTTTTTATTTGTTGTGTTATTTATTAGAATGTCTTTTCTTTCCACTAGTTCGTACTAAATTATATTACTTTAGTTTTTGCTAAATTGCTGGCTGTATTTAGTTCATTAATTCGTGCTTGTACTTCTTCAGGACTACTGGCAATTAGGACTATGTCATCAGCGAATCTTAGATGGTTAAAATATTCTCCATCTATTTTTCATCCTTTGTTAGTCCAGTCCAGTTGACGGAAGATTTCTTCTAATGTTGCTGTAAACAACTCTGGGGATATCGCGTCTCCCTGTCGTACTCCTTTGCCAGTTGGGAACTCTGGGATTGTTTTATATATCATTACTCTTCCTTTGGCTTCTTTGTATATATTGGCGAGAGTTTCTATATAAGGCCTATCAATACTTTGTTTCGCTAGAGTTTCTATTATTACTTAGGATATATCGAGTCGAAAGCCTCCTCAAAGTCTACACAGGCTTTGGCTAGTGGAAGTTACCCCACCAGTAATAGAGTATAAATCATAATATAACCTATTTTTCCTTTTAGAATCTAATTTTTACAGTCCAATAGGACCCCACGACGCTCGAGTAAATGCCCATTTAGCATCACTTGGGCTCCCGTACTATTAGCTTATTTTGAATGAAACGAGAAGCAACGCTAAAGATTAAAGATCGATAATCATATAACTTGGATAATATAATTTACATAAAACTTTTTTGACTCTTTTGTGGTTTTTACGATAAATGAATGATGATATATATGGGGGGTTCAGAAGTAAACTGTGTGAATCAAGTCCTAGAAGATAATCATAGAGAAAATGAGAGTTAAAGTTTTTTAATGTTACTTAATTAAAATAAAACAAGCTGGAGGAGAAAAATAATTGTATAATTGCAAACTAAAGTAACTCAATACTCAATATACAACTGTGGTCATTTTTAAGAATGTTTATTATACTTTTTTGGACTTGAACCATCTTATCTCTGAAAATATTTGAAATTTCAGATATAAATTGGTTCATCGGTACATTTTTCTTCGTCATTAAGAGATTTATTGACTTCACATTGCCTATTAATAGTGTTTTCTTCGATTGTTATAAAAATCTATACTAATATATAAAATCCTTAAGTGACTGACATACTGATTAATCACGATCCTGCTCAAACCACTCAACGTAAGAAGCTCAATTTTGGCATACAGGTTGATTCTAGGGTGTAGAGGTTCGATAAGGAGGGGTTTCTCGAATCTCAAATTCCAAGAGGGTGAAAACGCCCCTCAAATATTACAATATTTGTTATTTAAAAAACGGTTAGTCTTTCGGGAAAACGCTTGGACAAGCATAATTTAATTTTTTTTACATATTTTGAATTTTTTTAAAAAAATCATACAGGGTGTTCCAAAAAGTTGGGTAATTTCTTAACCACGATTCTGCTTAAACTGCTTGACGTAAAAAGCTTATTTTTGGCAAACGGATTTTTCGAAAGTCAAATTCCAACAAGATGAAACTACCCCTCAAATATTACCGTTATTTCTTGCTTTGCTTTATCATCACCATTACAAATGATTAATTCGACGCGAACGAAGTCGCTGGTATATGCTAGTTATGGTATATAGGCGGGATAAAGGAAAGAAGATCTTTCATGTGTTGCCTTCTAGAGTGTGCTCCTAGCTCTAAAATTTAGCACGCGTGTTAAAATCGCTTAAATTTTATGGACTTGATCCAGTTCACTTCTGAAAGGAACCAACAGAATATTCAGAAGCCAAACAGAAACAGGCTCTAGCTGCTTAATACGTGAAGTATGACTTGATTCCATTTCTCTATTGGAAAAAACAATATTTTATAAACGTATAAAGACGATTATCTTAAAATACTAGGAAATTGGACTTAATCCATTTTAATTCTGACCACTCCATATTTTTCTTTTCCAGGTAGTATTGAGATCAAGGCACGAAATCAACGCGCGCAGAGGAGTTCTCATTTATTTCCAAACCGTGGGCTGTCAAGTTCCGGAACCACCTAAACAAGGATACCTAGTATCCAAGAACGACTCTTATGCTTCGTTCACATGTTGCAGGGGGTACTTGTTTCCAGACACCAGAACCAAGTCCAGGACGATCGAATGTCAGGGTGTTAATTGGAATATTTCGTTGCCTTTGTTGGACTGTGAAGGTACGTGGGGGGGGGGGGATAATAAGTATTTTTTAAATTATTAAAAAAGAACTAATGTAAACTAATCTCTAATGAAAATAAATATGTAAATATAATTATGTAATAACAAAAATACAGATACGTGAGGAGATTCCTCACGTAAAAATAAGATTTATTTTTCATATCAACATGGGTCCAATTCTGCTTTGTTTCGTAGGTACAGGGTGTTAAAGTCTTAATATTTTTTCGATTTATTATAATTTTCTTCAAAGCACTTTTAGCGTTTCGAATGAAATTTTCAGGGTAAAAGTTACTGTAAATGGGACATATTTTGAAGCTAAAAAAGTGCCGATATATTCACCAGGGACGTGCATATGGGCTACCACTGGAATATTTTTCTAAAAAAAGAATGTTCTCTTGTTCACGAAATAGTGTAAGCAGTTTAATGCCGATTAAAAGTTGTCTCTTAATATTTTGTCGATTTCGGCATCCTTTATGAGATAAATGCATTTTTATTAATTTGTCTTGATCCAAGTGTAATAGCAACTTTTAAAAAATTTTAATATCATTAACTTGCATAAGTGTTAAATAAGTACTCAGTGATTCCTCATCAAAAAATATAAAAAAAAAGTTTCTATAAACATAAGTATGGAAATGTATAGTTTTAGAGTTACAGGATGTTAAAACCTTTTAAAATTAGGTTTTTGGTAATTATCTGAAATACCATTATTTTTTTATTTGAAATTTCTGTAGTTTGGACTAATATTAATAATAACTAATAGTAATAATATTTAATAATAAATTAGGTAAAATATATAATTTATTAATTTTATTTTAATTTTATTAATTGTGATTAATAAAATTGGGTTTCTCCAAAAAAATCCTTTATTATTTTTTTTTCGCCACTGCACTGCAAGAAGATAAACTTTACGAAACGTTAAGCATTTTTTCTTTGTCAGGCAAATTTTTATTACTGTAAACATAACCTGACAAGCAGTGTCCGTTTAGATTTAACCAAGAATTTAACGCAGAAGTGTTTACAAAAAAAAACTATTTTATTTTGTAGATTTTTTTTGCAGTGCAATGGCGAAATACCCATAAAGGATTTTTTTGGAAAGATGAATCAGCCACATAGGTATAGACATTTTTTAAAATTGGGTTTATCTAATCAAGGGGGCCGAATTCGACAAAATATTCGAGAGATAACTTTTAATTGGCATTAGACGGCCTACACAATTTTGATATCAAAAGGAAAAAAGTCAGTGGCGCACATGTTTTTTTTTTAAACATATTCCAGTGATAACCCATATGCACGTCCCTGATGAATTTATCGACACTTTTTTAGCATTAAAATATGTAGCACTAGTAACTTTTACCCTCAAAATTTGATTCGAATCACTAAAAGTACTTGGAAGAAAATTATAATAAATCGAAAGAGTATTAAGATTTTAACACCCTGTAGCTACGAAACAAAGCAGAATCGGACCTATGTTGATATGAAAAATAAATCTTATTTTTAAGTGAGGAATCTCCCCATGAGAGATGGCACATGTTTTTTGAAACACCCTATAGAATTGAAGAAGATATTATTTATCATGTAACAAATTTTCAAATCAAGAGCAAAAATTTTGTAATTTTCAAGATCCCGCCAGACTCATTTGCCCATTTGCCAATTTTCAAAATCAGCCAGACTTGCTTTTGATTATAGTTTGATAGTATCAAATGATACGTTAAATTTCAAGCATGGGAAAATAAGGGTTACGGATTCCAAAAATCTGTCAAATTTTTCCTCCACTTGGGATATGCCAGACTGTTATTTCCATTAATAGAATGATTCACTTTAATAAATGTCAAATATTTATGACTCCGAAAATAAGTGTACTAATAACCACACTCACAAATTGTCACTTTATGTCACCATCCGAACAAACTATTTCATATTCACCCCTACTGGGAAAATAATAAGTACAAAAAATCACTGCGTCCTAACTATACCGTTTTAGAGAATGATAAGAAAATATAGTTGAATTTTCTCTAAGTTCCCTAAGAATCAAAACCCGTTTCTATGCTAATATAATTTTTAGGTTTTCATTCTGTGATAGATGGTTATTATTTATTAATTTTAAATTTCGTCATATCTTTTTGCTGTTTGAATGTGTTAAATAAGCACAAAATTTATTTAGTTCAATCACAGCTTGTTCAATGCTACGGAAAAAGTGATTATAAATTTGGTGCTTATTTAACATTTTAAAATAGAAAAATATATGACGTTAACCAAAATTAATAATAACAATCGATCCAAGAATGAAAACGAAATTATAAATACCACAGAAACGCGTTTTAATTTTTAGGACTTGGAAAAAATGCAATTATATTTTCATATTTTTTTATTTTTGTCTAAAATGGTATGGAAATTTATAAAAGTATAAACGGGATTAACCATAAACTAATATAAGATATTTATTTTTAAGAACAGTGGCAGACAGTGGTAAACTATTATAAAATATAAGGATCCCCTGTATAATAATTAAGGATAGAATAATTTGGTTTATTGCTTAATGACCCCAGTAATATACTAATATAAAGCTATTATCATTTATTAAATTATATGGGTGTTGTTTATGTCCTAAGCCTACATAGTTTAACCAATTTTTTCTAAAGAGAATAACAATCGAAATATATTTTTCCCAAACTATTGTCATTTATATAAGTAATGTTTGTCAGAATATGACATTAGGAAATTCGTGTGGTATTTTTGATAAAGTATCTCTGTAAAGTTAGTGTTGTTCGAGCAGCAGAAGCGTGTGATAAGGAACTTTTAAAACAAAACCCATTTAGTGAAAAGTTGGTTTAGTTGATAGGCAGTTTCGTTTAGTGAGTTATACAATTTAGTAGTCCTATAGAGGATAGAGGGTGAGTTTTTTATTACATACAAAAGCTTCATTTTTGCAAAGTTCCAAGAATATTATAATCCTATTGATTCTCTTTATAATTTACTAACATTTTGTGAAGAGGCAATAAAGATTTCTGCAAAAATAATAAATTGTTTCACGTTTAAAAATCTTAAATTTTATATATTAAGTTTTAGTTTTTCAGTATTGTTATCGTTTTTGTGTTTATTTTGTTACATTATTATTAATTTTATATTACTAATATAGATACAGGGTAAAATCAGTGTGGGGGCAATTTCAGATAATTGCTATTTTAAAAATAAAACTTTTGGATTTGGCGATAAAAACAAAAATGTATACAAATTTATTTGTTTACATAGTTAGCGAACCAAAATCACTATACAGGGTGTTTCATAAAACATATATGCAATCTCTAATTGGGAGATTCCTCACGTAAAAATAAGATTTATGTTTTTGTATATCAACAAAGGTCCGATTCTGCTTTGTTTCCTAGCTACAGGAGGTTTTCTTCTAAATGCTTTTAGTGATTCGAATTAAATTTTGAGGGAAAAAGTTACTATTACAAATTTTAATACTGAAAAGATGTCGGCATATTCACCAGGGACGTGCATATGAGTTCTCACTGAAGTATTTTTCTAAAAAAAATGTGCGACCCTGACTTTTTTCTCTTGTTAGCAAAATTGTGTAGACCATTTAATGCCGATTAAAAGTTGTCTCTTGATATTTTGTCGATTTCTGTCTCCTTAATGAGATAAACGCAATTATAACAATCAAAATTAATAAAATTATAAAAATAAAAATAAAATTAATAAATCATTTATTTCATCTAATTGATTATTAAATTTTATTAGAATTTATTCAGTGCTACCTGCAAATTCTCAAAAAATTATTGGTATTTAAGATAATTACAAAAGACCTATTATCTAAAAGTTTTAACATCCTGGAACTTTAAAACTATGCATTTCCGCACACATATTTATAAGGACTTTTTTCATATTTTTTGATAAGTAATCAATGAATACTTATTTAATACTTTGGCCAGTTAATGACATTAAAAAACTAAACTGGGTTTTATTTTAACCTTTGAAAAAATATATTTCAAGATTTGAATTTTTATTAAGCAACTATTGGAGACTGATGGTTTCTAAATATTTTTTTATACATATTTTGGTGTAAATTAATTTATAGATATAGTTTGCCTTAATACAAAATTTTAGTTTCGGAGATATAACAAAAATCGGATCATTTGAATAAAAAATTTCAAAATTTACCATAGTTTACTACTGTATTTAGGAAACGCATTGTATATCAAAATAATTGATTTTGTAATAAATGAACTGCTTTATCGAAAATACCATTTTATGATTAAACGGATTTGTTACAAACAAATCCTACTTAAAAGTAATTGAACTTTACAATGTAAGACTCAGTCTTTCCTCAGGGTTATCTGCGGTACGATAAAATTTTATCGCAGTACTAACAGATTAAGTTTGTTTAAAGTTAATAATCTAATTTCGATAGCTGTGTATACACTATACATAATAAATACAAATGCCATTCAGTATTCAGTAACAGTATTGAAAAGACTGAATTTTTATATTAAATACATTTAATTTTGTTACAGAAGCCCACAAGCTAGAGTCAGTTCGTTCAAGGAAAGTTAAGTTAGAACCACCCGATATGTCTTCAGGTCAGTGACAATAGTATATCGTTTTATTACGAGTAAAAATGATACTTTTATGGCGAGGCTGTACGTACGACATTACATGCGAGGCACAAAAAGTCATTTTTACTCACAACAAAACATGCTTTTTCTTTTCAAACGTCACAAATAATATAAAAAGATTTAAAAGTAATACCTTGTAAGTAACTATATATCGAGAAACTATGGTTACGCTCGTTCAATTTGACGCTTTATGTCAGTTTAATAATATATTTTTATACTTTTGTGCTTAGGTTGCAAAAACTAATACTTTTGTGTCGTTTGAAAAAAAAATATTTGTCCGATGTGTTCAATTGCTTATGTGCAATTGAACATAAGCTATGTGCAATATTGCACCTACCAATTCAAATATAAATATTATGTCAATTCTTAATATATTAAAATATCAATTATATTTAGTGCAAAATAATATAACTAAAAAATGTCTATACCTATGTGGCGAATTCATCTCTCCAAAAAAATCCTTTATCGGTATTTCGCCACTGCACTGCAAGAAAATCTACAAAATATAATAGTTTTTTTTAAAGGCTTCTGCGTTAAACCTAAACGGACACTGCTTGTCAGAAGTTATGTTTACAGTTATCTCTTTCCGTCGTCGGAAGCAAAAAAAATACAAATAATAAAGAGAAAAACTATTTAAAATATTTAAATTCAACTATTCGAGAACACTTTACTTTTTTAAAACATATACGTCTACAAGAAACCGTTGACGTTCTGGTAAAATGACGTCAACGGTACCTAACCTAACCTAACTTCTAACAAGCAGTGTCCCGTTTAGGTTTAACGCAGAAGTGTTTACAAAAAATTGGCGCCGGGAGGCACGTATAGCCGCCCATACTAAAATATGTTAATATCTCAAAAACTGCGACTTTGACTGATTTTGATGTTATAACAAATTTCGTTGCAAATATTATTCCTAATCTTAATTTAAAAACCGCGTTTCGCTAGCTAATGTAATTTTGGAGTTACGATTTTTTAAAAATGTTAACCCCCTCCCATTCCCCCTTACCAACCCCCCACTCATGACTTCAATACTCTCGCAGTTAGCTTTTTCAAGGACCAAAACCAAATTTTGTATTTAGGTCATTTATGACCCAAATAACTCATTTTGAGTGAAATTAAAAAAACTTTTTTTTGCCGGTCTTAATAGCCTACCATACCTATTGTATTATGTACAAAATAAAATAACTATTTTATTTTGTAGATCTTCTTGCAGTGCAGTGGCGTAATACCCATAAAGGATTTTTTTGGAGAGATAACATAACTAGTTTAAAAACGCATTTGTAAACGTACAAACATTACTTATTTACTTATTTTTTTTATTTCCAGACTTAGCTTTACCCATTACAATTATAATACTGCTATTCGTCGTAAACGCAGTGGTCCTGTATTATATTCAAAAGGCCAGAAAGAAGTAAGTAGTACTTTAATATAAATAAGTATTAGAAGATTTTGATATATGAGACCAAAATGAGATGAAATACAATTTCACAAGGTAGAGAATGTCTCCAATTATTGACTTTTTTATCACAATATCATTAATTAATACACAATTCATTAATTGGTCTTTTGTTTGTAATGTATTTGTGACATAGGAATTCCTACACCTGACTCCTGACTGACCCTAACAAAATTTTATTTATAAAGTAAAATAGTCAATTCTACAGGTACTTTTTGAATGTAAATTCAGAAGCCGGAAAATAAACGTAAAATTCAAAATTTTACATAAAGTTTTGTACAGGGTGAATCTTAAATAAGTGCAAATATTTTAAGGGTTGTATAGAGGGTGTCCCAGGCTGAGCGTGCATTAGAAGTTTCAACTAGTGGGTTTCCATTTGAAAAAAATGATTTATAATAATTTTTTAGTCGCTCAATTCCATGACAGCTCTCGCCATTATTATATGACATATGAACATTTTAATTTTTGAAATAGATAGCCACATGTCTTCTCTTTATGTCACAGTGCCTGTGGTAATCACTAAATTTGACTTTTAGGCTATACAATTTTTTTTTGACAGGTAGTTTTTTTCGTCCAAAATTTTTTTTTCTAATTTTCAAAGTAAAATAACTCGATTATTTTAAACTTATTTGAAAAACGGTAAAGAGAAAATATATTTCTTTATCGAGATCTACCAACCCCGAAAATATTTGCACTTATTTAAGACTCACACTGTATATAAAACACCTTAAATTCTATTACTCTAATGTTTTTTTTAATGTAATTATTATTCCTGCATATTTCATTTTAGCTTTCTGTTTTTTTTTGCAATTGTCTTTTAAATTTGTTATAATTTTTATTTAAATGTCTTCGTTTTTATTTTTCAGCGATAATAGACAGCGGCGTGCATTAATATTCGATTTGCAATCAGATTCGGGACGTGGTTCATATGGTTCCATGGATAACCATAGCGGTAGAGTTTCTATTTCCAATGAGATAGACAATTTTTTTTATTGTCGCTAACACTCAACGTAGCATTTTTGCAAAGCAATTGTTGTTATATCACTATACACGGTGTCCCACATCACTACGGAGATCTCGTAACACAAAAGAGGATGAAATTTCTTCTCTGGTTTATGGTTTATGAGATCCCTGTGTGTGCATTCTTATATGTAACACCCTGTATATAATAGTGATGCAAGCTCATTTTCAAACTTTCAACCGATGGCGACCCATGCACCCAATGTAGATTTTTATTCAATAATATTATTAAAATAATTTTGTATCTACTTTACAAAAATGTTACTAAAATTTAAATTTTCCAGTTTACAACTAACAGGATAGTAAATCATAAAAAATCTATTTGTGACTAATTTAAAATAATGTAGCATGCATATTTTAACATATTAATATATCTAACATTAGAAAAATGCAGATGTTTACATTTAATCAGATTGGAGCAAACCTCTGAAGTGTCATTGACTAAAACTTTAAATTATAGTAGATATAGTATGATCAAAAAGAGTTATTTAAGATGTTTACAACAGATAAAAATTATTTTGGAAATTAAATCATATAAATATAATAAATTTTTGATCGTACTATACCTACTATAATTGAATTTATAGTTAGATGAGTTAGAATACTACTAAACTATACTATTAACCAAATATTAACTATAATAGATAAAGTTATATAGTAAATATAATTCCTTCTTGACCAATCATCTACATATCTATCTGAAAAATTTGGAGTTATTTTGGCTATATTCATTTCATTTTGGTCTTAAATTTAAGTTGGTAAAATATTCGGCCTATAGGCTTGGTGCATTTCAGTTGATTTCAACAAATTCCGACCGCAGCGCTTCAACGGCAAAAATCAGAAATTATCAGTACCTATTTTACGTCGCCGTCATGTTGATCGCATTAAAATAATACTGAAATCGTGGTTTTCTCATAATATTTAAGTATTTTAGTTTTTTGCTAGTGCAGTTATTGAGACTATAAAACACTCAGGTACGAGGTTTGTGTGATGTAACGCTGTTTCGGGTAGTAAAAAATAAGTGAAAAAGAATTCGAACTAGGCGTCGTGTTGTGTTGCGACAATTTCAAATGTTAATAAAATTGCCGAAAAAAAGTTAACGCCTAAAGGAGAGCGTAAATAAGGCGTTGTTGAGTGCAATAACATTCAACAACTCAACTTTCCCGGATATTCAACACTTCCGAAACAACATTTTATAACTTTATAGTTTCTCACACCGATTTAATCAAAAGCACAAATGGATTCAAGCAGTTCGACGAAACAAAGTGCTCGTTACATACTCGTAATCAAAAAATTAAATAGACATATACTATGAGAGGATAAAATATAATTTGCAATATTAATGGTATATTTTTTTTAATCAACTAGTGATTAAATGTTTTATGAACATCTTCTAAAATTATAATTGTGTGCCTTTCAAAAATTTCGTTATAGCCGAAATAGCCCCAATTATGCCGCACTAGCAAAACCGGTGAATAAAACTATGCTCGCTACCGTAGTTGAACTCATCTAAAAAAAAATGTTGTCCACGACCACTTAATAATAAATCAATATTCTACTTCCTAGCTGAAGGAATATGGTGCCCATATTTTTCTTTTTATTAATTTTGACGTTTAAAATCGTCAAATGTTAAGTAGGTAGTGATTATTAAGTGGCATATCAAGAACTCGTTTAAAATCAAAAAATGAATTATGAGAGTGATAGGCGGCCAAATTAATAAGTCTTAGATTGCTACCACAAAAGTCTAAGGATCATTACATGTCTGGCTATAAAAACTTTCTAAACTGGAGGATTGCTAAAGGCATAAATTCGTTTTCCGAATCCGTGTTATTAGTATATTTAGTTGCTATTGTAACGGAACAAAAATCAATCTCCTGATTGACTAACGAATGTTGGTACGATATTGTCATGGAAAGAACTTGAAATAATATCAATGAAATTCAAATACATATATGTATAACTTTAAATCAAATATAACACAAATTACCAATTTTAGTTACACAAAACAACAAAAAGTCAGATGCTGGTACTTCAATTTATCGTTCTCCAACAACTGTACTCAACTAAAGTTGGTAGAAATATGTTTTATTGTAAAAAACTTGAAGCAGCATCAATAAAATTCAAATACATATATAACGATAAATAAAACACAAATTACCAACTTTACTTACACAAAACAACAAAAAGTCATCTGCTGGTGGTACGATCTATCATTTTACAACAAATTTATTTTACTAAAGGTGGTAGAAAAAAGTACTAATATACAGGTATGTCGTAAAACACATCTAATATTAAACTTCCCAAATATTTGAAAATAGAATAGTTCGAGATGACTGCGACTCTGGATGCATAGCAACTGATGATATTGACGTTTTTATTATCTTTTAGTTAATTTTGACGTTTGAAATTGCCAAATTTTAAGTAGGTAGTGACATTTTCCCCTAAAACATGAATACAATAATTAATAGTAAGATTAACATTAAAAATACAAATTCAAACACTCCTCATAATTATTATAATGGCCGTGGACAAAGTATATATAAATTGCTCGTTCAATACTATACTATTAACTGGAATAATAAATTATAATACAAGTTAGACCTTCTGAAGATATCAAAATATTTACTTTTTTATTTTTATTTTTAGAATTTTCACAAATTATACTTCCTAACATTTTTAGAATAATTAAATAATAAATGTTTCGTATTTTCGCTATTTAAACTCGTGTATTTGTAAGTACTAGTTGTTTACGATATTCTCCGATGGTGGCAGCACCGGTGGGGAATACACCAAGCCTATAGATTGCAAAATTTTTGATGGGAATTCAGTGGGGAGAATCTTAATTTTTTTTAATCCTTTTTTTATTTTTAGGAACGCACTTGAAATTAGGGACGAAGAATTGGGCACGTTCACTGCAGGCCGAGCGGGACACAAATAACATAAAGAGAGCCTCAAAATCGCCTTACAGTTAATTTTAGATGTTAATTTTCTAAAAAGAGTATGTACATACATGTAAAGAGAATAAAGACATTATTTAATGTAAATTTTGTGAAACGTTTGAATGCAACAGATATTTATATATTACTATTAGATTATAGATTATTTATAATAACTCTCGACCTTTTTTCTAAATTTTAAAAATTCTAACAAAATAAAGTTTGACAGAAAAGACTATAACTCTCTTTTATTTCCTTAAAATTTACAGTACGATTTTCGTCACAATTTTATTTAAAATACTAAAAAAGTGTAATAAATATACCTACTCCCCGGCACAAAATTCCGCACCTGAAAAATTTGACCAAGTTTGACGTTTCATAACTTTTTATTTTAAAATACGATTTTTATTTTTATGGAATCAGTGTGAAGATAAATTTATTGGCATTATTTTTTTTATTATTTCAATGGCTTATATTCTTCAGTTAGGTGGGTTTATACCGGGGTAAATCAAAACGTTTTTTTTGCAATAAACTCAAAACACCCTGTTGAAAAAATGAGACGGGCATTTTGGATAATGTTGGATTTTGTATTATGTTTACCAGTCACGCCACTGCTGACATTTACAAATTTATTTTAGTACACCCATAGTACAGCACTGTGTACATTGACATAAGTCATTCTTGGTAGACGAGAAAAGCACCCGTTGACAAATTACTTTCATTTATCACTCATTTATACAAATCATTGTAAAATAGTGTTAGTTAGAAACAAATAAATAATACAGTCCACTATAAGAGAAGGAGTTTAATTGGTAATTAACCAGCGTAAAAAGATACAACAGATAAAAAATACTTTCCTGTAATCTTAGATGTATTCTTAACATTTCAGTTTTTTGAATTATCTTATTATCCTTATTTTTTTATGAGCTACACATTTTTAAGTAAAGTATTGATTTCAGAGATTCAAGGCAAAAACAATAATTTTATAATAATTTTAATAGCGTGTATAGACCCCTCGCAGTATCGAATGAATAAAGGTAGTTATTCTTTCCTGATCTATAGCTTGATGAATATCTTGCTATAGAAAACTCCTTACAAGAGCTAAGAGATTTCTCCGTTAATGTTAGCCAGAGCTCTTGTAAAGTTTGTGATGGAATAGGACGACGAAGAACAGTTCTTTTAAGTTCATCGCACAAATGTTCGATTGGATTGAGGTCGGGACTACAAGGAAACCATTCCAATCTTCATAGTCCAACCTCATCCAGATACTCGTTAACTACTCGTACAACTCGTTACCCCGAGCAACGTGGGGCCTGGCATTGTCATGCATCAGTATAAACTGATTTCCAATGAAAGGAGCAAATGGAACGACAATTTCTTGGAGGACATTCTCAATATAGCGGAGGGTATTGAGAGCTCCATTCTCCATTTTCAACAAATTCAAGATTGTAAAAATATGAGTACTTTGTTTAAAAATGTGTAGCTCGTAAAAGAATAGAAATAATGGGATAATTCAAAAAATTAAATGTTAGGAATACATCTAAAATTACAGAAAAGTGTTTTTTATCCAAAATGCCCGTCCCATTTTTTCCACAGGGTGTTTTGAATTTATTGCACAAAACAAATTTTGATTTGCCCGGTATAAACCCACAATCACAACCTAACCGAAATATATAAGCCATTAAAATAATAAAAAATAATGCCAACAAATTTATGTACAAACTAATGCCATAATCAAAAAAATCGGATTACAAATTCAAAAATTATGAAACATCAAACTTAGTCAAAATTTTAGGGTGGCGGACTTTTGTGCCGGGGAGTTTATATTACTAAACTATAACTAGTGTATTAACTAAATAATACTACTTTTTCATACTTTTTTGATTTTGAGTTGCAACCCGTGAATAGGCGTGATAAATGGTGATTTTGGATCCAAGACTAGAGGTTCCTGTGTCAAATGGCACTTCTCGACTTTGAATTTCCGCAAGAAGTGCACTAGACCTACTTTAGCACATATTTGTCCAAATCTGTCACCTGAAAAACAAACAATAACTAGTTAGTACCTAGTCTAAGAAAATTCAGAAAATAGATTTCATTGTAGATATGTATAAAAGACCATATACATTGTTTTGATCCAACGTATACAAGCAAAATGTAAACAAACAATTTTTTTTTGTCTCCGAAACCAATTTTATTTTGTTTACATCTGGTTTATATCTATTATATTGGATACTTTTCTTTTTTACACTAAGGTTTCTCTATTAATATTCAATTCTCAAAGTAATTATTGCTATCTTGTGAGTTTAATTTAAATTTTACTTACTCAAACCCGTGATAATTGTGAAAAAGTGGCATTAAAAACTAAAAATGTGTTGTGAACTGTGAACTGCAACAAACCATCGTGGATCGTGACATAACGTCGGTTTCCAATGTTTCATAGGTATTTCACATACATGTCCTTATATAAAATAAAGTTTCTTGTATGCAACACACTGTATTTTATTTATAAAATTAAAAGAAAATAATAATAAATTTGAATAAACAATATTTGTCGATATAATTCCGGAAAAAGCCGAACCGATCCGAAATTATCAAAAGCTTTGGGTCGCGACCGTTGCTAGAATAGCGCTAAATAGTGTTTACATTGTCCTTATGGGCACTTTCCAATCTAAACTTGTTTCATTTATTTATGGTTAAATGTAATTTGTTGTCTTGTGTCCTGTCCCTACACTACTACGTTATACCACAGTTATACCTATTGTTAGTGTCCCCGAAATGCATTTTGCAATGTAAAACTTGTTCGAATTAGGCAAAAAGGTCATTTTCAGTTCTAAGCCCATTTTCTTTCAAAATGAATAATAATAAACCTACCAATACAGTTTCTTGGTCCCATCCCAAAGGGCATGTACACGCAAGAATTCGAAAGGGTTTTTGTGCCATCCCTGAACCTTTCCGGTTCGAACTTGTCCGGTTCCGGAAAATAAACCGGATCGAAGTGCAGTCCGTCAATAGGAATCAATATGGCCGTGCCCTTTTCTATCTTCAATCCCGTCTCTTCTATGACGTAGTCTTCCTTGCAGTTTCTGTTCAGAAACGGACCAAAGGGATATCGTCTTAACGTCTCTAAAAATATATCAAAAGAGTTAGAAAAATTCAAAAGCGAAAAAAATACGGAAAATAATGGGAGCTAAATCTACGATTGTACAGTACGTCTGTCCGTTCTGTAGCTACGGGGTATCCGTGAGAGGGGAAACGATATTATCTCGATGCTTTTCGTAAAAAAATTAGACGACGCGTCCCATCAATAAAAATTCGACAAATTTGCAAGTAGCCAATAAAATGAGTGAGCGGAGCGATTTGCGGTGACGTACTCGTCAAGTCGACGTATAAAATATATTGCTGTTTACTTAAATGTTTTTTGTCCGCATTCCTTTCACAGACACAGATCCAGCAGACGTACTGTAGATGATATAATGCCGGGTCCAGACCAAGGCGACATACATAAAGTAAACAAGATTTTGAGACAAAAACAAGACAAACTTGCGACAAAGAATGGGGAATTCTGACAAGACAAACTTGAGACAAATTGTCCACACCGCAAGGATAAAAGTACAACAAAGTCAAAAGTTTAGTTGTTGCGAATGAGTTTTATTAGCCATGTGTGATTTAAATGGTCTCCTACTATTGGCAGCACACGCTGTCCACACTGCGCCGACAACTTGTCGTAAAATAACGAACAAAACATAGACACTTTGATCTTTACCGACTCGAGACGGGACATTGAAAAGTCTCGGAATTTTGAAACAAAACAAAAATGAGACAAAAATGTCGCAGAAATGTATTGATTTGTCGTAAAACATGAATGTTTTTATCTTGTCATTGTTGCGTCTGCTTGGTCTGGACTCGGCATAATAGGCATCTAAAGCTGATGGAATTGACGGAGAAATCCATGTACCAGATTTTGTCAATCTATAGAAGAAACGACAGAACACAGTTTATGTTAATACGACAGCCTGGTAAATGTGCGATTCTTTGTATTAGGCATAGGCAATGATAGGCCATTAACAAAGAGCTATATGGACATTTCAGTCTCCAAGTTTTGAAGAGGATAGAACTAAAGACTGGTAACCTAGGGACCACAATAGTTCTGGAAATATCTCAGTGAAACAGGACGATAACATATCTGATCTAATCTAAATAACATTATACCAATTTTGACTGCTTTGACGAATCCTGTTCTGTCATAATGTAAAAAATCAATAAAAGAATTAATACTTAAATTATATTTAGGAAAATAAACCAATAAAATATAACTTTAGTTACCTGATAAAACCATGTCTAAATATTGCATCTGTTGGATTTTGTCGAACGTTATCGAGGCAGTACTATCAGGAAAGTACTCGTATATTTCTTCTCGTAATGTTTTCTGACAGTCTTGCCTCAAGCTTAACTCATATAAGGCGAAAGCCAAAAGATTGCTGGTGGTTTCAAAGCCGGCAGTAAAAAATGTGATAGCTTGTGCCACCATACATGTTGTATCTAGAACAATATATCATTAGTAATAATAAAAATACAATTTTAATATACTAGTCTGTACAAGTCGTCAAAAAGTTAAACATTTCTTGCCCGTTAGACAAATTTGTTTTATTATAAAAATAACGCTGACAAATACTTGGTCTCCGTTTTAGTCTAAGAGCTGGTTACATAAAAAACCGTATCATCGTTACATGGCTAATTTTTTGTATGAAGTATCCTTTTGTGTAGCCATTATGAAATAGTCGTCTGCCAGCGCGATCCCGGGGCTCAAAGCGGGGGCTGTCAATCGAAAGGTTAACATTTTAGCATTAAAAATATTAAAAGGTACACGATTTATAATTGCGAAAATAGCTTTTATTTATTATTAAGAAACGTGGAAAATTGTTGGTAGACATTTTTCTAGTCGCTGAAATGCCGGCAGACAACGCGAAAGAGCCATGGAATTTTAACAAAAAAACAATCATCGCATACATGCATGTCGATTGGTGGAATGTCATGTTTATTGTTTATTTATTTAAAAAGCCGTATGAAAAAGGACAGACAAAAAAATCGTGGCTCAATCAGCGATAGACAGTTATCAAAAGCGCATTATTACTATACAGAGTGAATCTTGAATAAGAGCAAATATTTTCAGAACTGGTAGATCTCAATAAAAGAAACATATTTTCTTTTTACCGTTTTCAAAATAACTCCAAAATAATTTATTTAGAGTTTTCAGAAAACGCTCGCCGCGTTATAAATTGAAACCTAATACATGTAAGTCTACAAAAATTTTACGGCGCAGATATCGACTCAGAGGAAGACTCGTTTGCGAGAGCGAGGATCTGCAGTACAATGAGTCAGATATAAATAGTGAGACAGAATAGTAAATACATGATATCTGTTATTAAAATAATAAAAAATATATTTAATATAATCGTATACATATACATGATTTATCTATACTTAAATGGATGAGGCAGCGAGCGTTCCCTGAAAGCGTTAGAGTAATATCGCGCTTTTGCTAACTCTGCAGCTGATTTAGCCACGATCTTTTTGTCTGCCCTTTTGCATACGGCTTTTACAATAAATTGACAATTCCACCAATCGGCATGCATGTATGCCATAATTTTTTTCATTCTTCAAATTTCATTTTTTAACAATTTTTAAAATTTCATGCCTCTTTCGCGTTGTCTGTCGGCATTTCAGCGACTAGAAAAATGTATACCAACAATTTTCCACGTTTCTTAATAATAAATAAAAGCTATTTTCGCAATTATAAATCGTGTACCTTTTAATATTTTTTATGCTAAAATTTTACCCTTTCGATTGACAGCCCCCGCTTTGAGCCCCGGGATCGCGCTGGCAGACATGACTATTTCATAATGGCTACACAAAAGGATACTTCACACAAAAAATTAACCATGTAACGATGATAAGGTTTTTTATGTAGCCAGCTCTAAGACTATATTGTATCAACGCAGCGGTGTTTACAAAAAATACGATTGAAATTGTTTAAATAATTATTTGTGGCGTTGAAAATTGCTTTGGGATTTTTTTAAGTGCAAACCTAAACTATGTACTAGGATATTTTTCAGGAAAATCTTTTAACTTTTATAGGGTGGCTCAAAAAAGTGTGAGTGGATCGGGATGCTTTTTTTAAATGGAACACCCTGTATATTATTACATTTTTGGCTTTCTTTCTGATCACTTTACATCCTAAGATATTTGTAAATATATGTCTATACTTACTTTGCTATAAATATCGTAATCTTAAATCATACAGAATTCTACGCCAAACTTTCTTTGGCTTTTTAAATGGGACACCCCGTATATTATTATTTTATTAGATGGAGAATTGAAAAATAAACATTTTTTTTGTATTTAAAGTATTTCAAAATTTGTAATGGCTTTGCAGATACACGCAGTATTATTTCATATTAACTCTCAACGGTAAAATACGAGAGAAAAATCATTGGGTGGCTTTGATAAAAATTTACTGTAAAAAATGCCATATGAAATATAAAACCGCGAATATCTGCGAAACCTCTAAAAATGTTGAAATACTCTAAATACAAAAAATGTTCATTTTCTAATTCTGCATCTATTTAAAAATAATATACAGCGTGGTCCACTTAACAAAAATGAAGAAAAATTATTTTATTTCTTAGAAAGTTTGGCGTATAATTTTGAACACCCTGTATGATTTGAGGTTACGATATTTATAGCAAAGTAAGTATAGACCATCGAAAGTAAATACCTATTATAGTTTTGATTTCAGGACAGTTCTTGTATTTTTAATATTTTTTTTTTAAAAAGGCTGAAATTTTTGTTTATTTTTTTTATTAATATCTCTGAATCTCATTTTCATCATCAGTTTACTCATATCTTAGAATTATGTAAAGTGGTCTAAAAGGAAGCCAAAAATGCAATAATATACAGGGTGTTCCGTTTAAAAAAAATATTTCCTATCCACTCGCACTTTTTTGAGCTACACTATAGAAGTTAAAATGTTTTGGTTTGCACTTAAACAAAATTCCCAAGTTTTATATTCTAGGAGCTACAGATGTCCGATGCACTATAATTCAACAATGATATTACACTTTCAAACACAAAAAAAAACTTACCGAACTTTGTACCATTTTTTTCATCCTCCTGGAACATATCCCTAACGTGAATCAACAAATCCACAAAGTCATTCCTTTTTATTCCACTCTTCTCTCTTTCAGACAGCGTTTCCAAGAACACCTGTCTAAAGTAACTAGTGTCAAACAGTTTAAATTTGAACAAAGACACCAACTTGGGTACGAAGAAATACGAGAACAACCGAAAAGACTGCGAGATGTCCATCTCAAACATTTCTCGGCAAACTCTCCTAAAAACTGCCTCCTCTTTTCCAGTAAACGAGTTACTCTCTATCCCGAAAAAACAACTGGCCACTAAATCAGTCATGTACTTCCCAGAAACCTCCTTTATTTCCAGGATTTCGTTATCAAAGTTTTCTAAGTACTTCTGGAGGTTTTCTGCAGTGTTTACCATCAAGGGATACATGTTTTTTATCTTTCCAGAAGTAAAAATACTGCTTAACTTGTTCCTGATATTCCTCCAATCAGGATTTCTGATAATGAACAAGCTATTTCCGCTCATATCATCAGCCTCTTTATCACAAGCAAAAGTTCTATCTACAAAATTATTAAAATCTCTAATGGTAATCTGTTTGATGATGTCAGGACCCCGGATGACTAGATAGGGTTTCCCCCAGACGAAAATGCCGAAGTATGGACCTGTGAATTTGTTGTACAGGTGCCCTAAATGTTTTCCTATTTGTTTTTTCCCGCTGAAAACTTCCCAGAAGTTTCCTACGAGGAAATAGGGTTTTTCATAAGGCACGTTCCTGATTTTCCAGTAGTTGTCGTTTCTGGTGATGTAGGAGTAGCATAGGAGTAGTATTAGAAGGAATAAGAATATGGTTATCCAGTTTGGTAGTAGAAGATTTAGTAACATCTGAAAAATAAATGATTTAAAAAATACACCACCAAATGAATAAATTAAAATTGGACAAATAATAACGTCGATTAAAGAAATACGAATTCATGGAACAAAATCTGTCCGAGATGTAGCTGGCGTTACCTAGCCTGTCCGAGAATTCTGAGATTTAGTTTAGCACTGCGTCGCTGCACGCTGATAGTCGTTTACAGCGCAGCGTGAGCGCAGCGCATACAGAATACTGTATCGTAGTTCTGCTTTTAGTCGACAGAGTGAATGGTTGTCGGAGGCGGTGTTGCCAGAACTACTGATTAACCCGTGGATTTACGGATTCTAGGTACAGTACGTTAATAATACGGATTTTCTATCATTAAACAATTTAATATATTATATGATTAAACAAAGAACGGCATCAGAGTTGGCTTGGAAATGAAGATCGCTGTTATTTCATATTATGTAAAATATTATGGTAAATGTCAATAATCGTCTTTTCCAAGCCAACTAAACGACTTTTTTCGATCATTATGTTTTATATTGATTATATTCAGTACATATAAAAACAAATTATTTTTGTTATTTATTTTATGTTTAACACGAATAAATATTCAATACATAAACGCGGATTCTTCATCCAAAGATATTTTTGTCAAACGTATTACAGATATTACACATTTTAATATGGCAACACTGCCGCTTTCAGATCCATCCACACCGTCTTCGATATGCCTTCGCTGGCCGAATTAGACATATTTATTTCTATACTAATTATAATGACTTATAAACAGTTTTTTTAACAACCGATGTTTTCATCTAATCCTTAAGTGACTGACTCTGACATATTAATCACGATCCTGCTCAAACTACTCAACGTAAGAAGCTCAGTTCTGGCATACAGGTTGATTCTAGAGTGTAGAGGTTCGATAAGAAGGGATTTTTCGAAATTCCAGTTCCAAGGGGGTGAAACCACCACTCAAATATTACAATATTTTTTATTTAAAAAACGGTCAAGTTTCCGAAAAAACGCTTAAACACGTATATTTTATTTTGTTTTTTTACATATTTTAAGATTTTTTAAAAATGTATACAGGGTGTTCCGAAAAATCTGGTCATTAATTAATCACGATCGTGCTTAAAGCGCTTGACGTAAAAAGCTGATTTTTGGAAAACGGATTGACTTTAGGGTGTAGAGGTTCGATAAGAAGGGATTTTTCGAAACTCGACTTCTAAGGAGGTGAAACCACCCCTCAAATATTAGAATATTTTTATTTAAAAACCGGTAAGTTTTTCGGAAAAACTCTTAAACACGTATATTTTATTTTGTTGTTTTACATATTTTAAGATTTTTTAAAAATGTGTACAGGGTGTTTCATAAAATATGACAACGGAGTAATCACGATTCTGCTTAAACTGCTTGACGTTTAAAGCTGATTTTTGGCAAACAGATTGACTGTGGGGTGTAGAGGTTCGATAAGGAGGGGTGTCTCGGATCTCAAATTCCAAGAGGGTGAAATCGCCCCTCAAATATTACAATATTTGTTATTTAAAAAACGGTTAGTCTTTCGGGAAAACGCTTGGACATGCGTAATTTATTTTGCTTTTTTATATATTTTGAAATTTTTTAAAAAAATATACAGGGTGTTCTAAAAAGTTGGGTAATTCATTAACCACGATTCTGCTTAAACTGCTTGACGTAAAAAGCTTATTTTTGGCAAACGGATTTTTCGAAAGTCAAATTCCAACTAGATGAAACTACCCCTCAAATATTACCAAGTTATATAATAATATCGCCATATTGTTTTTTCTCATGCTGACATAAATGTGAGAAAATTTTATCCAATTTGTATGTTAATGGAAATTCTTGCTTTGCTTTATCATCACCATTACAAATTATTAATTCGACGCAAACGAAGTCGCGGGTACACGCTAGTTACTTATAAATAGAAGGCTAAAATTTATCGATACTGGCTTTTATCGATTTTCAAAACACCCCGTTCGTTCGTGGAGTTATTTAAATTTTATTCAGTTAGAAAATAGCCAAGATGAAAATTTTGAATTGTAAAATAAGTATAATATGGTCTGGTGTTTTGTACCATCAACTTTACAATTTAAAACTGACTGTTCATTTTTATTTATAACTATACCCCTACCTACAGGCCTTGTTCGTTCAGTTTTCTATGAATATGTTTGTGATATAGTCATGTATTTAAAAAAAGAAGCATGTAATTCTTTGAAATAAAAATCGGAAAGATAGATAAAAAATTATAGTTATTGAAAGTTTTGGCAAAAGGTCTTAGTATATTTGTGCAAAATGACACGTATACAGGGTGCTGCAAATTCGAGGTACGAGCATTGGTATCTCGGTAACCGTAATAGATACGAACATGGAATTTTTTCGAAAATCAATTTTATTTTTTCCTGTTACTTTTTCCAAAATCAAAAAACTAATTGCACATTCTCATAGCCACTTTATTAGGGCTATCTGATAGTATTTTTAGATTTGCAAATTAGCTGATAATTTTTGAGATACAGAGGCCAACTTATTTTTTTTTAAACGGACCTGCATTTTTTATTTCAAGTTTCGAAAGAACTCGGTCTCCTGAGTACAATGATTATTGCTATATGTTTTTTTTATAAAATTCATTAATTTATACAATATGATCGAAAAAAAAACAGTCAGCGATGGCTATGAAATGAAGATCGCTGTCATTTTATATGTAAACTTACATGGAGAATGTCATATCGATGATCTCTAAGCCAACTAAAGATACTAACTAAGCCAACATATCGATGATTTCTAAGCCAACTAAACGCCGTTGTTTTCGATCATACGGTATAAAAATTACCTATAGGCCTATGTATTTCATGATAAGGAACAAAACAAATAAAAGAAAAATCTTCCTCGGTGACATTGACCTAAGAATCGAGAGTCCTTCAACCTTGATCATGAAATAAACTGTTACATTCAGGTACACGTGTACCCAGGCCTTGAACTTTCAGGATAATAATCATTATTTTCCTTAAAATTTGAATGAAACCTGCCTTAATTTAGTAAGACAGTAGAAAAATTAGGCTTGACAGGCGACAATATTAACAAAAATAACAAGCAGAACCTAAGATAAGTTATAATTTAATTATTACTAAAGCTCCCTTACATTTAAGTACAAGTGCACCTAGAATCTAGAATATTGATTTTTTCTTTCGAAAAATGAATGAAACCCTTTCTAATTTACTAAAATATATGAAGAATGTTACAATTTACACATGAAACACCATTAAAAATGTAAGTAAATAACCAAAACAATCGTTTTGTAAATTTAATCCGTATTAAACTCTTCCTTAAAAAGTTGAATGAAATTTTCAATTTTTTAATAAAACACTAGAAGAATATTAAAACTTAGACATTAAACTGTAATAAAAATGATAAATAACTTACTTTAATTATTTTAAAGTTTATGTTCTAGAGGGGCACCAAACTCTATAGACCGGTGAAGAGCGATCTCAAGCAACAACTACTTTCAATTTAAAATTTCGATCTCGTTTTTTTTATTTCTTTTACCATGAAATTCAAATCTTTCGATCGATTTTTAAACAGTTACTTGGAGCTTCAGGCTAATAAATATTAATCAATGATGGTTTAAAATGTTAAGCTTACCCTACCTGGAATAATTTTTAAATTTGAACGAATTTTTTGATAGGATTACTTAAAAAAATGTTTTTCGAGACATGCACATTAAAAATTACTAATTTTCGTTCAAAATTAATACATTTTTAATTCAAAATTAATTAACCCTTTAAATGTTTCTAGAAATTTTGAATAAAAAATATCATAGATAAATTAAATAAAATATTAAAATAGGACATATTTTTACTTACAATTTAAACACAAACTCTACCAAACTTTATAAACCAGAAAGAAACAGGAATTTGTAAATTGGACTTATAAAACATGCTGACCAAAGAAATAACTAGCTTGAACCAGAGACAGAAAATTATATTTTATATAACAACCTGAACAGGATTTTAATGGTATATAAAAATAAAGAAGCCTTTGTACTAACTACTTTAAGTTATAAGATAAATTATAACACAGGAGAAGCTAATTATTAAGATAAAAAAATGTTTTAATACAAGAACTAATAGTAAATTAAAATGATGAACAGACGTGTATTATTGGTTGCCTACATTCAACATTTTAGGTGCACGTGCACTCGGACAACATGACAATAGGAATTATCGATATGTTTAATTTATCGAGATAGTCTTCTTTCATGTCAACGTTAAATATACAGGGTGGCCCAGAGTTCCTAAAAAGTTTCATACCAGATTTTAAATTTACATTCCAATTTCCGCGGTAGTACATTTTTACAATATACCATAAAACTGGACAAAAATGTTCGTCAAGTTAGCTTTGAAATGATGATCATCGACATTTATCCCTTGCATTTACCATATAACATTTTACACACAGGGTGAGTTTTAAATTAGTGCACATATTTTAGGGAGAGTCTTCAAAAAAGTCTTATGGGTATAGAGAGTCTTCAAAAAAGTCTTATGGGTATTCTATAGTACTGTACTCTAAGAAAATCTACAAAATAAAATAGTTATTTTTTGTAAACACTGCTGCGTTAATCCAACGAAGACCAACTTTTGTCAGCAGTGATTTACTAAAAAACACAACAATCAACACACAATAAAAGCACAACATTCAAAAAAAATTGACAAAAACATGTTTAACGCGTTTCGGGAAGTACCTATGTCTCTTCCGGTCGTCGGAAGCAAAAAAAAACACAAAGAAAATAAATAAACTAGATATTTAAAATATCTAAATATACCCAAATATTCAACACGTTAGTTTTTTTTCAACAGATACGTCTATAAAAACCGTTCCGGCAATATATGAGCTCTTCAAACAGTAAATTTGCAATACAAAAATTAATTGGGTGCTTAAGGACGAAAATAGATGGCAATACAAGAGCCTATGATGACGTCAAATCGACCCCGCCCCCCTCGACCAAAGAACCAAAAAACGGTTAAGTTGATTCTCTCATTCAGAGCACAGAACACAGCTATGGAACACAGAACTTATGCACAGAACAGATTTAGAGCATCAGAGGGAGATGACCAATGTGGCCTATTTTTATTGGATGTTGTGCTTGTGCTTGTGTTAGGTTAGGTTAGAGTTTTCAATTGTTAAAATGTCTTTAAAAAGATGTGTCTTTCATGGGTGTGAAAACACTTCAGAAAATAGTAAAGGATTGGCATTTTTTCGTTTTCCTAGACCTAAACCAGAGCTAGAGCAGTGGGTGTTAAGTTCAGGAAACAAATCTCTTTCTACAGATTATTCCCAGGTAAAAAATAAAGCTGTTTGTGCAAACCATTTTGCCGAAAAAAGTTTTGCCGATGCGACCAAAACAAAATTGAACAGACATGCAGTACCGCTCAAATGGGTCAAGCAACAGGTCAAACCAAAAGTCAAACATACGGTAAGTTTTTTATATAATTTTTTTAATTTTTTGAAAATAAATAAATGAACAAGTAACATGAAAACGCTTAAGTAATGTATTAGTAGAGCTGTAATTTTTATCAAAAATATCGATAAAATTGTATCAGAGCCATCAGAGGTGGCTTGTCTTGTACATGACAATCGAAAACATTTTATACAGAGACAATATTTTAATATTTAATATGTGAAATTAACTGGCTAATGTAATCGATTGTTATTTATAAGGTGAAGACGTTATTTTCGACCATTGTCTCTGCATAGTGTATTTATTTTTTATTTCCATTTAAATATATATTGTATTAACATTTTGTAAAAGAAGTTTTTAATTAAAAAATATAATACATCTAAAAAAATAATTACTGCCTCTCGATTTTCAATTCTAAATATAATTTAACAATTTCGTTATTTCTTTTATAATAGAAAAGGCACTCAAATATCGACATTCTTTCAATATCGAACTTTGCACGTTATCGATATATAGTATTACATCTTTAATATACCGAAATGTCAAACAAGAAATAAGAGTGGGGGAAATTAAAAATGGACGCCTATCGTTCTATTTTTCTGTGAGATTGGATTTTTTGAAAATTGAACAACTTTTCAGATATTGCTAGTGTATGAATATATAATTCTTAGTACATAGAAAATGGGAAAAAAGGTTTGTAGTACTTAAGTTATTCTAGGACTTGTAAAAATAAAACAAGTACAGAAGTGCAATAATTGTTCATAAAACACCGCCATAAACAATACATTTTTGAACAAATCCACTTTTTATTGAATACAAACGTAGATTCTTTCTGTAAAAACAATGTTTTTAAATTTGTTATTATAAATTTGGAAAATTCTAATATGAAGTAGTTAAGACCTCTGAACAAACAGTTAAAATCTAATTAATTTGAGAAATGTGTAAGCCGAATATTTACATTATTATTTTCTTTTTTCGATATAGAATAAATTGGAAGCGGTTTTGCCTTCCAAACGGCATGAAGTGGTCGTACAAAAAAGGCATCAGTCCAGAAGGGCTGCGAGTAAAGAAGCCCTCAAGCAAATGCAGATTTTGCTCGAGGATGAAAATGATACTGTTGAAATACCAGATGATGATGTAAGTACTGATTAATTTTATTAAATATATAGAAAACTTTGAACCACTACAATAATGTATTGTTGTTCTTACTATTTTATTTCACTTTTCAGGATGTTATTCCAGTTCCTGTTGTTGTTTCTCCACCGAGAAAAAAATACAAGCTTTCTCACCGAAAATCTTCTGATGGAAATGGTATTCAAAAACTGAATTATTTGAATAAAATTTGTTTTACCTATTTTTCTTATCAATGTTTAGATAGAGAAGTTTTGGTGCTTAAAAGCATTACTCCTAACATAACCAATCACAATGTCGAGAACAATTTGGAACTTGAATGTTGGGTAGAGGAATTGGAGCCCTGCCAGAAAGAAAGAAATAAGAAATTAGAGGAAGAATATAAAGCTATACAGGAAAAATTAGATGAGTTGGTGAAAGCTTGCAAGGGTGAAGTGGTGCACAAAGGTGATCTGACTACCGTCATTGAAGTATCGGAGAATGTTCAAAAAACAATTCATGGTAAGTTTTTTTTTTAAATATGTAGGAAATAACAACCCACATATTTTATTTTAGCTGTACAAGCATCGAATAACAAGCAACCGAATATAATCCTAAATAGTAGCATTGCGAATCCCCAATCCGGTTATCAGCTTGTGATGGATCCAAGATTGGGTCTTGTGTTGGGAATGGGTCAGCAACCAGCTCAAACACCTCCTAAGCAATTGGGAAAAGTTCAGGTAAGAATATAACTTATAATAAGAATAACAGTATTCTGTAAAGAAATGTATGGAATATAGTCTGTCCAGCAAGAATAAATCTGGTGATAGATGTGTCCATCATTTTAATTCTAAGGTAGTCATAGATAAAGGAAACAATTTTAGATTGGAATGCTCAGCTTGCCGCCAAAACGTATAATTGTTTTGGGGTGCATACCTTGTAGGGCACTGCTATAGCGGTTGCTTAGAACAACCGCAAACAAGAACAGAAATAATTTTCTCTTGTCAAAGTCAGAATCTTCAAAAATTATAAGATCTTTCAAAATTTAAACTACCCTGATTGAAACAATTCTGAAAAGTTTTTAAAGTATACATTTTCAAAATAATTATTGCTATCTTGTGAGTTTAATTTAAATTTTATTTACTCAAACCTGTGATAATTGTGAAAAAGTAGCATTAAAAACTTAAAAAGCTGTGTGAACTGTGAACTGCAAAAATCATCGTGGATCGTGGCATAACGTCGGTTTCTAATGTTTCATAGGTATTTCCTTATATAAATGTGTGTTGCATATAAGAAACTTTATTTTATATAATGACATGTCCTTACATAAAATAAAGTTTCTTATATGCAACACACTATATTTTATTTAAAAAATTAAAAGAAACTAATAAATTTGAATATACAATATTTGGCGACATAATTCCGGAAAAAGCTGAACCGCTACGAAATTATCAAAAGCTTTGAAGAGCGACCGTTCTAAGAATAGCGCCAAATAGTATTTCCATTATCCTTAAGCCGCGTCCAAGCTACTCGAACAAAATGTTCGCGAACAGATACTAAGTGAAAATTGTGAGATAGGTAGATTTATAAATAATAAAGCCAACAAGTACAGCTAGCCTAGGCCTATTAAGGAGCACGGAGCGCCGAACGGCTAGCTTGTACGCCAGAGCGTGCGTCTGCCTATGCTAGCGCGCGCGTTCTTTTTCCGACGGGTGTCGGTAAATCAAAAGGACCGAACGGCGTGCATTTCGGCGGACATTGTACCGGAACCTTGGAAGGGTTTCATTTAATTTCGGGCGTCCATCTGTGATTTTTATTTTTTACCGAGTATTCGACAATGGGAGACGCAGTTATTGACTGGATCGTGAAAAACATTTACAACTAATTTGTTTACACAAAGAAAAGATTTTATAATTTTAATTTTATTGTGGGTTGAGTGTGAATAGCTATGTAGCTAGACTTCGTCCATATAATTTCATTTTTGTTAATAAAGACCTTTATGATTATTTTTATTAAAAACCGGAAGTATGGGATTCTGAAATTAAAAATTACTACTTAATAGGAAGTTTGACACCGGAAATGAAATTTTACCATTACATTTTTAGGAATATATATACCGGGTATTTCTGAAAAGTGGTTCACTTATATAACTTTTTTAATTTTTTAGATAAAAAACGAGATTTGGTATGTTAGTATAAGACATAAATCAGGATTGATCGACGTTTTCATTTATTTTCGGTCACTACCTATTTCACCGGAAATGACAACAACTTTTGATTTAAATGGTACCCTCGGTATTTTTTTACCGTATATGATAGAAAATGACATTCTAAATAGAATGATTATATGTCAACTTTTGACATTTTCAATTTAAAAATGGCCATAGATAAACGTAACGACAATTTTACTCCAAATACCAAGTATGTGGTACCAAATTATTCGTAAAAAATGCTTTTTCCAAATATGCTGAGCCCGCCTCGTACTATTTGAAAAATTTGAGTTATCATTAAAAATACGATTTGGGCATCTTTTAAGCGGCCATGAAAGGATACGAAAAAAAATTACACCATCAAATATAGGTTTCCAAAGTTCTTTGATTACAAATTAATAGTTTTAACTCAGTCTTGGCACTCTAGATTGAAATTTAAAATGCTATTTTTATTTAATTGAAATTGTCTAAAATTGACGTATGGTATGTCATTCTATTCAGAATGTCATTTTCTATCAAATAAAGTAAAAAAAAGTACTTAGGATACAATCCAAATAAAAAATACAAAGTTGTAGTCATTTCCAGTGAAACAGGAAGCGACCGAATACTAACAAACCAAATTTCGTTGTATTATCTGAAAAAATAAAAAAGTGAGCCGCTTTTGAGTAACACCTGGTAGAATCGGCTGAAAATGAATACAGGTCTTAAAAATACACTATAACGAATAATCTACCAAAAGACCCTCCGCCTGCTAAATATTGATTCTTTAACGACAAAAGTTCTTAAACTGTTTACTGGTTAATTTATTTAATAAAATGCTTGCACTCGAAATCCGGGCACTCGAAAAAACAGCGACTACCTAAACGCATCCTAGATCTATAGAGTAAACTGGTTGTCGCATTCTTCCCCGCACCTCAGTCCTCGGGACCGATGCGATGGGCTGTGCCGACTGCTGCTACGAGTATACAGGTTAAAAAAAATTATACAGGGTCCGGCAATAGTGCGTCGGGCATCTGTAGCTCCTAGAATAAAAAATTTGAGAATTTTGTTTAAGTGCAAACCTAAAGTATGTATCAGGATGTATTTCAGGAAAATATGTAAACTTCTATAGGGTGGCTCAAAAAAGTGTCAGTGGACCTGGATGATTTTTTTTTGAATGGAACACCCTGTATATTATTGCATTTTTGGCTTCCTTTCAGATCACTTTATATAACCCTAAGATATGAATAAATATATTTCGATAGTTTCAGAGATATTAAAAAATAAATAAAAAATATATATTTTTCAGCCCTTCATAAAAAAATTATTAAAAATACAGGAACTGTTTTGAAATCAAAAATATATTAGGTATTTACTTTAGATGGTCTGTTCTTACTTTGCTATAAATATGGTAATCGTAAATCATACAGGATGTTCAATATTCTACGCCAAACTTTCTAAAATATAAAATATTTTTCTTTGTTTTTAAATGGAACACCGGTATATTATTTTTTATTAGATCGAGAGGTAAAAATGAACATTTATTGTATTTAGAGTATTTCAAAATTTTTAACGGTTTCGCAGATACACGCAGTATTATTTCATATGGCGCTGTCAATGGTAAAATACGAGAGAAAAATCATTGGGTGGCTTTGATAAAAATTTACTGTGGAAAATGCCCTATGAAATATAAAACCGCAAATATCTGCGAAACCATTTAAAATTTTTGAAATACTCTAAATACAAAAATGTTCATTTTTAATTCTCCGTCTATTGAAAAAATAATATACAGGGTGTTCCATTAAAAAAACGAAGAAAATTATTTTATATTTTAGAAAGTTTGGCGTAGAATTTTACGAACATCCTGTATGATTTACGATTTTCATATTTATAACAAAGTAAGTACGAACCATCTAAAAGTAAATACTAACATAGTCTTGATTTCATCATTTTCTTCATGTAATTAATATCATATATACTTTATTAAAGTGTTAACAAGGAACTTTATATCAAAAAACATCTTTGTACTTATAAATTTCAGCCGAAATATCAGAAACAAACTTCCAATCAAATCTAAACGGCAAAAATTAAAATGGCGCCCGACCTTGCCAGAGGCCTCGAGAGCTGACGCTGACACACAGACAAAAGACAAAAGAACAGGACGCCGACGTGCATAAAAATGTTCCATAGCAGAAATTGACAGAAATCATATAGAAATATTCAGATTTTTGTCTAGGACAGTCTAGAAGGCCATGCTTTCTGCCTGGGTAGAACCGCGCCACAACTGTTTCCAATTTTCCGGTTTACTGTCACCCCCCTGATTATATATGTTCGCGAACGTTTTGTTCGAGTAGCTTGGACGCGGCTTTATGGGCTCTTTCCAATCTAAACTAGTTTCTTTTATCTATGAAAGTAGTTTATTTTGATTTCTAAAGAAATAAGTTGCGAAGAATACAAAAGAAAAAAAAAGAGAAATTAGTAGGTTTAAAATTTTAGTGATGAATGATTAAAAAAATTAATTCAGCTAATTTCTAAAATATTATATTTATGATCTGAAAAGATCTATTAACTGAAAAAATCAGCTTGAGCTGTTATCAATTTAAAAATATATTTTTTAACGTGTGTGTTAATAAGGATCATACGTATTAACACACATACATCATACATCGTATGTATATAAAAATATGATTGTAAAAAAACCCTTAGGGAGGTAAAATATTAATTGCAGTCACTTATTACATCCCCTTTTATAGATGCCACGCCACACCGCTGCATAGTACAGTCTATAAACACATTTTGAATGTTAAAAAACCCATCTACACATTTTCTACAGGTATCTCCTAGTGTACAGCCTGCCACACCGCCGACAGCGCAAGTCACTCCCACAAGAACAGGAAGAACTCGCGGAAAGAAGCAGATTTCTGTATTGCAACCGACGCCACCTCCTCCACCAGTGACAGTTACTACCAGATCTGTGGGTAATGCCAAGCAATCGAATAAGGGAAGACCTCCCGCCCAGCCGTTGCCTCAACCCACACCGCCAGCTACCAGGTCTAGAGGCAATGTCAATGTAAGTATTTTTTTAACACCAAAAAATGAGTTATAATCCTAGATCATTTATATTTTCGTGAATAAACGCCATAAGATTAGTATTAAAAAGGGTGTCTCCATTATCACAACATGCCATTTTCATACTTTGTCTATTGCACTATGAAGCGTTCAATACTGTTTTTCACTTCCCGAGGACCTTACTTTGCGCAAGCGCACTAAAAATTGAATGTACTTGCAATACAATCATATGTGTGGTGCGCTGCACAATACCGGGTGCGTCTCAAAAGTAGCTCATCACTATAACTTTTTTATTTTTTCATATAAAAAAAACGAGATTTGGTATGTTAGTATATGACATAAATTAGGATTGATTGACGTATTCAATTCTTTTTGGCCACTTCCTGTTTATCGAAATGACTACAGCTTTTGATTTTTAAATGGCACACTCGGTATTTTTTTACTTTATTCGATAGAAAATAACACTCTGAATAGAATTACATATCATATGTTAAGTTTTGACATTTACGCATATGGTTTATTTGAAATTATAACATGCGGTTTATAACGAAAATTTGACTTGAAATACCAAGTGTGTGGTATCAAATTATTCGTAAAAAAAAATGCTTTTTCCAAATGTACTAATGAGCCACCCTCATTCCATTTGAAAAAATTGAGATATGATTAAAAATACGATGTGGGTATCTTTTAACTGGCCAGGACAAGACACTAAAAACATTAGACGATCAAATATATTTTCCCAAGGCTCCTTGATTAAGAATTAGTGTTTTTAACAAAGCGATGGCACTCTAAATTCAAATTTAAAATTCGATTTTTTATTAAGCGAGAATATCAAAAATTGACTTATGATGTCATTCTATTCAGAACGTCATATTCTATCGAGTAAAGTAAAAAAATACCGAGGGTGTCATTTAAAAATCAAAAGTTGTAGTCATTTCCGGTGAAACCGGAAGTGACCAAAAACAATTGAATACGTCAGTCAATCCTAATTTATATCATATACCACATTTCGTTTTTTTATCTGAAAAAATAAAAAAATTATAGGGGGTGAGCCACTTTTTGAGACGCACCCGGTATTTTCTTTTTCTTATAAAATATTTCAATTTTTTTTATTTTTTCTGTAGTTTAGCACGACCGTCGTGTCTGTCAAACCGACGGAAACTAACGTTGAGGGCGGTCTTAGCACCGGCGCCAGCGCCAAGTCCAAAGCCATCGTCGACCTTACAGCGGACGACGGCAAACATTTGCCTGACAGCAGAGAAATATCCTTCAACAAGCTGCAGGGCAAGACGTTCCCCTCTTTGGTCGTGGTGGCCAGGCCTCATTTCAGAGTGACAGACGTCAATAGTGACAGGGTCAAGTTGGACACGAAGGTCAAGGCGGTTTTGATGTACCAACCGGCCAAGTTTACTGAATGGTGAGTTTATATACAGGGTCCGGCAATAGTGCGTCGGGCATCTGTAGCTCCTAGAATAAAAAACTTGGGAATTTGGTTTAAGTGCAAATCTAAAGTATGTACTAGGCTGTATTTCAGGAAAATATTTTAACTTCTATAGGGTGGCTCAAAATAATGCGAGTGGATCGGGATGTTTTTTTTTAATGGAACACCCTGTATATTATTGCATTTTTCTTTGCAGCTTTCTTTCAGATCACTTTACATAATCCTAAAATATGAGTAAATATATTTCGATAGTTCCAGATATATTAATAAATAAATAAAAAATATATAGGTATTTCTCGTTCTTAAAAAAAATATTAAAAAGTAAATCACACAGGATGTTCAAAATTCTACGCCAAACTTTTTAAATTATAAAATAATTTTTCTTGGTTTTTTTTTTAAATGGAACACACTGTATTTTTTATTAAACGGAGAATTAAAAAATTATCATTTTTGTATTTAGAGTATTTCAAAAATTTTAACGTTTTTGCAGATATTCGCGGTTATACAGGGTGTCCCAGAAATAAGTGCAAATATTTTAGGTGGTAGTATAGTTCAACCCCAGAAACACGCCTATAAGGTTTTTTTAGCGAGAAATTTTTTTTTGAAAATTCGAAATTTTTTGGATTTTTTTTTAGTTTTTAGTTAAAAACCATAATTTGTTGATAATTTGGCAACAAAGGTATTAGATAAAATTTACAAGAAAGAAAATCCAGAAAAAGATCCATTGGTTTTCAAAATTTTAGCAAAAAATCATTTTTTTTTGGTAATTTTTCAAAGTAAAATAACTCCGTTATTTTGGACTTATTTGAAAAACGATAAAGAGAAAATATATTTCTTTTATCGAGATCTACCACCTCTTAAAATATTTGCACATATTTCTGGAACATCCTGTATAATACTGGTCGATAAGTGGTAGACAGTTACAGAAAAGCTAGTTGAAGACTTGAAGTAAATAATGTACTGAGTGCCAAAAATTGGTTTGTTATGTTTTATTTGTAAAATTCCATAACCAACAACTTGCAGTTGTAGGTTATAACCAACAAGTGCCTAGTTCAAAATTTCTACACAGATAGCGCTAAATCGAAACATTTTCGAGACAAGGTTTCCATTTATTGACGATTCATTTTCGAAACACGAGTTTCTCTCTTTTTAGACACAAATATGATATAATGTAGATGATTGGTGTCTGATTCCATGTCAATTTTATAAAATAATGAATTAAAATTCCGCCATGTTGGCTAGTGATAACATTTTTAACTAAAAATATATGTTCTTATCGGCAGTTGAGCTTTTAAGCTCATAAGAACGCGTTCTACTTACATTAATTTATATATTTTTATTTTCAGAACTATGATGAGAAATAAAAATAAAAATCTATATTTCAAAGAAAAATATTTTGTAGCAACAAATAATGATATATACAGGGTTTTGTTTTGTTTCTGTTTTGTTCGTATGTTCTAATTACATTCAATTTCTTTACTTTAACATAATTATTTTCTTTTAAAAAACACAAACGATATTGTCGATTCTGCCAAAAATTGAATTAAAGTAAAAAATACGGATTAAAAAGAAAACCGTTGAAAATGGGTATAGGGAAAGTTATAGCAAATCGATGCAGAATTGAATTCTGCATCTAACTATCGAAAAATATATAGGGTGTCTCATTTGAAAAAATGGACTTTTTTGAGTTTGAAAATAATCTAATCAGTTATCGAATTTTGGACACCCTGTATGAGATAAATTAGTTGTCAATATGGACTTCGAAAGTATTAGTCCTCTGCTCCAGTTTACCGCAGAAGCGTTTATCACCAATTCAAAATGAGTAAAAGACCCACTGTTAAAAATAGGGGTAAATATGTAAACATTTTCAAATAAATCAAGATATCTGAGAAACAGTTGAAAATAGCAGTGGCGGATACAGAGGGGGGGCCCATGGGCCCCCCCCCCTAAAATCTATAAATTTGGTCGGATATTAGGCTTTTGGATTAAAAATGGCGCCCTAAAAGGCATATTCGACATTACTTTTTATTTGGCCCCCCCCTAAAATAAATTCCTGTATCCGCCCCAGGAAAATAGGTATAGGGAAATCTAATGAAACTCATCATAAATTTTTCTGAAAAATCCAAATATTAAATAATATACAGGGTGTTCCATTTGAAATAAGGAAGTTAATGGCGACTTCCGGTGTAACCGGAAGTGGTATGACCTTGAAAATATTTTTAAATGAAAGGAAATTTTAAATAACCTAAAGTCTCAAAATTTCAAACTTCTAAGTATTTCCTAACCTCAAAAACTTCTAACGAACGGCTACGGTGAGAAACCCTGTCTGGGTTTGGGAAAGAATTCCAGAATTGTAAAAGAATAGATGGCCCCAATATGGTGGACAGCCAGACAACATTGAGGTCATCATAAAATTGAGCTGGCAATTGCCCAGTAGCAAAGCCAAAACCGAGACAAGACAAGACAAGACAACCCTGTAGATGGGGCATTAAAAATATGAAAGTACATTATTAAATTAATTAAACGATGAATTTGCTTTTGCCAGACATTTTTTGTGCGAGAAAACCTAAAACAAAGACCTTAAGACAAAAAAATTATGGCGGAGCTCGACATTGTTGACGGTTGTTTTCATTTTGAAATTTACAAACAGACATAGACTATTTTAGTTTGGTATTTTGTTTCTTCACATTTAAGAACAGTGGCTGTTGAAAACGGGAACATCTTAGGACATAAATTGCAGAAAATGTTTCGAAACATTCCCTCTAAAAGTTTTGATTCCGCAGCGAAACATTTCAGAAAACGGCCAGTGCCACCACATTGAAAACACACGTAATAAAGCCATTTAAAATATATTGGTTTCGAAAATGTTTCCTATTTGTGGCATATATTATTATGGGTTATTTATTTATTTATTTATTGATGTACATCTTACAACGCCATAAGTGGTAATAACAAGTAAGAGGGGGTATTAATGCACAAACTAATAATCACAGAATTTAATAAAAACTAACGTAGAAATAACTTTGAAAGTGGTGCAATGTGCTTATCAATCAAACTTACTTCTCTGACTGCAGTCAAAGGTAATAAAGGATCTTTATTGTCATTTATCGTTCAAAATAGTTTATCAGGAAAGCTACAAGCTCTTTGCTTCGACTGTTAAAATGCTTCGGCATATTTTCAACGCATAATTTCAAGAAATGCAATACAAAAACTCGAAAATTTAGTTCTTAAAAGAACTGGTTGTGCTTAAAAGTACAATTTAAAAAAAAAGACTGAAAATAAGCAAAAAAAGAGAATTACTCACAAAGATTCATCAACAACACGATATTATACAAAATAATGACTGACATTAGGATAATTGTCAAATAATAAAGGACAACCTTGCTGAAAACGGCGCAATGTGACCAACATAGCTATAATATAATTCGGTTTAAACTAATTTTTGCAGCTTTAATCTAAATAAAATATCTGTTACCATCATTTGCTCTATAAAGTAAAATGAAGAGCTGCTCGGTATCTTAAATTATACGACAAATTTAAACATTTTTGTCAAAATTTCATTTAGTCAGATTTATAGACTTTAGTGTCAATGTCGATATAATGATGACGTGCATCGGAAAATGTTTTGCGATTACAATATATAGATTACTTTTACAGGTTGATACAGCAGGGACTGATCAAATCTAAGCAGGTCTGCTCGACGCACGGTAGCCAACTGAAGTTGGGCATGTACAGTGACGTGAGCAAGTTTCCTTATTCGGGAGGCTACGTCTGGATATCGGAATGCTGCCCGCAAAAGTTCGTGTCCGTTTTTAGCGGTTCCATATTCGAGGGCTCCCCGCATCCGCCTCTCGTTATTTTGAAAATACTGTACCACTGGGCCTGTCAGACCAACATCCAGAACGTTACGCAGTGGGTAAGTTCCTTTGCAATTTGAAAATGGAATGTTATATTCAGAGTGTACAGGGTGTCCCACTAAGAATAGCTCTCGGCTGTATCTCGGAAAGTATTAGTCGTAGGGCTTGCGAAAAAAAAATATTTATAACTAAAGAGAGCTATGATAAATTGCTAGAAATTATTTTCAAGTTTGTAAAACGCTCGCAACTGCTATGGAAAATAAGAAAATAAATTTTTTACAGAATTTTGCCTAGATAATGGGTACTATAAATAATAGCTTCATAATGTTCAGTAAATTTTGGATTTTTTTGTTAGAACCATTTTCCCCTATACACTAAAATAAAGTGGTGGGGGAAGGTTAGATATAGATTTATTTAAATGTTAATAACTACGGACTGGATGATCAGAATCCAACAAACGAGGGCTCGTTTAAAAGAGCGTTTCTTACTCTATATTATACCATAAAAATATTAATAATAAGGGTTTGAACGTAGACGCTAGGGGGCGCTTTCTTACAATTTAACAAACAGTGCGTTTTTTAAAAAAATAAATAAATACGATAGTATATGTAGTAGTAAAAGCTTAAAAAGTCAGCGAAAACCGCGTCTTGATATCTTCTTTCAAACCGACGATATTAGCAAAATTATAATAAATACCAAAAAATAAGCCCTTAATTACCTTATTTTTACAACACGGTATCAATAGCCCTCTTGATTATCCCCATTCAAACAAAAAAATAAGATAGAAACAGTTAGTTTATTTTAAAATCGACGAAATACCAGAATACCATAATACCAGATGTATTAATATCTAATAATTAAGATATTAATAACAGTGAACAAGAAACGATGATTCAGTGAAGTCATGGTAGGCTTTGGAAAAAAGTTGCTTTTGACGTAATAGTATAAAGTCAAATTGTTATTAGATCAACATTTCGATAGTCTTAGCAGCGTTTTTTTATCTTTTAATTGGTTTTTCAAAATGCCTTTATTATTTCAAGTAGAGTAAGTTGTTGGCATTTTGAAAAAGCAATCAAAATATAAAAGACTAACTAACAGATTTACTTGGATCATATTTGTTTTATTTTCTTCTATATTTTAGGTTAAAGTAGACAACTTATATGTAAAAGGAATGTATACATGGCTCAGAGCAGCCTGTACTGTCGCCTTACATACGTACATCAGACAACTAGGCGGCTCGCAATGTAAGGTAGAGGTTGGAGTTATCTCGCTAGGAACGACGTCACAAGATGGCAATTCGCGACAAGTCAAGGTAAAAATAAAGTTACAGTGTATTACCACAGACAGAATAGAGAACAATTATTCTTTATACTGTGGTATTACAGTAGGTTTGTTCCAACATAACAAAGAACCGTTCGTGGTATGCAAATATATTGCTACTACCGCATTTACACAATGAGTGGAAAGTGAAACCAAAGAAAAGAAATAGGAATATAAATCTTGCATAAGTCTATCCTTTTCGTTCAACAGGATTTTCATGCGCACGCACCAAATAAAACGATCTGATTCGCCTACTTCATCGCTGAACGCTGTCACCTGCCCACGCACTATTTTAAACTCTAAATATTAATAACGTATAATATATTATTTTTTTATTGGTAATGGCATTATTTCAATCTGTTATTTTAGTTGTTTATATTCAACATATCTATTTGTTTCTTGATTTTGTTTAAATATGTCAGAAATTAAATTTAAATTTATAAGTAAAGGCATGAATAGTCAGACGCTAAATTGATTTACGTGGTAGATAGAAACTTAGAAAACTACTTCTATTGGTTAGTATGAAATAAATCAACTAATCAAGAAGCACTTCTCACGCTTGCGTAGTTCAAAGCTGTTGAACGAAAAGGATCGACTTATGTGGATTTTGTATACCTCCATCTTGTAGAATGTAGAATGTAGTATATCTACTAATAATATGTAGTAGAATGTAATACATTCTACCTCCATCTTAAAAATTTGGCTTCAATTTCTATTTCTGACTAGCGATATAGTGTAATATATACCGTATGATCGAAAAAAAAAACGGCGTCCAGTTGGCTTGGAAATGACGATCGATGACATTCCCCAAATAATTTTACATATAAAATGACAGCGATGTTCATTTCATAGCCATCTGACGCCGTTTTTTTTTTCGACCATAAGGTATATGTTGGTATGATTACGCTTATTCGCAGTAGAGAAAATGCGTTCCATCAACGAGAGAATCGTTTAGCGAACCATTTTTTTGCGTTTTAACCAAAATTCGATACCAGCTTAAAAGCAAGAATTAGAGGAACTGACGTGCGTATTAAGATTGTGTCAACTGATTATTGTTTTTCTTTGGCTATTTTCTGTTTATAATTTACTGATTCCTCAAGTTTTATTTCGTATTTATCGTTTTTACATAAAAACGTTTTTAAATAATTGTTTTTATATTTTATATTTATACTAAATATTATGATAAATGACAAAGAGGACAGTTTCTAGAACAGTACAAATTTTCTGTGTTGGAACAAACCTAGTTTAAAGATCTACTTAGTAGGTTATCACCCTTTTTTAAACTAATGGAATTTTAGGTGGAAGTTCTGGGTATTTTAGAAGTAGCCACCAAATTAGTCAGATTGAAAGCCGTCGAACCTCTGGCCGAAGGAGACAGGAATTACAAGAGGCGTTTTTCGAAGATTCTCGAACCTTTGGTTCAGTGGGTTCATCCCAGCAGTGTTATAGTCACCGACCTGACAGTGGATAAAGCCACTTTAGTCCAAATGGGCTTTAACCATGTGGTACAGTCCACTTCTATGGATTCGAATAATTCGAATAGAACGATTATGGAGTATTTGAGGAGGATCGTGCCTAGGATGTTCCAGAATACGCTTTCGTTACTTTCAAGGTAGGCAAATAATAATAATTTATTCATATCAATATTACAAAAAATAATTTAGACACACGCCAATAAACATATAAAAAACATACAAACAATTCACTGTATAAAATCTTACTTGATAAACATATTCAGATAGGACAATATAATAAAAAGTTAAAATCTGTAAATTTCTTATACGGAGTGAGTCTTAAATAAGTGCATATATTTTTAGGGGTGGTATGTTTATTCAGGTCGATGAGGTTTTGAGATTTTGTACTTTCCAAAAACAAAATTTAATTTTTATTTAAAAATATGTCATCTGATAATCTGGCAATATGTAGGGTGGTCCTAACTGTATTCCGGAAGTCTTATCTAAAAATAACCGGTTTGCAATCGTGATTTTACTTTACTTGACAGGGAAAGGCGTACCGGCAACTCCGCAATAACACGTCGTCGCATTTCTCTCACTTGACTTAATAAGATCCCTATGCGATTTACTTCCACACTGATCCACACATGTAAATCCTCAATATTTGGATGAAAATTGATGTCTGGGAGTTTTTTGACATGAGAAATTTGATTTTGATGTCAATATGACTTCTACTTGTAGAGGGGGTGTGATTATATCATATATTTTAATAGTTCTATATTATAATATTCTCTGTATTATACAACTCGAAAAAAAACAATCACCTGCCATTTGAAATCAAATCCATAACATCATTTTTTCATTTCGTCAAAGCAGTGAACTCTTATTTACTAGACAAGGCTTTCTACGCCGTAAATGAATTATATTTGAATTGAAAATCGAATTTGATCTTGAAAACACTGGTCTAATGTTTGCTATTGCTATATTTACTAATGACATCGAAATTAATTTATTTAGAGGTCATTGATATTCTATAAACTGGCTAAATATTTTTTGAATATTATTTATGATTTTTTTGTTCTTTGACATTGTAAACATTTATATATGTTTATTTTAACAATAAGACTGACAATATTATTTGTATAATGTTTTGTATTATCTTTTGTTTGTTTGTTTGTGTACCTTGTTTTTTTTTACTTTGTTTGTTAGTTTACCTTTGTCCACAAATTGAAAAATTTTTTGACAATAAAGGCATTTATTTATTTATTTATTTATTTATTCAACACATGTTTATATTTTTTTCAATAATGACATGTATTGACTACTTCCATTCTAAATATCTTGAGAACGGTTGCTTGTAGATATTTTTACTAAGAGTTATTTTTACGTAAAAAATCACGAAAATGTATATTTTCTCACCCAATAGTATTATACAGGTATGAACAAAAAGGTATTACTCTTCAAAACAGTTAAAACACATGTATGTGCCCCCCTTCAAATAGGAGTCATATTGACATCACAATCAAATTTCTCATGTCAAAAAACTCCTAGACGCCAATTTTCATTCAAATATTGATGTTATTTCAGAAATTATTTGGATAAAATTGAAATGAGTACGAAACTTCTACACCCTGTATCACCAAAACTAAGCATTTTAGAACATACATTTATATGAACTTTTTTACCTATTCTTATCTGCAGAATATGCTGCCGTAGTTTACAGAATACAGTTCGTACCACCCTGTAGATTAAATTTAGAAGAAAAGATTAAGATTTTTGAAGATACTGACTTTGACAAGAGAATATGCTTTCTGATCCTTGTTTGCGATTATTTTTAGCAACCGCTATAGTAGCGCCCTAGTGTACGCGATACAAAGTAATTGTAAGTTTTGGTGGCAAGCCCAGTATTCCAATCTAAATGTATTTTTTTTATCTATGGTCAGATCCGTTTGTCAGACTGTATTTCAATCAACTTTTTTTAATAACTAAATTTTAAAATTTTTCTAATTCTTGCAATACCCAAACAAAATCTTTCGTTCTAGGCAAATAATCCAGCAGTTCCTGGACGAGCTGGTGTGGCGCGAATGGTTCGGCACCACCTCGATGCAGGCCTTCGACAACCTGGTGGTGCACCTGGCCGAGCAAACGCGCCAGACGCAGGGCGGCAACAGCCTCTTCGTGCGCCTCAACAAGGTGGCCATGAACCCGTTCCGCAGCTGGGCGCTGACGCCGGCTCCCGTCCAGCCGGGAACCGTGGCTCCGCCGGCTCAGCAGCAGCAGCCAGCGCCTAAGCCGGCGCCCAAAGCGGCACCGGTGGTCCAGCCGCCGGCCAAGGCGCCGGAAGCGGTCTCTGTAGTGAAGAAACGTAAAAGGTACGTTCGGGCGTGGCCAGTCCGACCCTGCCTTTTATAGCTGTTTTTTTTTACAGCTGTCGATAATAGCAATTAAAATACGCCGGGTGCGTCTCGAAAGTGGCTCGTTTGGTATGTTAGTATATGACATAAATTAGGATTGATTGACGTATTCAATTGTTTTTGGTCACTTCCTGTTTCACTGGAAATCTCTAACTTTTGATTTTTAAATGGCACCCTTTGTATTTTTGTACTTTATTCGATAGAAAGCGACATTCTGAATAGGAAGACATATCATATATCAACTTTTGACAATCTAGAGTACCATGGCTATGTTAAAAACACTAATTTTTAATCAAGAAGCCTTGGCAAAATGGATTTGATTGTCTAATGTTTTTAGTGTCTTGTCCTGGCTGGTTAAAAGATGCCCAAATCGTATTTTTAATTATATCTCAATTTTTTCAAACGGAACGAGGGTGGCTCGTTAGCATATTTAGAAAAAGTATTTTTTATGTATAATTTGATACCACACACTTGGTATTTGAGTCAGATTCTTGTTATGAACCACTTGTTATAATTTAAAATAAACCATATGCGAAAATGTCATAAGTTGTCATATGATATGTCATTCTATTCAGAGTGTTATTTTCTGTCGAATAAAGTAAAATAATACTGAAGGTGCCATTTAAAAATCAAAAGTTGTAGTCATTTCCGGTGAAACAGGAAATGACCGAAAATAAATATTGAATACCATCAATTAATCCTAATTTATATCATATACTAACATACCAAATGTCGTTTTTTTAACTGAAAAAAAAAATAAAAAAGTTATAAGGGTGAGCCACTTTTGAGACGCACCCGGTATAACTTATGTTCAAATAAAACAAGTTTTAATATTGCACAGGAATACATAGAACACAACATAACTAAAACAAAATATTTTATTAATAATAATTTCAATAATTTACAAATTCCTTCTCAATTTTATTCCTTAAATGTTAATTAATTAAATGTAATCCTAATTTTTTTAAACCAGTACCTTTTTACCTTGTCTTTCTACAGTACTAAAATTTATTATTATTTACCTATCCTATGATGCATCAGAAGTGGGATATATCCAAATATTATATAAACCAGTTTGCCTCAATAGTAGCGAAATTTAAAGTGTTTTAAAGATAGTTTCATTAAGACAGTATTGCATAGAGAAAGGTGATAAAGACAATGTAAATATATACAGTGTTAAACATAAAATTAAGACTAATATCGGAATTATGACGAGTCATAACTTCTTGAAAAGTCTTCTGGGTTTTTATACAAAATATAAAAGATGTTTTTTGTCAACACTGCATTGATCCAACGGAGACTAATTTGTCTGTATTGTTTCACTAATAAAATTAAATAAATTTGTCTAACTCAGTCGTCAGAAGCAGGAAAATACAAAGGACAACGTAAAAAAAGTATTTAAAATATCTATATACAACTATTCAAGAACACTTATAGTTATTTTCTTTGTTCTTTGTGTTTTTTGCTTCTGACGACGCAACGGGAGGAGATATACCTCCCTAAACGTTAAGCACTAACATGTCAGTTAGGCAAATTTCTTTTATTAGCAAAAGCTGCTGACAAATTGGTCTCTGTTGGATCAACGCAGTGGAGACAAAAAATACCTTTTTTATTTTGTAGATCTTCTTCTCCTGGCGAAAAAAAATGAAATATTTTCAAGAAATCAACACGCCACAAAGGCGTAAACATTTTTTAATCATAACTTTTTATTTCCAGAAAAGAACCAGAATCGCCTAAACCCCCACCACCAACCAACACCGAAATGAACCGACCCCCGAAATCTACATCGCCTGACGTACCCGAGCAAATGGTACCGTTAGAAAATTACTATTACGGTACCATTGATAATTATCCGCCCAGAACCAACATAACCTTGAACATGAAGTGTTCCTTTTGCAAGGAGACCTTTAACAACAACATTGTTCTGATGAATCATTTGTTCAAGCACGCGCATAACGTGTCCAAGGACGGGCAGATGTGTCGGTACTGTTTGGCCAGCGTGTCTACGGCAAACGATTTACTGAAGCACATAGGTAAGTTTTCTGTCATTAAGAGTTATTTCAAAAGTATGTCTAGCGAAAATGATTTTATGGAAAGAACTGTTTTTCTCTCTACAATTTCCTGTCTCACAATGTACCGTTTGTGTCCAGGAAGGGTTCATATTTTTATAGTTGTCGATTTTCGAAAGAAATCAGTACATTTATTTTATTTCGTATATTTTTCATTTTATTGATTTTATGGAAAGCACTGTTCATTAAAATGTTGTATCCTATGTTATAGGGCCTGTTTCTCTCTACAATTTCCTGTCTCACAATGTACCGTTTGTGTCCAGGAAGGGTTCATATTTTCATAGATGTCGATTTTCGAAAGAAATCGGTACATTTATTTTATTTCGTATATTTTTCATTTTATTGATTTTATGGAAAGCACTGTTCATTAAAATGTTGTATCCTATGTTATAGGGCTTGTTTCTCTCTACAATTTCCTGTCTCACAATGTACCGTTTGTGTCCAGGAACGGTTTATATTTTCATAGATGTCGATTTTCGAAAGAAATCGGTACATTTACTTTATTTCGTATATTTTTCATTTTATTGATTTTATTGAAAGCACTGTTCATTAAAATGTTGTATCCTATGTTATAGGGCTTGTTTCTCTCTACAATTTCCTGTCTCACAATGTACCGTTTGTGTCCAGGAAGGGTTCATATTTTCATAGATGTCGATTTTCGAAAGAAATCAGAACATGTATATTATTTCGTATATTTTTCATTTTATTGGTTTTATGGAAAGCACTGTTCATTAAAATGTTGTATCCTATGTTATAGGGCTTGTTTCTTTCTACAATTTCCTGTCTCACAATGTACCGTTTGTGTCCAGGAAGGGTTCATATTTTCATAGATGTCGATTTTCGAAAGAAATCGGTACATTTATTTTATTTCGTATATTTTTCATTTTATTGATTTTATGGAAAGCACTGTTCATTAAAATGTTGTATCCTATGTTATAGGGCTTGTTTCTCTCTACAATTTCCTGTCTCACAATGTACCGTTTATGTCCAGGAAGGGTTCATATTTTCATAGATGTCGATTTTCGAAAGAAATCAGTACATGTATATTATTTCGTATATTTTTCATTTTATTGATTTTATGGAAAGCACTGTTCATTAAAATGTTGTATCCTATGTTATAGGACTTGTTTCTCTCTACCATTTCCTGTCTCACAATGTACCGTTTGTGTCCAGGAAGGGTTCATAGTTTCATAGATGTCGATTTTCGAAAGAAATCAGAACATGTATATTATTTCGTATATTTTTCATTTTATTGGTTTTATGGAAAGCACTGTTCATTAAAATGTTGTATCCTATGTTATAGGACTTGTTTCTCTCTACAATTTCCTGTCTCACAATGTACCGTTTGTGTCCAGGAAGGGTTCATATTTTCATAGATGTCGATTTTCGAAAGAAATCGGTACATTTATTTTATTTCGTATATTTTTCATTTTATTGATTTTATGGAAAGCACTGTTCATTAAAATGTTGTATCCTATGTTATAGGGCTTGTTTCTCTCTACAATTTCCTGTCTCACAATGTTCCGTTTGTGTCCGGGAAGGGTTCATAGTTTCATAGTTGTCGATTTTCGAAAGAAATCAGTAGGTACATGTATATTATTTCGTATATTTTTCTTTTATTGATTTTATGGAAAGCACTGTTCATTAAAATGTTATCTCCTATGTTATAGGGCTTGTTTCTCTCTACAATTGCCTGTCTTACAATGTACCGTTTGTGTCGGGGAAGGGATCATAGTTTCATAGTTGTCGATTTTCGAAAGAAATCAGTACATGTATATTATTTCGTATATTTTTCATTATATTGATTTTATGGAAAGCTATGTTCATTAAAATTTTGTATTTTTTTACGAAAAATTTGGTACCACACATTTGGTATTTCGAGTCAAATTGTCGTTACATTTATGGTCATAGAAAAAAAAATAATTTAGTCATTTAAAAATCAAAAGTTGTAAGATACATTCAGGTTGAGAGCGTCGAGCGTCGCGTCGCGTTTGCGTCGCGTCCGCCCCATTGAACTTGAACACCGACGCTCAGCGGACGCTAGAGCAACGCCAAACGCGACGCTGTCTGCCTGAACGGTCTAATTTAAGTTAAGCGAATTAATTCCATTTTGACACGCGGACGCGACTCAAACGCGACGCGACGCTCGACGCTCTCAGCCTGAATGTACCTGTAGTCATTTTCCGTGAAACAGGTAGTGACCGAAGACAATTGAAAAATCCTTATTAATTTATTTAGTTAATCAATCCTAATTTGTATCGTATACTAACATACCAAATCTCGATTTTTTTATGTGAAAGAAATAAGAAAGTTATATGGGTGAGCCACTTTTGAGAAAAAGTAACAAAAAAAACTAAATTTATAAAATATTTTAGCTACTGCTCATCCTGTCGAGACCAAACACGATAACGGGTTTGTATGCCTGATTTGCGAGACCCAGTATATGAATCCATTTGTTCTGGGTAAACATATGTCCAAAGAGCATGGTCCATCTGAACTGCCATATCAGTGTGGTACTTGTGGATATAGGTAAGGGTATATTCACATTTTTTTTAAATTTACCTAAAACAGAAAGTAGAACTTTATTTTTTATTGATAATTGATATTTTTTTGTAATCTACGAAATGATATTATTGGTTTTTGGACCTTAGGGGCTTTTAAAACCCATTAAAAAAATCCAGGACCATGTTTAAAAAATGAAAGGTTATGATGGAAGCTCAAAGGTGAAACAGAGGTTTTAAAAGCTGATAACACCTTCTTATAGAACAGAAAAAGTAGCAGTAACAATGTGAATTTTATTGGGTTATCATTATTAAAAAATAAAATCTCGAATATCATCACATTTGTCGCAAATTTTGAAATATAATTAGTGAAAAAGTTAAAAGTTTAACTTTTTCCACTAATTGAAAATTCCTACCACTAATTTTGACGTTCTGAATGCTTACATTCAAATTACAGGAACAAACTTCTACGCTAATTGAAACCACTAATTTATTCCACTATAGTCTGTCCAACGAGAAGATTTAGTGATAGATGTGTCTGTCATTTTAATTTCAAAGTAGTTTATTTTATTTTACAAAGAAATAAGTTGCTACAACTGGAACGCATAGCAGGAAATTAATATATTTAAAATTTGACTGACAAGTGATTACTAGAAACTATTGTGAAAAAAACTGTAACTGAAAAAATGTAATCCAGTTATTTTATTTAATAAAAAACGGTATGTGTTAACAAACAAGAACAAGACACCACACAGCATATATAATACATACAAATTTGTAATATTCCGCAGACATAATTAAAACAACATAAATAAAACAAACTATTTTATTAATAATAACACCAAATTTTATACCTTAAATGTTGATTAATTAACTTTAATCTTAATTTCTTTAAACCAGTACCTTTTGACATTATTTTTCTGCAGTACTAAAATCCATTATTTACCGATCGTGTGATGTCGATATTTTACAGCTACTCTAGTTTTTAGTATGTGTTTAGAGTATGGTCCTTCTACCATATTCGAGATGCACTTATCTACGACGAGATGGTATACGAACTTTATTGATGGTAACTTTATTTTTATTGGTGTATCTGTATCCAGACAACCAAACCAAACACTTTCTGCCTATTTTGCCTACAGTTAATTTTCACTCGATTTTTCCTCCACTTGCCTTCAAAAGACACAAAACACACGTAATAACACAAATCAAAATGCATCATCTTCCAAAACGCAGGGTTTTTGACAAAAGTTGTCACAAAATTATAACTTATAATTTGGCAAGACTTTGACAAGCGTCAAAAATCTAAAGGCGAGTTCATACGCATCGGCGTCCGTTTGTCTTTCATCGTTCCGTCAAACCAATAAAATTGAAATACGATCTGTCATTTTTGAAATAAACCAATAAAACTGGTTAAAAACAACAAGAGACGACGCATGACGGATTTATATTTAAACCCATCCATAGTTAACTTAAAAATTATTAGAAACTTCTTTTAGTAAAATAAATAGATTGGTATGGGACGTCATCTGCTTTTCTTCTGTCATCGTCTGTCGAAATCTTACCTGAGAAAAAAAACAGAGTATAATTGCGAGGTTCTGAATGAAGCTATACTTTTACTGATTTAGTTTTATAGAGCATACCAAATAAACTTTAGTCACGTGATTAAGCTTGACCGGCACAGCGTTGCCCAGTTCAACATATTTCTTTTAATCAAAATATTTTATGAAACAAAAATAAATTAATTATAAATATATATATTATAATTAATTATATATTATTATAATAAATAATTATATATTATAATTATAAACAGTTATTATTTACTGCGATGAGTTTTTTGCAACGGCTATTATTTAATATTATGTTGTACACTTCGCACTAAAAGGGATTCAACAAAGAACACTGTTCAATTGCAAGGTCTGCTAGTAAAAAAATTAAGCTTAATGTATCACAGCACAATTCACTTAAACCAAAAATTTGTAACACAGAACTAAAGGGGCAAAACGAATGACAGTGTCAGGAAATAAATAAATAAATGTGGCAACTTGACATTTTTTACAGCAGAGCTACCACCTGAATCGCTAGCGGGAAATTTAAATTCCAGTTAGTCAGCCCGGTTTCTAACACGTCCATGTTTGGCAACAATGAATTTAAAATCCCCGCTGTCGATTACATAACTAAAAGTTTAATTGGTATCGCTTATAATTTATTAGCTGTCACCATAAAGGTTGTAACTTATAGTGTATTTTTTATATGCTCAAATTACACATTTTTATTTTGTAGGTGCTCAAATCATAGACAGGTTATCGACCATTTCTACAAACAGCACGACAACGGTCCCACAATCCAGTGCCCCTTCTGCCTAAAATCTACCACAGTATTCTCGGCCTCTCGCAACATTGTCCAGAACATGAGCTACTTCATACAACATTTACAGAAACATCAAAAGAAACAATTTGCGAAAAGGTAAAAATCAATTTTTAAAAATCCCTTGATCTATTTAACAGATTTTTTTGCAGATGCGGAAAGTGCAACCTATGGTTCGTCCAGAAAGAGGTTTTGAAGGACCACCAAATGAAAATGCACGCGTCTCAGCGAGGCAAAACCGGTCTCATCAGTTGGGTTGCGCCTAGGAACGGTGTTATGGTACCCAAATCGAAAATGGACATTTATCCGTGCGACGCCGAAGGAATTAATTTCAACACGCTCTTCTTCAACTTGTCCAAGAATTTGAAATGTAAAGAATGCAATTCACTGATGGATAGTCCTAAGCATTTTCCGTAAGTTACATAGATCTTTATCTTTCTGTATACAATAATTATATATTTTTTATTATTTACAGCTCTTTCGAAAGTTGTCAAAATCCCAATTGCCAGTACTCTACTTGTTGTTCTAACGCCATGCAAGAGCACAATGCAAAGTGTAGTAAAACATTTCAGGCTCACATTTCAGAAGATCCTCTACCTTACGAAATGTTTTGCATTTGTGGATACAGAAGTAGAGATGGTAAATATATTGCTACTATTTTGAAATAATCGTATTTAGAACTTTACACACATTTTTTTGTTTTTGACGAAAAAGAAAACGGGTGTCTCATTTCAAGAATATATTTTATAGGGAAATTAAGTGCAGATATTTTAAGGGGTGGAATTCAATTATCCTGCGTGCCGGGCCACAGCGGCATCCAAGGCAACGAAAAACCCAATGAGCTAGCTATGCAAGGACCATCGGCATCCTATCTTGGTCCAGAGCCAGTACTGGGATACCAAAATGTATGACCTGTAGTGCACTAAAACTCTGGATCAAGGAAAAGTAGAATGTCCACTGGAGAAACAGACAGGGGTACAGGCACAGCAATGCCTTTATCCAAGGACCTAGCTCTAAAACCACAAAAGAACTGCTAATGCTTAGCAGGAATAAGGTGCGGATTAAAACAGGCCTCTTGACAGGACACATGGCTGTCAAGCGTTACCTGAACAAGCTCAACCTGTGTTAAGGAAGTCTTTACTGCAGATTCTGCGACAATGATTCTGAAACACCAACCTGCATTAGTTAAATTGTTGGGCAACATTGTGTTCTCCTAAAGTACTATAAACTAATTTCCAGAAACTGAACAAGTGGCACTAAAAAGTTGTTTAAAATTTTCCTGAAAATATCAAGAAAAAATTTAAAATTTTCAACATTTTTTTTTTCTCCAAAAAGTTAGGCGCGTTTCTGGGGTCGAAATATACTACCAGTTAAAATATCTGCGCTTATTTCTGAGACATCCTGTATATAATATGTGAATAAAGCGTAATATTCTTTGAATAAGAAGACTAAGGAAGGAGCATAATGCTATCCATGTATTCATGCATGGTGGGCGGAAAAAGGACTCTAGGGTGGGGATCTTTGACAGTTCTGTTTGACGATTCATTAGACACATTTGAATTTGATTTGAAATTTTGTGGATTTGTCAGTCTTTACGGAGCTTATTTTATGTTATTTATTATTATTTATACTACTACTGATAGTTGTATAAAGGTAGTTAATCTAGATAGAAATTGTGGCAGAACTTAAATTAACATTACACACACTATCGCGATTTATCGAAGTAGACTCTAAAATAGTTGGTTGTGTAGCGTGCGGTAGATCTCGTCAAAAATCGAGTGAAATAATGGAACAACTTTTCGCTAGTAAGTGACTATATAATATACATACGTGTAGTAAACCGATCATTTATGAAATTCACTTAAATTAAGTAATTACATATTTTTTCTTGCATTTTTGCTTTTATTTACTACTTGTCAAAGATTAGATGTCAAAGAATTTAGATACGTCAATTTGACGTACCTGCTTCAGTAGCGTATCGGATGTTTATGGTTTAATAGAGTTTTATATTTTTATAACAATTTTAATAACTACCAACATTTATTCACAACGTAAAATAAAAAAATATATTGAGTCTACCCCACGTCTACCCTACATCATAGTTTTACATTTTTTAAATAAAATTAGAACGGCACTGATAAACCGGAATTTAAGTCGGCCATATTTGAGGCCCATCGCGGTGGACCTAAGATTTTTGATATGCTCCTTCCTTAGTCTTCTTGTTCAAAGGTAATATTTGACGAATGTACGTCGCATTGTAGCCACGGCTACATTTTTACTTTGACTTTTGACAAGTGTGATTTTTTAATTTATATTTTTATTAACTTTCTTACAGGCAATCAAATGGCTAATCATTTAGCGATATGCGAAAGAAAATCCGCTTATCCATCGGTGACCGACGCGAAGAGCGCCTCAGTTACGCACAGCATGCTTGACGTCCTAGGTTTGGTAAGAAAACCGGACGAGACAGACAAGAATACTAGTTTTAAGAGCGGGAGATCTACAAGCAAAGCAGATTCGAGGAATTTTGAAGAGAATCAGTCTCCAAGACCGGCCTCTAAGAAAATTAGAAGGGCTAAATTGCTGGATCATCATGAAACTACCACTGAAAAACTAAAATCCGTCGAAAAGACTGAAAGCAGCTCGCCGGTAACTGTGGTGCTTGACGACGATGTTGAACCCGTTGCTGCATCCTCTGTTGTAGATTTAGTGGAGTCTGATGAAAAGGCGACAGCTTCATCAAATGATACAGAAGAAACTAAAACTATAGATCTTGACGATGATGTTGAAATGGAAGATAAAAGTGTAACCAAGGAATCCAGTACGAGTGAAGAAACAGAAAAGGTATCTGAAGAATCGGCAGAAAAATCATTGGATCAAACTGAAGAGAACAGTGTTACAAATACAACTGAAACCCTAGAAAATAAAGATACCGACGAACCAGTTGCGTTAGGTGAATCTGAAAATAATGAAGCAGCAATTGAAAAAGATGAGGAACACGAAAAAAAATCTGATCACTCATTAAATGAAAACGCCATAGAAAAAGTTTCAGACAGTGAAGATCCTGGTGTATCTTCTTCAACCGAAGAAATTGCTCAAAATGTTACAGATGATAAAATAGATGAAGAAAATCAGATCTCTGAAACTAAAAATGATGATACAGATGCGGCTAGTGTTGTTGATAAACCAGAAGCTGAGATATTGGAATCTAAAGATGATACAGATGCAGTAGATAATCGAGACGATTCAGAAAAAGAGCTGTTGGAATCTAGAAATGATACAGAAGAATCTAAAAATGATGTAGATGATTCAGAAATTCAGATGTTGGAGTCGAAGGATGATACAGGAACAGTAGAAAATCTGAATAATTCAGAAAAAGAGCTGTTGGAATCTAGAGATGATACAGATGCAGTTGATGATGTGGATAATTTAGATAATCAGATGCTGGAATCTAAAAACGATACAGGCGTAGCTGATAATTTAGATCGTTCAGAAAATGAGTGGTTGGAGTCTAAAGATGATACAGAAGTAACTGGTAATTTAGATCGTTCAGAAAATGAGTTGTTGGAGTCTAAAGATGATACAAATGTAGCTGGTAATTTGGATAATTCAGACACTGAGTTGTTGGGGTCTAAAGATGATACAGAAGTAGATGATAATCTGGATAGTCAATTAGTGCAATCTAAAGATGATGAAATAGAGAATCTGATTTCTGATTCCATTGATGAATCTAAAAATAATGATGCAGACATAACAACTGGTGAAGATTATGAAAGCAAATTAGATACAGCAGAAGAATTGGGCGAACCTAGTAATCAAGAAATGTCTGAATATGACAGTGCTGTCAGAGAGGACGTGGACAAACAATTAACTGACTCACAGGGCTCAGAAATCGGTAGCTCGGCTCAAGAAAATGTTATTACTGAATTAGACCAGGTCAAAGATATTCCTTTACCTGATGTTACCGAAGATGAGTTTTCTTCTGAGTATGAGAAAGGGTCAGAATTTACTGAAGCGAGTGATGCAATTGACGAAAAAGATGATCACGTGATTTCTGAGCAAGAAACTCTCGTTCAAGAACAACCAGTTGTTGAAACTTCTTCAAGTATTGAACCCAGTAATAGTGAAGCTGTGGAAAAAATGGATGAAAGTGCTCCAATGGAGGTTGATAGTAGTTCCAACTTGGGGGCAACAGAGGCTGTAACTCCAATGGATGTTGATGATTAATTTCGTTTTTGTAGCAGAGATTGGCGTTTATGCGTCTCTGCGCTTTTTTCACGTTTTTGGTTAAAAAAATTATGCGTAGAAAACATAAAACGTAAAAAATTTAATACAGTTTTCTGCCGAAATATGGATTTCTGCACAAAATAAATACAGTATGATCGAGAAAACGGTGTTCAGTTGGCTTGGAAATGTCGATCGATGACATTTCCCATATAATTTTACATATAAAATGACAGCGATCTTCATTTCAAAGCCATCGCTGACTGAAATGTTATTAACAGTTAACAGCGTTTTAATAGATACTTTACAAATCTATGGGCATCCTTTTTTACTTTTTTTTTACAATGTAAGAAGCTATAAAGTTGTTTTACTCACCCGTCCCTGCTTTATAATACAGTATGATCAAAAAGTTCTATGATCAAGTGTACTGTGTATGATGATACAGGTAAATAATTCTTATGGGAATTAAGAGTTTGACTCTTTTTTAACTGTCAAAATAAAAGCCTACTTGATGATAAAACTTTTGATATGTACAGTAATATTTTAAGTAAAAGTCTGGGGAGTTTCTTGAATTTTTTTTGTTAAACAAATTTTACTGTTTTGTTCCTCCATCCCAAAATGTATATAGAAATATATGTAGTTTATAAGATTAAAAGTTTATTTGATTAGGTTAGATACATATTATGTAACCTTATTTGTAATATAAAACTAGAAATCGTATTGTTTTTTATAAATAGTTTTAAGAAAAATTGCTTTAATTTTGTTTCATTCTGATATATAGTTCTTCTCAAGTGACTTTTCCAAATGTGGTGTAGAGTCTGTCCAACGGGTAAGGGCAGGTTCGACAGATGACATCCAAAAAATGATAATTAAAATGACAGAACTGTCACTGTCATACATTATCTCGTTGAACAGACTTAACTATATTTCTTCAACGAGAGAATAATATGTCAGTTCAGTTGTAAAAAAAATATTTTTTTTCTCAATTTTAGATAGTAAGGAATGTGCGATAACGCTTTTCTTTTTATGCTTCGATGTAAAAAGCATTTCACGTAAAATAAACTAATGAGAAAAAGTAATGATATTTTTCATTGTTCCCAATACACATTTTTTAATGTTTCTGTTTGAATTTCGACTACTATAGAAAATAAAAATTGTTATGAAATGGCTATGAAAGGAAGATCGTTGTCATTTTATATGGAAAATATCATCGATCGTCATTTCCCAAGTCAACTGGACGGCGTTTTTTAAACAAAAAATAGTTATAAAGTATATTATATAGATAGTACATCTTAATTTAGCCAGTAGATTTTTATTAAACTGACTGAAAACACATTTATTTTATTTTTTTATATAAAAGATACAAAAAAATATATTTTTTCTGGTGTTAGAAAAATTAGTATAAAATTTTATTCATAGATGACTCTGACTCTACACTTTTTGGGAACTTAAATTTACAGATTTTTTTAAAATTTTGAGAAAATTTTAACTGAAGTTCAACTATTCAACGCTGGATAACACTAGCTGTTTTTTTTTATTATATAGAAATCTATAAATGAATAGCTTAAATATTCAACTCATGATGGCGTCACCTAGTAAAAGCAGAAATCTACATTCGCTTACTTTTTGAATATTCCATATGGTGGCGCAATAATCGCTTAGACGATAGTTCCCACTAAAACAGAATGGCGCTGTAGTCAATTAAACGCGCCAAAGTAGCTTTAAAAAAGCAATATTTATAATCTAGAGAAAAATATAGAGCTTTAGAAACATTTCTGTGAGAATGTAAAATTTAAATCTGGCAGCAAGTGCAATAATTGATGCAACAAAGGCAGCCACTTAAAACACACCACTACCGTTATTTTATTTACATTTATTAAGAAAACTATTTTATAGTTATCTTTTTTTAAAAAATTTGCACTTTCTACGGGTTCTTTCTCTCCTGCGATTTCGAATGTCAAAATAAAAAGAAAAAAGGAAACATTTCCGCGAGAAGATCTATACATACTATTTCGCTATATAACTCACTATATTTTAAGAAAATAATATCTATACATATATAAAATGTAAAATGCTAATGTTTATCTGTGTCGTCTCTACTGAAGTAACGACAAGTAACGACTTGCTCCAAAGCTCTAGAAAGTTGCTTTTTTACTAAAAGATAGCTACTTGGCTCTTCTAAAAACTGTCGCCGGATTTTTTGTTTTTCATTTAATTAAACAAAAAATAAAAGCCTTGATTAATATAAACAAGGATAAAAGCATCTTTTTTCCTGATGTCGTGGCGGATGCGCCAGGCTTCAACTAGTAATATTATAAAATTGCTCAAAATATTAAGATAAAAAATGTGGATTATTTTATGAAATTTAAAAAAAAAATTACCGCTTTTATATTATTAAATTTTAATCGGAAATATCAAGAAAATATCTCATAAAAATTATTATAAAAATTAAAAAAATCATATTTTCAGCAACCAAACATACACCACCAGTTTATTATGTCATTCCATAGGGGAGCTAATGTTTCAAAAATCAATCAAAAAATAATTTTGGTTATTGCCATTGCCAGTGTTTGATTTTTATAAATTTATACCTAACTTAAAGTTAAATGAATATTGTTAAATACTGGAGGTAAGGGTACTTAAAATATTTAATTCAATGATTAGATTCGTTTTAAGTAAGATAGTTTTTTGAATTTCCCTCCCATACATCTGATATTTGTGACAGTTACCAAAGACGAACATGCGCAGAACAGGATTTTATTCGAAATTAACGGACTCTTTCTAGATAGTTTTATTTTGTGTGTATTTGAAGGGTTTATGTAGGAATTAGTTTACATCTTTTTAGGCAAAATATGTCTCAACCGCCGGCGAATAAAAAGCGACCCTCGTCTACACAAAATATCAAAGTAGTAGTTCGTGTTAGGTAAGAGTTTTATGAAGCTTTTTAATCTACACTTCATTGTTGTTAAAACTATCTTGTTTTAATTCTTTGCAGGCCTTTGAATAAAGAGGAGATCGAAAAGAAAGTCAAATCAGTTGTATCATGTGTGTCTTTAAAGGAGATTCTTACAAAAGAGAAAAAATATCAGTTCGACAGAGTTTTTCAGCCGGACAGTTCACAAATGGATATTTATTCGTATGTCGTAGCTCCGATGATTTCGGACGTTCTTGAGGGATATAATTGTACGGTTTTTGCTTATGGTCAAACAGGAACAGGGAAAACACATACAATGACGGGGGGTGATCCTACATTGAGTGCAAATGTACATTGGAGGACAGTGAGTATTGATATAGTGTTCATTTTTTTTTTCTATTAAAATGTTTACATTTTTTATAGGATGATCTAGCTGGGTGTATACCCAGGGCAGCTGCTAATATTTTCGATGAAATTGGTTTAATGGACGCAGTAGATTATAATGTTAGAGTCTCGTTTCTTGAATTGTACAATGAAGAGGTCAGGGATTTGCTCTGCGAGGAAGAGAGACCCTCTCCATTGAAGTATGTCAGATTTGTTTATATACAGTGTTCCAAAGAAGTTTTATATCAGGTTTCCTCACACTTTAAAAATATTTTAGTAGATATATTATTAAGTATTTAAATTTCCAATAAGAACACTGATATGAAGCTTTTATTTGACCACCGTGCCACACTGGTTATTTCTACTTTATTCGCTACTACGTTATATATTATATTTATTTATTTTCAGTCTTTTTAACGATTCCAAAGGTTCAATTTACATTCAAAACCTAAATGAGATCACAGTTTTCAGTAGCCAAGACATTTACATATTATTGCAAAAAGGTACTCACAAAAGACAAACCGCCTCGACCTTAATGAACAATCACAGTTCCAGATCTCACACTGTGTTTACTATTACCGTGCATATTAGAGAAGTAACAATGACCGGCGAGGATGTACTAAAAAGTGGTAAAATTAATCTTGTTGATTTAGCCGGCAGCGAAAACATCGCAAAATCCGGTGCTAAAGATAAAAGAGCACAAGAACTAGCCAATATCAATAGGTCGCTTCTCACATTGGGTCGAGTAATTCAGATTTTAGCAGAGAAGAATAATAAGCATGTTCCGTACAGAGATTCAAAACTAACAAGGATACTTCAAGACAGTCTTGGTGGACATACAAAAACTTGCATTATTGCAACAATATCTCCATCTTCCAGCTCATTTGAAGAAACACAGAGCACTTTAGACTATGCTTGCCGAGCTAGAGATATAAGAAACACACCAACTGTCAACGAGAAAGTCACCAAACAACAGATGATTAAGGATATGGGCCACGAAATTGAAAAACTGAAAAAAGACTTGGAAGCTGCCCGGACTGGAACAGGTAATATTAATAATAATAGATCTTTATTTTAAAGTTGTATTACAAAGTGAAATAGCATTAAGTAACTAAAAAAAACTAATAGTAACTTAACTACATCATTCAACTTCGATATACAGAGTGCTCAGAATTGTATCCTCGAAACTTCGGCAGCATATTCTGCAGATAAAAATAAGTAACAAATTTTGTATAAATGTATGTCCTAAAATGGTTCATTTCGGAGATACAGGGCGTAGAAGTCTCGTTTTTATATGGATTTTTTCCTAATGATTTCTAAACTAACATCAATATTTGGATGAAAATTGGTCTCTAGGTGTTTTTTGAAATGAGAAATTTGATTTTGGTGTCAATATGACCCCTATTTGTAGGAGGCGCCACCTACATGTTTTTAACTGCTTTGAAGAATAATAACTTTTTGCCTGTAACTGTATTAAACTTCGTAAAAATCGCTATAAGCAACTGTTCTCAACATATTTGCAATGGAAATTATCAATATACGAGTATTTCATCATTGACAAAAAATAAACATGTTAACTAGTGTTATTTGACTGAAATAATTATTGTGGGAACTTTTTATTTTTTTAAATTAATTATAATTTTTTTCTGTTGAACCTTCGGTACAACAACATTTCAAAATTTATGATTTCAGTCTAATAACTATCTAAACAACATGTTTAACTTTTCCAAAAGAAGAAAAAGGACTGAAAGTCTCGGTCTCAACATTTATTACTAAAAAGTTAAATTGCGAACGTGTTTCGCTCATATGAGCATCATCAGACAAATTACAATTAAAGACACACCATACATGTTCATATTTTACGCTCATATGAGCATCATCGGACAAAATACAATTAAAGACACACCATACACGATCACATTTTACATATTTACATTTCATATTTTACATATTCAAACAACACTGTTTAATATGTAAAATATGAACATGTACAGGGTGGGTCAAATTCGACGCTTTTAAATGGAAACACCCTTTTCTATAGGAGATAGACGAAAACTAATATCGATGTCTGGAGCTCAATTTTCATCAAAAACATGATGGTGAAAACCGCACATCAATATCTGTTACCATTTCGGAGTTACGGGGTGTTTTTCAAAAATGTGCATTTTTAACAAATCGCTCTAACTTTTTTGCTATGGAAAATTTCTATGAAAAACATTTCCAAATCACCTTTTTACGTAGAATTTAATGGTTTAAGTCTAATTTTTTTTAAATTAATAATTTAAGAGTTACCAACAGAAAAATATATTTTTTATTTGGGACACCCTCTATATTTTTAATTAACTGAAAAGAATTTAAAATTACCTTTCCAAAAATATAGCACACTTGATATTTTGTTATATATAATCCCCTTCGAAATACAGAATTTTTAAAAGTTCGCCACTTTTAACTAGTAGGCTTTGGACCCCTTATTGATGAAATGCCCTTAATGGAACCCGAAAAACATATTTTTCCAGCAAGACGACGCACCGCCTCTGAACGCTGAAGTTATCAGCAAATTTTTGCAGCCAATTTTAAGAATAATTGAATAGCTAACCAAGATCCCAGCCGTTGGTCGTCGAGGCCGCCTGACTTAGTGCCCGTGGATCTAATCCTATGTATATATTTGCGGAAGAATGAAGGTTCCTTGTTCTTCCGTATAATCTAGACAAGAATTAGAAATACTTAGCAGTTATGAGAGGGTATCTTTCACCCCCACTGAGTTAATGAATTCCGCGAGAAATGTTCAAAAACTGCCCCGTCTGTCCATAACAGAAGACGGTTGATATGTTGAACACCTGTAGCAAAATCTCATGTCTTGGTTTGCTATTTATTTTTATTGTTATTAGATATAGTTTAAATGTGTTGATGTTGATTAAATATATTTTAAGTTGTTATAAAATTCTGCATCTCTCATAGCAAATATTATTTTCGTTGGTGCCGTTCAAAGCCTACTTTTTTACAGCGGGCGAATTTTTATATACTCTATATCTCGAAGAGGAATCGAGCAAAATATCAAGTGTGTTATATTTTTGGAAAGGCAATTTTAAATTCTTTTCAATAAATTAAAAATATACAGGGTGTCCCATCTAAAAAATCAAATTTTCTGTTGATAAATCTTAAATTATTAATTTTAAAAAAAATTATACTTAAACCATTAAATTCTACGTAAATAGGTGCTTTGGAAATGTTTTCATAAAAATACAAAATTTTCCATAGCAAAAAAGTTACAGCGATTTGTTAAAAATGCATATTTTTTAAAAACACCACGTAACTCCGAAACGGTACCAGATATCGATATGCGTTTTTCACCATCATGTTTTTGATGAAAATTGAGCTCCAGACACCGATATTAGTTTATCTCCTATAGAAAAGGGTGTTTCCATTTAAAAGCGTCGAATTTGACCCGCCCTGTACAGTTCGTCTGCTGGATCTGTGTCTATGAAAGGAATGCGGACAAAAAACATTTAAATAAACAGCAATATATTTTATACGTCGACTTGACGAGTACGTCACCGCAAATCGCTCCGCCCACTCATTTTATTGGCTACTTGCAAATTTGTCGAATTTTTATTGGTGGGACGCGTCGTCTAATTTTTTACGAAAAACATGGAGAGAATATCGTTTCCCCTCTCACGGATTCCCCGTGGCTACAGAACGGACAGACGTACTGTATGGTGTGTCTATAATTGTATTTTGTCTGATGATGCTCCTATGAGCGAAAAACGCGTCACAATTTAATTGTTTAGTAATAAATGTTGAGACCGAGACTTTGAGTCTTTTTGCTTCTTTTGGATTTATAAACCAGGTCTCATTTGGGAATAATGGATGTCTTTTTTAAATGTTTACTTTGTCAAACTGTTGTCAATGATAATATACCGGGTGCGTCTCAAAAGTGTTAGATTTTATAAAGGACAAGGGACGAACACGAAATAAAACGAGGACTTGGTCTGAGTAGCAACTGGTTTATTTTGAGGTTGTGTTTTGCCATACTTAACAACCCCTATAACTTTTTTATTTTTTAATGTTAATACATGACATAAATTAGGATTGATTGACGTATTCAATTGTTTTTGATCACTTCCTGTTTCACCGGAAATGACTACAACTTTTGATTTTTAAATGACACCCTCGGTATTTTTTTACTTTATTCGATAGAAAATGACATTCTGAATAGAATGACATATCCTATGTCAACTTTTGACATTCTAGCTTAATAAAAAATTGTATTTTAAAATTCAATAGAGAACAACGGTATACGGTCGAGTCGGCCTACAAACACGTAAACGTTTACGTACACATGCGCATTTCTTATATTTTTTATTTTTTATACACGTAAAAGATTCTGTACGTCTACGTCTACGTGCCAGCAGCGGCCGACTCGACCGTATGCCGTTGTTCTCTAATCTAGAGTGCCATGGCTATGTTAAAAACACTAATTCTTATCAAGGAGTATTGGAAAAATAGATTTGATCGTCTAATGTTTTATCCTGGCCAGTTCGAAAATGCTCAAATCGTAATTTTAATCATATCTCAATTTTTTCAAATGGAACGAAGGTGGCTTTTTAGCATATTTGGAAAAAGCATTTTTTTACGAATAATTTGATATCACACACTTGGTATTTTGAGTCAAATTTTGGTTACGAACCGCAAGTTATAATTTCAAATAAACCATATGCGAAAATGTCAAAAGTTGACATATGATATGTCATTCTATTCAGAGCGTCATTTTCTATCTAATAAAGTAAAAAACACTGAGGGTGTTATTTAAAAATCAAAAGTATTCATTTCCGGTGAAACAGGAAGTGACCGAAAACAATTGAATATGCTAATCAATCCTAATTTATGTCTATATCTTTTTTATCTGAAAAAATAAAAAAATTATAGGGGGTGAGTCATTTTTGAGAAACACCCCGTATAGTTTCATAATTTTTGATAAGTATTTTCTTCAAAATAATATTGTATTCTGATATTTTTTATTATTAGGTGTATACATTGACAAAGAAAACTGGGAACAAATAAACTCCGATATACAGTCAACTGCCTACACGCTAAACCTAAAAAACGAGGTTATCGACGATATGAAAAAGAAACTGGCCGAGTTGGAACAGTTAAGGGACACCAAAATCAAAGAGTTCGATCAAATCATGAACGTGTGCATGAAAAAAGACAAGATCATCGAAAAAGCGAAACATTTATTAAGTAAAATGACGGTAAACTTGAAACAGGAAGAGTACATATCGAACTATTACGCGGTTGCGGCAAACGAAACTACGCTCAAAGCCAAAGAGCTGTTTGAAACGACAAAAAAACTATCGGTCAATCAAGAAATTTTACAGAGGAAACTCGAAAATCAGTATTATACTAATTACACCAACGAAAAAATAGTGAAGGAAAAAAGTGTGGGTCTGAGTCAAACTATAAGCTCTGCGGCGGAAAAGGTTGAAGATTTGAGGAATTCGTCTGGCCTTCGTTTAAATAATGTGAGAATGAATTTGGATTTTCTTGCGAGTACACAAGCGGATGCGGTCGAAGCTAAGAAACTGAGTTTTGAAACGCAGACAAAGACCGCGTTGGAGAGTATGGTAAAACGTGTTACTTGTCGATCGGAGTTTAATATTGGTAAAATTGATAACGTGTTGGGTTTGGTGGAGAATAATGTTCAAGACTGCAGTAATACATCTTCTGAGGTAAGTTTTAGACACTATACAGGGCAGGGTTGGCAAGTTTGAGGCATAGCGGTTTAAACCAGTAGTTTTAACCAGGTTTCAATACCGTCCTGTTCAAAACAGTTTTGGACAGATTGGACAAAACTCATCTTAATCAGGATTTTTTTTTCATTTTATATTTAAATTAAGAAAAAATCAATTAATTAATTTTGAATAAATAAAACCAGCTCGCGCGCAAAAATACATATACATCACTGTTGCATATACAGGGTGAGTCTTAAATAAGTGCAAATATTTTTAGGGGTAGTATATTTCGACCCCATTATATAAGGTTTTTTTTGCGAATTTTTTTTTTCAAAATTTGGATTTTTTTGAAAAAATTTTTTAGAATTTTTAGTTGAAAAACATAACATGGCAACATAGATAGTAGATTAAATTTACAAGAAAGAAAATTCAGAAAAGATCCAGTAGTTCTCAAAATATAAGCGAAAATCAATTTTTTTGACATTTTCAAAGTAAAATATGCATCTTTTATCGAGATCTACCGTATGATCGAAAAAAACGGCGTCCAGTTGGCTGGGAAATGGCGATCGATGACATTTCCCATATAAATTTACATAAAAATTGACAGCGATCTTCATTTTATAGCCATTGCTGACGCTGTTTTTTCTCGATCATACGGTACCAGCCCTAAAAATATTTGCACTTATTTAAGACTCACCCTGTATAAATACCTATACCGGGTGTCTCCCAAAAGAGGCTCACTCCTATTACTTATTTTTTTATACCACTGGTTATAACCGGTTAAAACTAGTTTTGACTAGTGCCAAACCTTGATACAGGGTAAAATAAAACAATAATTCACCATAGCTTCATCAGCACAGTTTCAACATTAAGTTTCCACTTACCCGAAATATACGAAAGATATGAAATAGAAAGAAATTACATTGGGAATGTAGCTGAGTGTAATGGATATTCTCCTTCATTAGTTCATAAAATAATTAGAGTTTGAGATTTCTGCGAATTCGACTTTTCAAGTGGAGAAAGATACGTCGGAGTATATTTCAATACCGTTTGACAGACAGTTATCCAGTGGTTTAAAAAGAATTTTCAAGAATGTATAATTATAAACTTGTGTATAGTGCTAATAATAAATTACAACAACTATTAGGTAATCTTAAGATAAAACACATCCACTGGAAAGATCGGGTATTTATGACATTTCATGTAAAGATTGTAATCAGAAATATGCTGGGCAAACTAGATCAATGTTAACTAGATTTAAAGGACATATGGCTCAGATAAGATATGGTACACTTTATGCTCAACAGATTGTTCATAAAAATCATTGTATAAATGTTAATAATTTAAAATTAATCAAACAATTCTCAAATTACAGGCAATTAGGTGCATACGAGAGCGTAAAAAATAATAAATATAAAGATAATATGAACAGAGATATGAAATGAGATAATGGTCCAATTCTTTCCAGTTTTCTGTTCCTATTGCTCTAGTCTTTGTAATGAATTGTTACGCTTGGTTGTTTTCCACTCGCTTGGCTAGTTTTGCTACGCTTGGTCAGTGCCAACTATACAATCGCTCAGTTTGTGGATTTGTTTAGTTTTAATGGTCTGCTGATGATGCTAACATGGTTCGCGAAACGCGTATTATGGTGAAAAAAAGAACCAAACTGAACGAATTTGAAACACCCTGTATATGTTTTTTAGTTTAAAACAGGATTGGCGGTAATTCTAATTTGAAAAGTTGATTTTTTTTACCGTTTTAGTTTGAAAGTTATGATCGAAATGTGACATCAAAAATGAAATCTTTTACGGACGTTATAGCGGTGCTGTATAGCGGGTTGCAGCAGCAAAGGCAAGAGGAAATTCAACAGCTTCAAGATCTAGAAAAATTCTCGGATATCACTAGAAGTCGGATAAAGCAAGTAGAACATTTCTTAGGTGTAATAGAATCTTCGAATGTACTCGGTATGGAACAGAAAGTCCCGGAAAAGACTGTGATAGAACAGAAATTGTGTGATGTAAGTTGTTCAATATACAGGGGGGTCTTACATTATGTCCATTTGTAGATTAAAATTTTTACACATTTAAAGTTCTCTTAAGATTGTAAAATCACAAATTATCCATGTTTTGTAACTGGTGTATAGTTATTTAGTAATTTTCAACTTGGTTCAAATCAACTTATTTTTTTATTTTAATCGTGAATCGGGATTTAAAAAAACAACTTGTTTAAAAAAACTTTATATTAAGTTGAAAAATAACAGCTTTAAAACTTATGTTTTTTTAATACTTACTACTGTTTAAATAATTTTAACGAATCGAAAAATAAATATTGTAAAAGTTATAAAACTATACAGTATGCAGATAAAAAAAATCGTGGGTGTTTGGGAAGGCTTGAAAGGAAACAATGTTTTTGCGACGTTTCGCGACTTTATTGTCACTTCTTCAGGCACTATAGGAGAAGCAGTTTTTTAAAAAATATCAAAATAAAACAAACATTCATGGCGACTCCAACCGCCAACACCATGACACATACAGACGAATCGAACAGAAACTTGACAGGTATTGTTTGGCCCGATATACACCGATGCTCGGTTTGTGTCGTACTGACACCAGTTAAATTAATTTCGGTACCAAAAATTAATAATTTAACTGGTGTCAGTACGACACAAACCGAGCATCGGTGTATATCGGGCCAAACAATACCTGTCAAGTTTCTGTTCGATTCGTCTGTATGTGTCTTGGTGTTGGCGGTTGGAGTCGCCATGAATGTTTGTAGGCATAATGTGGATTAATATATGTTTTGGGTAAGTGGTCAGTTAATCTTATTTTGATATTTTTTAAAAAACTGCTCCTGCCTGAAGAAGCGACAATAAAGTCGCGAAACGTCGCAAAAACATTGTTTCCTTTCAAGCCTTCCCAAACACCCACGATTTTTTTTTATCTGCATATTAACTACTGGGAACTAACAATAATCATAACTATACAGTATGTCCCCGGATTGTCTTTACAAGAGGAAAACCTTTTTTATTATTGACATTTTGAGAAAAATGCATTCTTCATCCCGTTTATACTTTTCCAAATTTCCATACCGTTTTAGAGAAAATTTTCCTAAGTCCTAAAAATCCAAACACGTTTCTATGGTACAGCAAATGTAAATTTACAGAAAAAATGTAATTTTACAGATAAAAGTAAAAATTTACAAAAAAAGTGTGATTGTACAGAAAAAGTGTAAATTTTCAGAAAAAGTGTAAATTTACAGAAAAAGTGTAAATTTACACAAAATGTGTAATTTTGCAAAAAAAAGTTAAATTTTCAGAATGTGTAATTGTACGGAAAAACAGTAAATTTACAAAAAGTGTAATTTTACAGAAAAAGTGTAAATTTTTAGAAAAAGTGTTAATTTCCAAAAAAAATAATTTTATGGAAAAAGTGTAAATTTTCAGAAAAAGCGTAAATTTATAGAAAAAGTGTAATTTTACAGAAAAAGTGTAAATTTACAAAAAAGTGTAATTTTACAGAAAATGTGTAAATTTTCAGAAAAAGTGTAAATTTATAGAAAAAGTGTAAGTTTACAGAAAAAGTGTAATTTTGCAAAAGTTATATTTTCAGAAAAAGAGTAAATTTTCAGAAAGTGTAATTGTACAGAAAATAAATTTACAAAAAAAGTATAATTTTACAGAAAGTGTAAATTTTCGGAAAAAAATCAACTATATTTTCTTCTTTTTTTAATTTTCTCTAAAACGGTATGGAAATTTGGAAAGGTATAAACGGGATTACCATTTTATAACAAGCAAAAATTTTTATGAAGAATGCATTTTTCTCAAAAAGTCAATAATAAAAAAGTGTTTTTCCTCTGTAAAGACAATCTGGGGACATACTGTATAAAAAATGGTTCTTATAACATTTATATGATATAAAAATATAACAAAATGTTGGACAGATTTTTGAAGTAATTTCGTGTGAATCCTTTAGACTTCTAAGACCTTGGCTAGAAATAAATCGTTGATTATTATTGAAATCCGATTTAAATAAAAAAAGCTGATTCATCGATTTTTTTGGATTTTATGTAGTTATGGATGATTTTTGTTTTAGATGAAAAATAGGTCGGAAACTACGACCCATGAATTATGTACTTTAAGGAATTCTTTAAAACTAGAACCAGAAATTTGTTCACAGTATGAATCGGAAATTATTGAGGTAAGAAAAACACATTTAACATTGCCGTCCATATAAAACTTTGAATAAAAAGAGCAAGAAAAGAGCATATCAATCTCATGACACCCATCAACTTATAAAAGAGTATTTTAATTCTTGTCCCAGTATTAAAGGATGGATATAATATAAATATATAATCTGGGGAACCTAGGTTCAGCCAGAAAATAGAATCCAACATTTTTTTGAGTTTCTCAAAACGGTGGGGTGGGGAGATACGAATTTTTGAATTTAAGCTTTTCCAGTGGATCACTTACGATTGGAAAAGTATGAGAGCGGGGTTAATTTGATGGGACCCTAGATCTTTTTTGATGCCAGATTGGCTGTATAGTTTGTCCAACGAGAAGATCCTTGACAGTGATAGATGTGTCTGTCATTTTAATTTCAAAGTAGTTTATTTTATTTTACAAAGAAATAAGTTGGTACAACTGGAACGCATAGCAGGAAATTATTATATTTAAAATTTGACTGACAAGTGATTACTTCAAAATATTGTGAAAAAAACTGTATAAAACTGAAAAAATGTAATCGAGTTATTTAATATAATAAAAAACGGTATGTCTTAATACAAAACAAACAAGAACAAGACACCACATACCAAAAAAATATAAAAAAGAACTATTTCTTACTTTCAAGCTTTTTGAAACTTCCCGCATTTATGATTATATTTATCAATATAACTTATGTACAAATACAAATTTGTAATATTCCGCAGGAATAAATAAAACAACATAAATAAAACAAACTATTTTATTATTAATAACACTTACCAAATTTACTATTTATTACCTTAAAGGTTGATTAATTAATTTTAATCTTAATTTTTTTAACCAGTACCTTTGGCATTATTTTTCTTGTGCAGTACTAAAATTCATTATTTACGTATCGTGTGATATTTTACAGCTACTCCAGTTTTTAGTATGTGTTTAGTATGGTCCTTTTACCATATTCGAGATGCACTTATCTACGACGAGATGGTATACGAACTTTAATGATGGTAACTTTATTGGTGTATAAGACATTTTGCCTGGGCAGCGAGTATTAACCATAAACTGTGCTCTGGGTCTACAGTTAATTTTCACTCGATTTTTCCTCCACTTGACTTCAAAAGACACAAAACACACGCAATAACACGATTCAAAATGCATCATCTTCCAAAACGCAGGGTATTTGACAAAACTGCCAAAAGTTGACACAAAATTATAACCTCTAATTTGGCAAGACTTTGACAAGCGTCAAAAATCTAAAGGCGAGTTCATACGCATCGGCGTCCGTTTGTCGTTCGTCGTTCCGTCAAACCAATAAAATTGAAATACGATCTGTCATTTTTGAAATAAACCAATAAAACTGGTTAAAAACAACAAGAGACGACATGACGGATTTATATTTAAACCCATCCATAGTTAACTTATAAATTATTAGAAACTTTTTTTAGTAAAATAAATAGATTGGTATGGGACGTCATCTGCTTTTCTTCTGTCATCGTCTGTCGAAATCTTACCTGAGAAAAAAAACAGAGTATACTATAAACAAGGATGAACTTATGTCCTCAAACCATACAAACCCGATTTTCTGTCCTTTAATACTGGGACATAAATCCTCTCGTTGCTTATATGGGAAGGCCGCGGTATACTCTTTTAAAAGTATTTGGATCTCTTCATATAAATAAATACAGGATGGCGCCTCTCATACGCTGCAGAGGCTCCAAGAAGAACGACAGTTTGTATTGAAATGAAATTTTGTGAGCATATGTAGGTTAATTCAGAGCACTTTTTAAAAATATAAAGTTCTACAGATTTTCCGATTCTGGGAGAAAAATAAAGGTGAGTTTTATAAGAGAAGTATATGACTAAAATGTAAGGTTTTTGACACAATATTTAACATTTTCTAGAAATAAAGAACAATTTTTAAATTACAATAATAGCTACCTAAATTGGAATTTACCCGGTATAGCCTAATGTGTAGTTAAATTAATTATTGTACTTTAAATCAAATTAAAACTTGATCAAAAAGTTATACAGGGTGAGACAAAATTAATATTGAACATTGGTCACCTTTAAAAGCATGCAACTCTTTTATTTTAAATAGCCAGCATATTATTCCGATATTCAATGGAGAATTCATGTGCCTTCAAAATACTATTAAGGTTGCCTACCCCCAAACAAAGATTTTCCTAGATGTTTTCATTTACATGATTTGATCTGAGTTGATCTTTATTATTTGATAAAATCTAGGGTGGCTGTGATATGTCTGACGTTACTTCAACATAGCTGTCTAATTAGTCCAAATTAAAAACTAGTAATCATTTTGTATCAGTTAACACAAAAAAAATTCTAAGAAATTTGCCGAAAATGCAAACTTATCCTACATCAGAGAGAATTAATATGATTGTACTGTATGATCGAATAAAGACGGCGTCAGTGATGGCTATGAAATGAAGGTCGCTGTCATTTTATATGTAAAATTATATGGGAAATGTCATCGATCGTCATTTCCAAGCCAACTGGACGCCGTTTTTTTTTCGGTCATACGGTATTAGTTGGTGAATGCAGTGTGCAACCACCAATTAATAGGATACTTAAATCCTCCTGATTTTATCTAGTCTGTTTTTTATGGGGGTATGTTAAAGGCGGTGTTTACAAAACTCGACCAACTATTGTCAACAACATGAAAGAAATTATTGTAGCTGCTTTTCGAGATAGAACTCTACATATGCCTTTTACAATGAAAAGATTATTTTCAAAAGTAAAAAAGTAATTTTATGCAGTTAACGGAAAGGAAGCATTTTGAGCATTTGATTTCATCTAGCTAATTTTTGTCACATAATTATAGGTTTATATCTAGTTTTAATTCTGTAATTATTAAAATATGTTTTAAACGTGTATCTTTTTATTACCGTTGAGTATTTAACTCTACAATCTTTAATTTTTGTTAAATTAACAAAAGGTATATCACACAGTCACCCCTAGATTTTTTCAAATAATAAAGATCTACTGACACAAAATCCTAAAAATTAAAACATCTAGGAAAATCTTCGTTTGAGGGGTAGGCAAAATATATAGGGTGTTCCATTAGAAAAAAAAACAAATTTGATGTGTAACTTTTTGGGGACACCCTGTATAATTCTATATATTTTTATAAAATGATTTCAGTTAACCTACATATGCTGCCAGAATTTCATTTCGATATAAACTGCCGTTCTCCTGCGGCGTATGAGAAGCGCCACCCTGTACATACATTATCAAATTTTAAGGTTGAAAATAGTGATATAAAAATGCTGGAAACGCAAGTGGGTACGATGACAACTAAGATCGACGACACGCGGCAAGAAATAGCGAGCTTAGAAGAAGAAATCGAAAGCTACACAACGCAAGTGAGTGTCTTGGCCAGAGAGGTGGACAATGCGTTAAAGCATGATATAGTGTCCAGCATAATACCTGTCCAGCGAGGCGGCGACACTCCCAAGCAGAACAACCTGAACTTGCCGAAACGGATGGGAGAGACCACGCTGCCGAGGGATGTGCTAGTCAAACGGTTCAAAGATGAATTTTCGCCGGTAAGTTTTGAAATATTGATGTTCGAATTTGTTCTTTATTGCGGAATTTTCGCCTATAGTATAGGCTTGGTGCATTTCAGTTGATTTCAACAAATTCCGACCTCAGCGCTTCAACGGCAAAAATCAGAAATTATCAGTATATCGTTCACGCCGCCGCGCCGTCATGTTGATCGCATTAAAATAATATTGAAATCGTGGTTTTGTCATAATATTTTAAGTATTTTAGTTTTTTGCTAGTTATTGAGACTATAAAACACTCAGGTACGAGGTTTGTGTGATGTAACGCTGTTTCGGGTAGTAAAAAATAAGTGAAAAAGAATTCGAACTAGGCGTCGGCGTTGTGTTGTGTTGTGACAATTTTAAATGTTAATAAAATTGCTGAAAAAATGGTAACGCGTAAAGGAGAGCGTAATTAAGGCGTTGTTAGGTGCAATAGCATTCAATAACTCAACCTTCCCGGATATTCAACTCTCCCGAAACAACATTTTATAGCTTCATAGTTTCTCATACTGATTTGATCAATGGCAAAAATGGATTCAGTTGACGATTACAAGTGAGTAAACAAAGTGCTTGTTACATAATCAAAAAATTAAATAAACAAATACTAAGAGAGGGTAAAATGTAATTACAATATTATTGGTATACTTGTTTTAATCAAAACTAGTGATTAAATGTTTTATGAACATCTTCTAAAATTAAAATTAATAGCCGAAATAGTCCCAATTATGCCCCACCAGCGAAACCGGTGATTAAAACTATGCTCGCTACCGTAGTTGGACTCATCTAAAAAATTTTTTTAACTGGAATAATAAATTATAATACAAGTTAGACCTTCTGAAGATATCAAAATATTTACTTTTTTACTTTTATTTTTAAAATTTTCACAAATTATACTTCCTAACACTTTTAGAATAATTAAATAATAATTTTTTCGTATACTCGCTATTTCAACCCGTGTATTTGTATATACTAGTTTTTACGATATTCTTCGATGGTGGCAGTACCGGCTGTGAATGCATCAAGCCTATACAGGGTGAGTCGACGAACGTTTAAGGCATACTAAAATTTGATACTTGGTTTCAGAACATCGAAAACGAATCGTTCCATTTAAATATTTCGACGGATTCAATACAACCGTTAGAGGTAAGAAAGATTGTATTTTATTGCGCTGTTATAACACCTAAAGTTTGTCCAACGAGGCAGGAAAGATTTTGACAGAGACAACTGTCACTGTCACGAATCCTCTGATTGGACAGACCCAGTGAAGATTTGGAATACCTCATAAGTAATACTCCTATAAGCAGTGGCGTAGCAAGGCGGGGGCAGGCCCGGCGACTTTCCAAGTACCTGTGGGGCGACAAAGAATTGTTATGAAGGCGGCGGACGGATTCTGTAAGGGCGGCAAACCTCTTTGCTTGAGGCTCTCCGCTCCGGGCGCCCCTAACCCACGCTACGCCACTGCCTACAAGACTAGTATACCATATTGGTCACTTTATTTCTGTGGTCTATAGGTATTTGAATGCATGCGACAGAGATAGATACAGGGTGGTCCGAAATGTATTCCGGAAACTTGGCAGCATATTCTGCAGATAAAAATAAGTAAAAAAGTTCGTGTAATCCTAAAATGCTTAGATTCGGAGATACAGGGTGTAGAAGTTTCATTTTTATTTAGATTTTTTCCAAATAATTTCTGAAGTAACGTAAATATTTGGATGAAAACTGGTGTCGGGAGTTTTTTGACCTGAGAAATTTGATTTTTATGTCAATATAACTCCTACTTGTAGAGGGCGCCAAAAAAAAAACCTACATATTTTTTAACTGGTTTGAAGCGTAATAACTTTTCGTCCTTACCTGTATAAAACTACTGAGTAAAAAAATATACATTCACGACGTTTTTTACGTAAAAAACGGCTTGGTAAAAATCGCTTGGTGTAATGGTTCTTGAGGTATTTGTAATCTAACTTATCTATACCTGTCACCATTGACATAAATTAAATATGTTGACTAAATAGTTATTAGACTGAAATCATAAATTTGTAATGTTTTTGTGCCAAAAGTTCAACAGAAACTGTTTTATCATCAGTTTTTCGAAGAAAATGTTTATGATTCATTGAAAAAAAATAAAAAGTTCCCAAAATAATCATTTCAGACAAATAACTATCCACTCAACATGTTTAATTTTGTCAATAATGACATGTATTGACTATTTCCATTCTAAATATCTTGAGAAAGGTTATTCTTAGCGATTTTTACCAAGAGACATTTTTTAAGTAAAAAATTAAGGAAATGTAATTTTTTTCATTCGGTAGTTTTATACAGGTACGGACGAAAAGTTATTACTCTTTAAAATAGTTAAAACAGATGTAGGTGGCGCCCCCTACAAATAGGAGTCATATTGACATCAAAATCAAATTTCTCATGTCAAAAAACTCCCAGACACCAATTTTCAGCCAAATATTGATGTTACTTCAGAAATTATTTGGAAAAAAATCGAAATTAAAATGCAACTTCTACACCCTGTATCTCCGAAACCAAGCATTTTAGGACATACATCTATACGAACTTTTTTACTTATTTTTATCTGCAGAATATGCTGCCGAAGTTTCCGGAATACAGTTCGGACCACCCTGTATAATAGTTTGCTAGGTTGATTTAGAATCCCGTATCTACCCTTGTTTATAGCATTATGTATGTTGTTGCCGTCACACTCTCTTGACGAATGCTCTTAAATTCTTTACTACCCTTATTGGAGTGTTACTTATACCGTGCTGGCAACTGTTACTCTTGGGTCGGTATTTACATGTGTGGATCAGTGTGGAAGTAAATCGCATAGGGATCTTATTAAGTCGAGTGAGAGAAATGCGACGACGTGTTATTGCGGCGTTGCCGGTACGCCTTTCCCTGTCAAGTAAAGTAAAATCACGATCGCAAACCGGTTATTTTTAGATAAGACTTTTTTTTCGAAAAGATAACTAGATAAAATCATAAGATATGTTTCTGAGCATCTGAAAAGGAATTATAAGGATATCGTTAAGGTGTCGATTTTTTTTATAACGAGGAAACGTCAGTAATCGCGATAATTTAAAAACTGAACTTTTTAACACATAACACGCCATAAACTTAAGAACCACTTTAGTATTGAAACTTTTTTTATTCTGAATATCGGATCTTTTACAATATGTTTAAATAAGAAAAATTCGACAAGGTTGTCTTTTCCATTCAAAAATTTTAAACAACTCAACCATTTACTTTTAGCGCAACGCAATTTTCAGCAATCGTGTAGCTTTTTATTTATAAAAATTTTTACATACTCTCTGTGAAGAAAATATAGCAGAAATGTTAAGAAAGCCTTTGAAAAAACTACAATCAATTATTTCTAATAGATTTTGAGATATCGATTTTTGAATTCAGAGTTCTAATAGCGCGAACACTGTCGAACGTCACTCAGTTCCACTTATTTTTACTAAAAATGCAAGTGTTTCTAACTTGCACTTAAAAATTTTGAAGCTATAGGGAAAATTACAACGACTCGTTAATAAATAAACAAATAAAGTATCACAAGACGTAATTAAATCGTGAAGCTGAAAGCATGATGTACACCTTTCTCTAGAACTTTAAGTACTGACAGAAGTATTGATTGGGTCGACCAGCGACAAATCTGCTATATCCCCTTCCACGTCTCTTAGCAATGTGCACAGTTTCCCGATTTATTTCATACGTTTGGCAACGTGTTTACTGTTCTCTCTTTGTTCAGTACATTATAAACCCATTGTACTCTTCTTACATACGGAAATCTCGACCCAAGACTAACCTTTGCCAGCCCTTAGTATGTGATACTTTTTATATTTTTTTCTTTTTGGTAGTTGACAAAAGACCTTTATGGAACTTACAAAACGTCAAGTCTTTTTATGTTGGATATGACAAATTTATGTTTTTATTTTCTGATATTGGATATTTATTCATAAGGCTTTTTGAAATTGTTTTTTTTTGTCTTTTTTAGGACGATTCAAACGAAGAAAGCAGAGAATCGTTAGAGTCCAGCAAATAATATTTTAAGGTTTTTTATTTAATGAACGCCTATTTAATAGTTTTAAGGATGGAGATGTGTGAGGTTTGGTGTGATGCAGATGTGTGAGGTGTATCCATTTGTAATATATATTATATACTTTTAATTTTTGTACTAAAAATGTCTATTATAAGAAAGAAGTTTTTCTTTGAGTGCAATTCCGATGAGTTTGAATAAAAAATATATTGACAGGTTTGTCTAGGAAATATACTATTCATGATTCATGCATCACACATTTTACTTTATAAAAAACGAACCGTGTTTTTGTTTTATTTCCTTCCGTAATGCTTAGATGTATGGTTGTGGTTTATTTTTAATCTATAAATATCAGATTAAAGTAAAATAAATAATGTTGAATTAACGTCTTCTTTTTGCTGCTAAGGCTAATCTGCGAGCAATAATAATCCCCAACATGTTATATGGAAGCGAAACCTGGGTGCCGTACCGCCGGCACACGAACGCATTAAACAAGTTGCAACAGAGACACCTTAGACAACTGTTAAGGATCAAATGGTACCACCATGTCTCAAACGTATCAACCCTTGAAAAAGCTAGCTGCGAGAGCGCTAAAGTCATGATTACTAAATTCCGCTTAAGGTGAGCTGTCCACTTAGTATGCAGGATGCAAGAAAACCGCCTACCGAAATCTCTTCTTTACAGTGAGCTTGTAGACGGTTAGGAAACCGGGTGGACAACTCAAATGATACAAGGATATTTTCCATGAAAGCTTAAAGGGGATACGCATGCAGAATCAGTGCGAGGAAGCAGCGCACAATAGAACGCAATGAAAAAGAATTGTAAACTCAGTTAACAACTACAACCAAAAAGTAAAGAGGCAACAAAGTAATGACATTTTTGAATGTCCGGAGTGCGGAAGAGAGATAATATCACGTATCGGGCTTTTCAGTCACAGAAAAGCTCATGAAAGAAAACGCCTTGCGTATCTTGCAAGTGCTTGATGCGTGTCAGATACTCGTCAGCGAGTAATGGCGGCAAGTTAATCTGGTTGGCAGTAAGTAAGGTTAATTTGAATTGTTTAAGTATCAGAACTGCGGTCCTCGGCCATATCATTGTCAATGACACCGATTTCCAGCAGTGTGTGTCAATAGATTTTACACTCTTGCCAGTCGGTCACCCGTCCATCCACTCGCATCCTCTTACGTCGCTTAACTTTGGTGATCTATCGGGAACCGGTGTTTCGACGTAGCTGGGCCGTTGTCTTAATACAGTATGATAAAAAAAAATGGCGTCAGCGATGGCTATCAAATGAAGATTTTATATGTAAAATCAGATGGGGAATGTCATCGATCGTCATTGCTAAGCCAATTCGACGCCGTTTTTCCCGATCATACGATATAAGATTGTTTGCTTAATGGGTTATATACAGTAAATTGGATTTTTACTTTTTGCTACTTGAAAGCTAAATAAGAAAAATAATCTGACATTGGTTATATTTAACAAGGCAAATTACAAAATTCCTCTTTATATAGACAAGTGGCGTTGGGTGACAAAATAAGGAAAAATGATAGAGATGAAAATCTGATTTTAGTTGTTAAGGCTACCATATATCTTTAAACAACTTATCGGGTTTAAAAAAGCAACTTTTATAGTAAAATAAAGCGTCTATTAAAAAAACATAAAATACATTATCATAACCATTATCCAAAGTTACTCACCTCTTAAAAATTAAATAAAACTACAAACAATGCTAGAAACTAATTATTTTAAGCCGATTTTAAATTACGGATCTTCTATATATAGCAAATTTATATATTATCTGTAGGTTTCAGAGCAATAATTATCACAAAATCCAAAAAAGCCGGACATTTTTTTGATTTCAATTAGATAAAAGACAGCTTAAAAAATAATAAGAAAAAGTCAAAATTTAATATGTATTATACTGTTATATCATTTAATAAATTTTCAGAATATTTACTCCATTTTGTTTCAGTTTATTGACTAGACTCCTAGTCTAACATGACCAGGTAATAATTATAGGTTAGAACATTAAAAATTGTAACAGTATATGTTGTTTATATCGCTTTTTAAGCAATCTAAAATATTTAAAACCTTAAAAGATATTTTTTACAGGACACTCCCTATAAACTTTCTTTCGTTAATTGATTTTTTTTAAATTAAATATGTATCTTAGATTGCTTAAACTTGTCTATAAATGACGCTGTTCCTTCGGTCATATAAATTGTTACATCCAAAGACATTAGTGTGTTTTAATATCTTTGGTTACATCACCTTAATATACAGAGCGATTCATAAATGCTCTAGTACCTTGAGTATCAATATGATCTAGTATAATTACGTCACAAATTTCGTTTTAAATCTAAAAAGCCTACTGAGGTACTCTCCGTATATAAATCAATCATAAAAAAGCAATGCGGTATTATAAAATATTATCTTATAAAATAAGGCCTCTTATACAACCTTCCCCTCTCTACAGGGTGCTTATTATTTCCGGAAAACTCGTTAAACTTAATCAAGTTTAACTATAATTTTGTTCTTTATTGCAGGATAGTTTTTACCCAAACATTTGGTGTATTTTTACTTCTGCACTATTTTTTCCTATCTTTCTCTGCCAATAAAGAGAATTCTAATGCTAAAAGTATAATATATACAGTACAGCAGAAGGACAAATACTCTAATAGTTCTGCATTAAAAAACAAACTTTATAATAATACATCATGATATTACCTATACATACACATTTTTCTATCTTATAAACTTTCACCAATTTTCGTATTTAGTTCCTTATTATAGTCAAGTTTGATATTTTATATAGATTTATCATTTTTTTGGTTATATCATTTAAAATAAGAATATACCAGTCTGGTCATTCTAAATCGTTGGTCTGTATTTTATTGAGTAAGAGAAAGATGAAGTATTGACTTTATACACCGTCGGCAAAGCCAGGCTAGACACTGCATAGAAGAAATGTATTATCCCACTTTGTGTCTCTCTTTAACATGTCTGAATTTTCATTAGGGTCGTTTCTACCATTATCTTACACATTACAATCCAGACCTTCGACTAAGGATGAATAAAATTGATGATGGTCAATGCATCACCTTATCAAGTTGTGGAACCATTACGGGAACCACCAATTATGTGGCAGTACTAGAATAAGGTAGCACATGTAGTAAACATTTACTAAGAACGGTCTGTGATTCATTTATACAGAAAATAAAAACAAATATGTTGTAAGATATTATTGATTAATGATTTAACAAGCAAGTTCGTCGAGTTACATGAAATAAAATAAAATTAGAATATAAAACTAGCTAATTTATTGCTGTATTATCAATAATATATACAAAAAAGTAGAGAAACTGTCCCCCCTTAGGCACCCAGCAATTATAAAATATATCCCTAAGCAATTATATTCATATCACACTTTGTACTCTTTACTAACCCATTTAAGTTATTTTTACTTAATCCAGTCAGAAAAAAAGGCTGTAAAGCTTTTTTGGCTGTGCCTACATCTGAAATACCATACGTCATTTGGTAGGTCACTGTGACACCTTTTTTCCATGGTATATTACTATTACACACACTTACCAAAGACTGCACATTGTTTTAAACACTATATCTGTAATACAGTGCATTTCTTATAGAATATACTGTAAGAAATTCATGTGCTACCATTACATTTAGGCACTGGTAGTAATTTTATTAGGCCATCCTGTATGTAGACAATTTATATAATCATAATTTATGTCGTCATGGCAACAAAATCTCAAAATGCTGATACAAACACATATGGACACAGTGTGATAATTTAATTTCAAATATACTGTATGATATGAAAAAAAAACGGCGTCAGACGGGTGGGGAACGACAATCGATGATAATTTTAGCGAGGTCAATCTCCAGACGTGGTTTACTAAAAATCGATATAAAACTTGTCATAAATTAATACTAATTATTGAAAGATTTAAGAAGAATAAGACGTTTCCAGACACAAATCTATTTAAAAAAAATATTTTTCTCGAATTTTACACTACACTATTCAAAAATCATTTTTACTCGATATAAAAATAAATAACAACCTTCTTAAGCCCAACTGACAAGTAGTAAGCGCCATTTAAAAAATATAGAAGAGTACGGGCTAAGTAAATGACGTCTAGGGCTTGACCTCGCCAAAATTATCATCGATTTTCATTCCTCAGCCGTCTTTGACACCGTTTTTTTTTTGATCGTATGGTACTTTGATCAAACTTAGACCAAAAGTAGATTTTATTTTTGTTATTGTCTAGCAACCTTTATTATATGCAAATATTAGGTGATTGTTCTAATTCTGTGTTGCGGGTATAATTTATTGATTTGGAACAGTATTATCATTAAGAGTCCATTTCACTAGTCCGAAAAAGTAGCAAAATAAGCGTTTGGCATTTAACGTTTTATGTAAAATTGGCTAGGTTTTTTAACACAAATGAAGAAGGAAATTAAAGATAAAGTTATACTATATATCCGTATTGTAGCACATTTTTAGAGAACTTCTTTATTTTTAAGATTTTGATGGTCCAACATCAACAAAATATTCCTTATGTTTGGACTAAATTTTATCGAAAATAAAGACAATTTAAAATTCTGTTACAATAAGGAAATATATTGAAGTTTTGTGATTACAGTGATATATAATTTATATCGGTTTGTAATAAATTGCTCGCTATTTTATGGAAAATGCTGAAGCTCTGCAAAGCTTAATCAAAGCACGTGTATTTGGAATTTTGGATGTGACTTAACACGACAGGATCGGGCTATATTACTTTACTTATTTTTACACGGTGTGTACGTACATCTTTGCCAACAACTTTCTCTTTAAATAGTAGTTGTAGACAAAAGTATAACCCTTGTTTATCAGGGGTATAACTATGAAAATTTTTAGAATTTTGTCTAATTTTCGAAATAGAAGAAATCATATATTGAAAAAAATGTATGGAATAATAAATTCAGCATGCTTCTGCAATGCAATCAAATGAGCATGTAGTAGTGCATGTAAAAATAATATTTATTACAAATAAAGATCAAATACCATATTTTTAAAGCATTTAGAGTACTAAAAATAGGTAGTTATTTACTAAAAATTCAAAGTACTATAATTATAATAATTTGCAGCAATGCAATTACTTCTAAATGCATAAAAATACTAATTAAATTGAATTCTAAAAGCGATATCTGGATCAAGGACACACATCGATAAAAAATAGACCAATGTTTACATTTGATATAGGCCTGGTACAAGTTGTATGTCAACAACTAACAGGTACACGTTTAGGTCACTGTGATTCAACTTGTTTGTTTGTCTATGATCGAAAACAAAACCACAAAAAAAAACTGAAGTGTTGAATAGTTGTATTTAGATATTTTAAATAGTTATTTATTTTTTCTTTGTATTTTTTTTGCTTCTAAAGACGGTAGGAGATACACCTCCTGAAACGTTAAGCATTTTCGTCGACTAGATAAATTTGTTTTACTGGTAAAAAGCCACTGACCAGCTGATTTCCGTTTGGACACAACTCAGGGTGCATCCACACTATCCTAAAAACGGCGTAACGACCTTGAATATATTTTCAGTAATTCTATTGGCTGAAAAATTCATCTGTCAGAAATTTTATCTGTCAAGTTCATCTGTCAAAAATTTCAGCCAATAGAATTACTCGAAATCGATTCAAGGTCGTTACGCCGTTACGCCGATACGCCGTTTTTAGGATAGTGTGGATGCACCCTCAGTGGTGACAAAAAATAACTTTTTTATTTTTGTATATTTCTTTTCCAGTGGCGAAGAAGTCAGATTTTTTTCCAGAAACGACCACCTTTTTATTTCTTACCATGTTGCCACATTTCAAATGAATTTAACGAGAACCTTTTCATTTAGTGTGCAGAAATTACAATATTTTTTATTATTTTATTTGAAAGTATTGCAAAATGTTGTATTGTGGTGCATATTGCACATAACTACAAACCAAAAGCTAGTTATTCGTACTGTTTATTCAGCGATCGTTCAACGGCACGTCATATATTGTCAAACTCAATCACTTGCCAACCAGATAAATAGATTGGTGACGTCATTACGGTACTTCGTAAATTACAGCACATTATTTTTAGTATTGTCATTGTCAATTGATTTGGGGTTATAATTTTATCGACAGTCAAAATTTGCTTATTTTTAATTCTGACTTTTTGATTTTTAATTTGAAATTATTTTCTTTATTACTAAAATGCGTTGCCGATTTAGCGTAAATGAACAAGTTATGATCGCAAAGTTTATTATTTTACGCGAGGAAAGAGACACTTTTGTACAAGTCATTACAATGCGAACGTGTGTAGTCTTATATAATTGTAAACACAAATTAACTGCATTTATAAACAATATAGCGTGTTGATGATGCTTTGAAAATAGGATTTTTTATACAGTTTAAGAAATACAAGTATATTTAATTATTTTAGGCATCTTGAACTTCTAGAATATCTAAGTATATTTTATTGTATAGAATCTCAAGTTTTTTTCATAAGTTTAATTTTAAAGCAGTACAAACTTACCTGGAAAAAGTGGTATATGCCCCTAAAATTATGAATTGAAAGACAATGAAAATGAACGAAGGCCTAACATACCGACATGAATTTAATAAAAACGGAACTCACACAATTAATAATTTCAGAACGTACTTAGAATTTTCTAAACAATATGAACTGATCTCAGACACACCCTAAAACGCATATTTGACAAATAATGATAACGTAACGTTGAACGATCGCTAAAGAGGCAGCATACAGGGTGCTACAAATTCGGGGTACGAGCATTGTTATCTCGGAATCAAGTCCAACTCTGGTTTTTTAAATTATTTAATGTGATTATATTCATTGCAACAATATTGATCAGCGTTAATTAACATTGAGTAAGGAAAATCATAGTTTTTAAAATCGCAATTATAAATAAATTAACTTCTACAAACTAGTTTCTCATGCTCTACATGTTCGATAGGGTTATGACCCTCCCCATTGCACAAATTTATTTTTCGTTCATTTTTATTTATATCTCTTTGAACAGATCTTCTTCTTATATTTCCGAATGCATTTTGTACTCTTTATTGTAAATGGTGAGATTTATTGATTTCACTTTTACAAATGACGTCAAGTAATGCCCCCCCCCTCACCGACAGGTCCAGGAACTTCGCTGGCCATTATACTGCTTTACCATTTCCAATCCATCTTCCGGGGAAATGATTTGATTCTTTCTATTACATTATATTTATATTATTTATTTTATATTATTTCATTGCATTTTATTTTCCGTATTCAATGTTTTACCCCACACCATTGTTAAGTCTGATAGCACTTATCAATATTGTAACAATTGACAGTTAAATACTAAAAAAAAACAGAACTAGACTTGAAATTAGTTTAAATAAATTGTGTTCAGATTTCCAAAACAAAAAAAAATTAAGTGTGGCATATCATTGTACTCAGGAGACCGAGTTCTTTCAAAACCTGAAATAAAAAACGCAGGTCCGTATTTAAAAAAATTAAGTTGACCTCTGTATCTCACAAATTATAAGCTAATTGGAAAATATAAAAATACAGAATACAATCAGATAAATAAAAAGAAAATGTCCAATTAGTATTTCGATTTTCTAAAAATTAACGACAGGAAAAAATAAAATTAATTTTCGAAAAAAACCGTCTTTTCCAAAACTCAGAAATCGTTGAAATTTTTAAAACTTTTTTGATGGCATCTTGGTGAACATCCTAAAGGGCAACTTTGCTCCAATTTAACCATGTTCGTATCTATTACGGTTACCGAGATACCTTGCTTGTACCTCGAATTTGTAGCACCCTGTATTAGACACATCTAAGTTCAAAACGCAGTAAATTCTCAGTTTAAAAACGCTTTTATTCAAATTTATCATTCATCTCTCACTCGAAAAACTCGAATTTATTGAAAACAATAAGCCTTCTAATAAATCACAGCGTCTACCTTTTTCCTAACCTTAAATGAGTAAGTAAAGCCCTCTAATCTCACGTATTAATGTAGTAATGGCCTTAAAATTATCTTGGTAACTCGCATCAAGTCTTATCACTTAGTTTTTTTTACAAATGGCATTATCAACAAAGCTCATTCTCCTTCATTCGCTCTTCGTTTTGTTTTCGACTTCTTTCTGTTGTTTCTTTTCCTTCCGGATTTTTTCCTTTAGTTGGGCAGTCTTGAGGGTTGTCATCAGCTGGGTGGATTGATATAACCAACTACCCTAAATATGTAACATTATTTAAGCACAAAGGGAGTTAGTAGGACAATAATGCCTAAATTAACCTAAACTAACGCTTGTGGTGCAAAATAGTTATTTATGATATAAGTGCTAAAAGTGGTATTCTATTTTGTGAGAAGGGAAGCTTGGGTTTGGTTTGGTTTGGTTTGACACGACGCACAGTGGGGTATTTGACACTGATAGTTGATCGAAATTTTTTTATGTAGACCTTATATAAATTATTGCTATTTTCAATTAAAGAGGAAATAATATGAACAAAATAAAGGATAATTCGTCGATTCTAAAAAAAGAAAGAAAAATCACTGTTCCAGTGTTTCCACGGTCAGTGCCAGTAGTAATATCGCAACTACTCTACTAATGCTACGACTGATCCGCGAGCAATGCCCATACCACTAAAGCCGCTACTAATGCCAAATTGTGCTATACTGCTAATGGCACTAATGCGATCGCTTTGTACACAACAATGCCATCGCGGTTTACACCTCGCATTAGTATATCACTGATTGGCAAATTGGAGGAAACCAAGAATGTTTTTCTCATTTTATCAGCAAAATCGCAAAAAGTCGCAGTATTTTATTTTACTGTATGAAAGCCCAATGTTTACTAAGTAAAACGTATATAGACAATATGCTGAATTCTTCGAAATGCGCAACTAAATCTCTAAGTATAATAAAAATGTCACAAATTTAATCAAATTTTCTGAACGCCTAACTTTTAGTTGCAAAAAAAAATCGTTAGTATAGAGAATATCAAAATAAATAATACGTTTATGTAGAATACATACCTGCAGCTTGCTGAGCCATTTTCAATCAAAACAATAATATAAACGTAAAAAGAGCACAAGAACAACAACAATTTATAATTTTAAACATAAAATTTAGCCATTTACCTCTTATCTGTGAGAAGTAACAACTTTGACGTTTCGTTGAAACAAATGAATGCAACTAAACACACCCATAGCAAAGCTATTCATGGCAGAGATGATTTAACTTATCATTTATCTTTTTTTGGGAAATCTTAAACGCATTTGCTTTTTCGAATTTCGATCACCTTTTTCATGCTAATACCCTACCGTGCGACGCCGAAGGCGGAGTGTCCCATCCCCCCCAGCACACATATCATACACTATTTTTTCTACAAACAAGTTTATGTTCGTATATATCAAGGTATTATCTTTTTACGTTAATGAATATTATTCATAATATGTCATTCTGAACTAGTGCGAAAAGTAAATGACTTTTACCATCAGTGACATAATGTCACATTTTAGGCACTGACAGCATGCGTTAAAAATTACATTTTTACTGACGTTTGTAGAAAAAATATTTTTTTACCCCGTTATTTCAATTTTTTTAATAAAACGTGCATAGTCATTTCTTTTTCGTTTTTCACAGTAAATTTTTTGTTTGCGTATAAACCCGCACTTATACTAGTTAGCATAATCACACTGCAGTGGCGTGCATACAGGATGATTCAAAAAACATGTGCCGTCTCCCGTGGGGAGATTCCTCACGTAAAAATAAGATTTATTTTTCATACCAACATAGGTCTGATTCTGCTTTTTTTCGTAGCTACTGAGTGTTAAAGTTTTAATATTTTTTTCGATTTATTATAATTTTCTTCCAAGTACTTTTAGCGTTGCGACTGAAATTTTGAGGGTAAAAGTTACTATAAATGCGATATATTTTAAAGCTAAAAAAGTGTCGACATATCCACCAGGAACATGCATATAAGTTATCACTGGAATATTTTTCTAAAAAAGCATGTACGCCACTGACTTTTTTTTCTCTTGTTAGCGAAATAGTGTAAGCAGTTTAATGCCGATTAAAAGTTGATTCTTGCTATTTTGTCGAATTCGGCTTCGTTGTTGAGATGATTTAATTTCGTCGGTGCTGAGGGCTATCCTGAGCAGGGATGCCAAATCTGAACAATTTTCCCCTCATTTAGAGTAAAAAATAATTATATTGATGACTTTATTAATTACTTAAGCTTGTTATTTTATTATTTTTCCAATTTCTGCCTACTCTACTTTGATTAGTACTGCTCACCATTGAATCACGGTCAGCACTTCCTCTACGGTTGGCTAAATTTGCCCTTAGAGAGGTTTCAAAAGTGTTTTGCTGAATTTGTAACCGATTTGTACCGTACGATTGAAAAAAAAACGGCATCCAGTTGGCTTGGAAATGACTATCGATGACATTCTTTTGATTTTGAGTCATAGTTTTTCATATAAAACGACACCGATCTTCATTTCATAGCTTTCGCTGACGCCGTTTTTTTTTCGATCACATTGTATAATTTTGTTTTTAAAACCAGACTTTTCTACCAAAATTGATTTTTTGTACCGGAACATTAAAGTGCGTTCACACCGGCTACGCCGCTCCGCGCCGCGCCGCGCAACACATTTTTTTAACATGTACTTTTGAAGTGTATTTTTTTAGCGCGCACAAAAGTATATGTTAAAAAAATGATTTGGGCGGTGCGGCGTGGAGAGGCGCAGCCGGTGTGAACGCACCTTTATAGGTAAATATATTAATTTTTTAAAAAAGTGACTACTTACCACCATCAACATGCAATTGATTAATATTGGCATTGAAAATACTACAGATATAAAAAGGCCATTGCTATCGAAATATTGCTGCCTAGAAAATATTTTCCAGTTTGTCGACGCCAGCTTATTTATATTTTCCGAAAAATAGACTAACAGCACTGAAAACAAATTATTTTCTAATTAAATACAAAAATAAATAACTAAATATACATTTTGATACATAAATGATAATATGAAAACTATAACCATATAGTCTGCCTAGCTAGAGAATGTATCGTTGGTACACAAGAGAAAGTGACCAAGTGCATTTGTAAGAAATGTTTTATTTACTTGTATTTTTTTTGTTTTTAGGGTTCCGTACCCAAAGGGAAAAACAGGAACCCTATTACTAAGACTTCGCTATCCGTCCGTCCGTCCGTCTGTCACAAAGGTCTATCTTATGAACCGTTATAGCTAGACAGTTGAAATTTTTACAGATAATGTGTCTATGTTGCCGCTATAAGAACAAATACTAAAAACAGAATTAAATAAATGTTTATAGATAAAAAAGTACTTTCACTAAACATTATCTTTTAAGTAAGAATTTTACATAGAATCTTTCAAGTCCTCGGTGGCCCCGTGGTTAAAGCGTTAGGACTTTACGCTGCTATGACGTTGGAGCCGTAGTAAGGCAGGTTCGAATCCTAGTCAAGGCGACTTTTTTTTAATCGCTTTTTTTTAATTTTTACATATTTTTACATATTTATTTTTACTGTTTACATATTTATTATTGATTAATACAATTTTTAGTAATGTGTTTCTTCATTTTTTTTTAAATTACTTATACGCGTATTCAAAATTTCACCTAAATCGGAAAAAAAGTTTATAATAATAGTGTCTTATGTTGTATAGATAATGAATGGTACGGAACCCTTCGTGCGCGAGTCCGACTCGCATTTGACCAATTTTTTACATATGGACTAGAAAAATTGTGTAATATCACATTGTGGAGTTTATGTACAAAAAAATGGAATTAATAAACTTTTTTTGTAAAAATATATGGCGTTTTAAATACACACACCGGAAAAGTCTAGGGATATTACAATTTTATCCAGCCATCGTCAGTAATTTTATTATTTGCATTTCTGATATAATAAAATTAAAATAAACAAATAGTTTACAGGACGTATTGGAAATAAAAATGCGAAATTTACCGAATTTTTCAAATTTACCTTGATTTTTCATGAACTCCAAAAAATACACACATTTTTTTTATTCTAAACTGTGAATTAAAATAAAAAAGATAAAACCATTTTTACTTAATAAAGGGTATGGCCTCCTCTACTGTTCATTACAGCCCTACATCGTCTCTCCATGCTCCTGATCAGGTTGTCGATCTCTTCTTGAGGTACAGCCTGCCACGCTGCATTCACGGCCCGAACCAGATCCCTACGAGTTTCACGAGGCATACGCATTCCCAAAATTCTTCTTTGGACCGCGTCCCATACGTGCTCGATGAGGTTGAGGTCAGGAGATTGTGCCGGCCAGGGTAAGATGTTTAATTGATGAGCATTGATAAACTCACTTACCACTCTGGCTGTATGAGGCCGTGCATTGTCATGCATGAAAATGAAGTTTCTCCCAAAATCATTAGCATAGGTCATAGGTAACAGGACAGGCTCAAGAATTAAATCACGATATGTGATTCCTGTTAGAAACCTTTCAAGAAAAACGAGATCGGTTTTTCGGCCTAACTGGACTCCTCCCAAGACCATAACTGTTCCACCTTGATAAGGGTGCACTTCCTGAACATGATCTAACCGAATAAGATTTCCCGGTTCTCTCCATACCCTAAGTCTTTTCGAATCCGGATGAATTCCAAAGCGTGACTCATCCGTGAAGAGAACATTGGCCCATTGTTCATTCGACCACTGAACATGATCTTGAGCCCACAAATATCGTACTTCTCGATTTCCTCTCGTTAAGGGTTGAGCTCTCCAGGGGCGTCTACTTCTTAAGTTGACCTCTCTTAATCTATTGTGAACAGTGTCAGGACTAACGGTTACATTATGTGTTTCCTGGAGAATTAAACTAAGCTCTGGTGCTGTAAGAGTCGGTCGGCGTCGATCATTTAATTGTAAAAAATGATCTTCCTGAGGGGTAGTAATGCGATGTCGCCCTGTGTGCCTTTCTGCAACATCACCACTTTCACGGTAGCGTGCACTTAATCGCGATATTACACCTTGCCTTGTATTTAATGCTCTAGCTACGTTGATTTGGCGCATTCCAGCTTCGAGCATACCCATGGCCCTTAGCATTTCGTCTCTGTTAAGATGTCTACGCTCCATAATGTAGTTTAATACTAAACAGAGTTATTTGAATGAATTCTGGCCAGTTATCATAAAAAACATAGCCAGTACAGGTTAAATTCGAACAATTGATGCTAGGTGCTTTTTATACATTTGACAAAAAATGCACAAAGACTTCTGCAAATATCCCAAATTTAGAAATAACTAGTGTGACTACTTCGTTTCAATCGAAGTAGAAAGAATCGGCCTACAAATATGTGGTTGTTTATTCAAAACATTTATTTTTAACTTTAATAAAATGATATCCCTAGATTTTTCCGGTGTGTGTATTATATTGTTAAAAAATAAAATTCACGAAAATTTGGACTTGTAACTTTCTCTTGTACTGACGCGACGGTATGATCTTGACAGATGACATAGAAAAACTACAGAAAGAAAATACATACTAATCATACTAAGCTAAATATTCTTTTGCTTTTGCTTTATTATAGACCAAACAATCATATACCGGGTGTTTTTCAAAAGTCAAGCTTACCCCTATTATTTTTTTTATTTTTTAGACAAAAAACGAGATTCATTTTGTTAGTATATAACATAAATCAGGAGTGATTGGATGTATTCAATTATTTTTGGTCACTTCCATTTTCATCGGAAATGACTATTACTTTTCATTTTTAAATAGTACCCTCGGCATTTCTCACTTTATTTGACAGAAAGTAACATTTTGAATAGACTGACATATCACATGTCAACTTTTGACATTTTCGCTTAAAAACTGTGTTCATAACGACAATTTGACTCGGAATACCAAGTATGTGGTACCAAATTATTCGTAAAAAATGCTTTTTTTTCCAATATGCTACAGAGCTACCCTTGTTCCATTTGAAAAAATTGAGATATGATTAAAAATGCGATTTGGTTACGATCTTTTAAACGGCCAGGAAAAGTAAAAAAAAAACATTAAACGATCAAATCTATTTTTCCAAGGCTCCTTGATTAAAAATTAGTCATGGCATCTAGATAGAAATTTAAAATACAATTTTTATAAGCGCAAGTGTCAAAGGTTGACAAATGATATGACATTCTATTCGCAATGTTATTTTCTATCAAATAAAGTAAAAAAATACAGAGGGTACCATTTAAAAATCAAAAGTGGCGGTCATTTCCAGTGAAACAGGAAGTGTCCGAAACTAATTGAATACGTCAATCAGTCCTGATTTATGTCATATTATTAACATACCAAATCACGTTAACAAAGTAAAAGTCAGGCGATTAAAATTGTTAATTTTCATCTCATAAGACTTACATAGAATAAAAAATAAAACAGCTTGGAAATTCCCATAGTTTCTAGTCAATATAGCCATCATGAAAATAGAAAAATGAAAAACAAATAGTCCTATCAACCACGGGTCTCGCCAGTCGATCTGAAACAAAATAAATAAAGTTCATTGAAATAGTTCACATAGAATAGCTTATCTTGTTCCAATTACATTTTTACCACTTCAGTTATTAAATAAGATCATTTAATTACAAAATATGAAGATATTTCAATATACAGTATGTCCCCGGATCGTCTTTACATGAGAAAACCCTTTTTATTGTTAACATTTCCAGAAAAATGCATTCTTTATAAACATTTTTGCTTGTTCTAAAATGGATAATCTAGTTTGTACTTACTTAAAAATAAAAAATATAAAAATATAGTTGATCCCAAAAATCATTGCAAAAATCAAAGCGCGTTTCTATGGTAATATTGGCTTGGAACACCTTCAAAAAGAAAATTCCACTTCTCCAACTCCCAGTGGATGACATGACCAAGAATTTACAACTTTGAGAAACACCTCACTGTAGTATTGAGCAATAAAAAGGATTGGAAGAAAGAAACGCTTACTCAGCATATAAAAGACCATACAATCACGTGGTATACTGATGTTTCCAAAACCAAAGCAGGGACAGGGATAGGAGTATTTGGGCCGAAAACTAAATACTCCAGACCAATGGGCACCTAGCCCAGTATCCTTCAGGCAGAAATTTACGCTATCGAAAGATGCGTACAATTTATCTTAGATAGGAACTATCGAAAACAGGAAATTGCCATCCTATCCGATAGTCAAGCAGCACTTAACGCGATCAACTCAGTAACCATCAATTCGAAGTTGGTTAAAGAATGCCTAGAGAAGCTCAACAAATTAGGCAAAGAAAATAAAGTCCTCCTACTCTGGGTGCCTGCTCACCAAGGGATAGAAGGCAATGAAAAAGCAAATGATCTAGCTAGAAAAGGAGCGAACACTCCACTAACTGGATCAGAACCGTTCTGTTTTTCAAACGGGAACCAACTGAAAGCGGAACTGAAGAATCTGGAAGACTCCATCCGTAACTTGGAATGGGTGTCCTCCAACGGTCTAAGACTCGTTATAACTCAAGAAAGGGGAACACACAATAGATCTATAAGGTCGCGGTGATTAACTCTCCTCCTAAACATTCTACATGGTAATATAATTTTTAGGTTTTCATTCTTTGATAGATGATTATTATATGAACGATGCGCAGACGCAGGCGTATGAAGGTTTCTGAATACTTGTCAAACTCTTGTCAAATTAAAGGTTATTACGTGTGTCAAATTATGTCAAGTAACCAGCCAAAATGCAGGAAAATCGAGGAAAAGTAAATGTAGACCTACAGAGTCCTATTAATCACCAATAAAGTTTGTATACCATCTCATATACGGTACTACAAACTAGAGTAGCTGTAAAATAAATACATCACATTATAGGTAAATAACAATAGCTTTAGTAGAGAGATAAGGTCAAAAGTCATTGGTTTAAAGCATAGATAAATGAAACAAGTTTAGATTGGAAAGTGCCCATAAGGACAATGTAAACACTATTTGGCGCTATTCTTGCAACGGTCGCGACCCAAAACTTTTGAAAATTTCGCCAAACCAAACCAGAATTATATCGCCAAATATTGTTTATTCAAATTTAGTATTTTTGTTTAATTTTATAAATAAAATACAGTGTGTTGCATACAAGAAACTTTATTTTATATAAGGACGCATGTATAAAATACCTATGAAACATTGGAAACCGACGTTATGCCACGATCCACGATGGTTTTTGCAGTTCACAGTTCACAGCACAGCCGTTTTATTCGATCATACGGTAGTTCATGTTTATAGATTTTTTATATCTAGTATTTTTTAACACACACCTTTGTTAGTTTTGTATTAATACACACTCTATTTTTTTTGAAATAAAAAAGCTGGAATAGATTTTTTGTTTTATACAGTTTTCACAGCAGTTTTTTTTTTCGTATGTTTAGAAGTAATCATTTGTCACTAAAATTTTAAATATATATTTCCTGTTTTGTATTCCAATTGCACCAACTTATTTCTTGAAAAAATGACAGGCACATCTATCACTGGCAAGGATTTTGTCGTTGGACAGACTATAGAACTTTTTTCCAACACTGTATACGAAAATATTTTATTAATTTTGTACCTACTCTATATTTAATTTTCTCTCATTGAATAACAAACTTACTGAAGAAAATTTTAATTATCGACCATTACGGCCTCCGTATTATATAATTTATAAACATAATACTGACATTTTAGAAAGTGGTTGTATAGATTATGCGTCAGAATCACCCGATTTTATATCTTCACGCTTCATTCTCCAACGTCTAATTTTAGTAAAGATAATGCAAAAGATACTTGCCATTATCAATTTTTAAAATTATTAAAGTCGAACGAACCAAGTAAATGAAGATTTCGTGTAGGCAGAATCAGAATATGTGTTACAATGAAAAATTTATGATATTTACATAACGTAATGTGAAAAGTAGTAATAGTAAAATACGCTAAATAGTTCAGTCATTGGGGATCAAAAAAGGGGCCTGCTTGGAAAAAAGTCAGGAAGTTTTGAAACTTTGCAGGTTTATAGGTTTTGAGGTCCCTAACTAAAATCCATAAAATGCACATCTCCAGACTTGCCGCCGGCGCCGCCATCTTGCCAAGATGGCGCCCAAAATCGGTGTTTTGTGATTATCTCGAAAACTATGCATTTTTCGCGAAAATTTGAGGAGAGCAAAATTAAAGAGAATAAAATTTTCTATAAAAAAGGTTTTATAAAAATGTTTGCTAAAGTCAACCGTTTAGGCACAAAATCGCTAGAAATTTTACAATTTTGCGTAAAATGCGATATATTATGTATAGTCGATTTTCCGAAATCAAATGTCGATTAGGGTTCACTAAAACTAGTTTTAGTTTAGCTTCTTTAATTTTGTCATGAAACAGTGGCGTATCATTAATTCGCTCATTAATTTATGAATAACTAGCGTGTTCCCGCGACTTCGATCGCGTCGAATTAATCATTATTTGTAATGGTGATTATAAAGCAAAGCAAGAATTTCCATTATCATACAAACTGGATAAAATTTTCTCACATGTCAGCATGAGAAAAAACAATATGGCGATATTATTATATAACTTAGTAATATTTGAGGGCTAGTTTCATCTTGTTGGAATTTGACTTTCGAAAAATCCGTTTGCCAAAATTAAGCTTTTTACGTCAAGCAGTTTAAGCAGAATCGTGGTTAATCAATTACCCAACTTTTTGGAACACCCTGTATGATTTTTTAAAAAAATTCAAAATATGTAAAAAAACAAAATAAATTATGCGTGTCCAAGCGTTTTCTCGAAAGACTAACCATTTTTTAAATAACAAATTTTGTAATATTTGAGGGACGTTTTCGCCCTCCTGGAATTTTAGATTCGAGAAACCCCTCCTTATCGAACCTCTACACCCCATGCACAGTCAATCCGTTTGCCAAAAATCAGCTTTAAATGTCAAGCAGTTTAAGCAGAATCCTGATTACTCAATGGTCATATTTTATGAAACACCCTGCATAAATTTTTAAAAATCTTAAAATATGTAAAACAACAAAATAAAATATACGTGTTTAAGAGTTTTTCCGAAAAACTCGCCGGTTTTGAAATAAAAAATATTCTAATATTTGAGGGGTGGTTTCACCCGTTTCACCCCCTTAAAATTCGAGTTTCGAAAAATCCCTTCTTATCGAACCGCTACACCCTAAAGTCAATCCGTTTTCCAAAAATCAGCTTTTTACGTCAAGTGCTTTAAGCAGGATCGTGATTAATCAATGACCAGATTTTTCGAAACACCCTCTATACATTTTTAAAAAATCTTAAAATATGTAAAAAACAAAATAAAATATACGTATTTAAGCGTTTTTTCGGAAACTTGATCGTTTTTCAAATAAAAAATATTGTAATATTTGTGGGGTGGTTTCACCCCCTTGGAACGAATTTTAAAAAATCACCTTCTTATCGAACCTCTACACCCTAGAATCAACCTGTATGCCAAAATTGAGCTTCGTACGTTGAGTGGTTTGAGCAGGATCGTGATTAATCAGTGTGTCAGTCACTTAAGGATTTTATATATTAGTATAGATTAATTGTCGTGCTGGACAGCAATCCTTTGCGAACTTACCATCAGGTTCAGCATTGGTCTGGTTGTACCAAAGATGCCGAAGAATGGGGTTGGAACAAACCAAACACAGGCATTACTCCAGTCACAACATTGAAAGAGTCAGCTCCAAAATCCCTGTAATCCCCCTTTTATCCTGTAAATGCAAAACCAACAACTATGGTAAAGCCTGTAGATGCAGAAAAGCAGGATTAAAATGTTCAATGATTTGTGCATACTGCAATGGGAAATCCTGTGACAACGTCACTGAAGTGTCACTCGATGAATCCGATGAAGAGGAGTTGGACTTGCCTGTAGATATCCTTCTGGCGGCTGAACATGAAGAGTTGGGCGTATTGAGAGACCACCCTGATGAGCCCAGCACAGCAGACATGATCGACTTTGACATCAATGAGCCAGATCCGTCGGGCTTCTGCAGATAAGTTAAAGTTTTTAATTTATCTAGTGGAGCAGGCCTCCGGGGAGACCACGTTAAAATAAACGCGCCATATACTTTACCTCTTGGGTGATATGGAAACAAGTACACATTTTCAATAATTAAAATTAATTATTCATAAATTAATGAGCGAATTAATGATACGCCACTGTTTTATGACAAAATTGAAGAAACTAAACTAAAACTAGTTTTAGTGAACTCTAATCGACATTTGATTTCGAAAAATTGATTATACATAATATATCATATTTTACGCAAAATTGTAAAATTTCCAGGGATTTTGTGCCTAAACGGTTGATTTTAGCGAAAATTTTATTCTCTTTAATTTTGCTCTCCTCAAATTTTCGTGAAAAATGTATAGTTTTCGAGATATTCACAAAATACCGATTTTGGGCGCCATCTTGGCACGATGGCGGCGCCGGCGGCAAGTCTGGAAATGTGCATTTTATGGAATTTAGTTAGGGACCCCAAAACCTATAAACCTGCAAAGTTGCAAAACTTCCGGACTTTTTTCCAAGCAAAAATCCCCAAGGACTGAACTAAAAATAAATATAGGATTCAGAAGCTAACAAGGTTTTTACTCTTAAGCCCAGTATACACTTAACGTTTTATCTGTCAGGGAACACGGATTAAAATCTAGCGTACAAGCACAGAATATCTAGCTACGCAACAGAAGCCTCGTTACATGTGTAAAATTGTAGGTAGCAAAAGGAGACAGGCTTTAAAAGTCTGTCTCCAAATCAGATATTTTGATGTGGTAGTTTCGCTACTACATAATAGAGGGCAATAAATTTAAAAGAAAACAGTTTTCTACAAACAAAATTTAAAAGAATTTTGTGCAGTGTTGCCATTGTGTAATTCATATCGTAATACTTCCTGATAAAGCCTACCTTCAAATTTGCTACATCATTTAAACATATTAAAATAGATCAGAGCTGTTTTTTTTTCAGTTTGCCATGTTAGTTGGAATTAAATCTTATGAGCTAAATTATAATCGCTTCCTGACATTTGATTGTATAATTGAATCCTGAATTTTCATTGTAATTCGGCGACAATATAATAAGTATTGTTCTACTATTATGATATCACTTCCTGACGTTCGATTGTGTTCATACCAAGTTCATATTGTATAATCGGGAAAAAACGGCGTTAGCGATAGCTATGAAATTAATATCACTGTCATTTTATATGTAAATTTATATGGGAAATGTCCTATATAAATTTACATATTCCAGCCAACTGGACGCCGTTTTTTTCAGGAGCATATCAAGTGATACCATAATATAGTACTATATTACGATACATGGCGTTCGATTGGGCTTAAACTTGGTATACTATATCTTCAGTTACATTGTAATATCATGGTACCATGGAGCATATAAAGTGGTACCTTCTATAGTACCATATAGCAATATTAGGTACATGGCGGCAATAGGGCTTAAACTTGGTATACTACGTATTTTCGGTGACATTGTAATATGATGGTACTATGATGCATATCATCTGGTACCATAATATAGTACCATATTATGTACATGGCATTCGATTGGGCTTAAATTTGGGATACTACGTATCTTCGGTGATATTGTAATATTATGGTACCATGGAGCATAATAAGAGGTACCATAATATAGTACCATATTACGATACCATTTCCTGGCGTTCGATTGGGCTTAAACTTGTTATACTACGTATCTTCGGTTACATTGTAATATGATGGTACTATAATGCATATAAAGTGGTACCTTAATATAGTACCATATTTCAATACCATTTCCTGGCGTTCGATTGAGCTCATATTTGATATATACTTGCGTATTTTTGATGACATTGCATTATTATGGTACCATGAAGCATATCAACTGGTACCATAATATAGTACAATATTACGTACATGGCATTCGATTGGGCTTAAACTTGGGATACTACGTATTTTCGGTGACATTGTAATATGATCGCACTATAATGCATATAAAGTGGTACCTTAATATAGTACCATATTACGATACCATTTCCTGGCGTTCAATTAGGCTCAAACTTGGTATACTACGTATCTTTGGTTACATTGTAATATGATTGAACTATGATGTATATAAAGTGGAACCTTAATATAGTACCATATTACAATACCATTTCATGGCCGTTCGATTGTTCTTAAATTTGGTATACTACGGATCTTCGGTGACATTGCAATATTATGGTACCTTAAAGTATATCGAGTGGTACCATAATATAGTACACTATTATGATCATATCATTTCCTGGAGTTCGATTGGGCCCAAATTTGGTATACTTGCGTTTCTTTATAAAGATTTATTTAATATTATATATATTTAATTAATAATTTTTAAATTCTGTCACGATGTCGTGACAGCAACTTTTATGCCGAACTACTATATTATTAATTGTACCTGTGTCACTTTTTAAAATCTACCTAGGTCTATATAAATAACGTGGCAAACGGAAGAAATTTGTTATTATAGTATTTTTTAGTCAGTTAACATTTTTTGTACTGCATTTTAATAAATTATTTCCATTATTATTAAACTTATATTTTATTACTAACGTTCCAGCATTAATAAATATCACTATCAATCGCCCTGTATATTATTAATTTTAAAGGTAATTAAAGGTATTTTCTTAGTTAACATTATAAGGTAGTGTATATTAAAAATGTATATGTTTTGTAATAATATACTTAAAACTATTTTAATAGCCAAAGGAATAATTAATATAAGTGTATCTGACAAGAAAAGAAGAATAGAAAGAAACACATACTGCATTATATACAATAAAAAGAATGGGATGCCAATTCAAGTCTTTTTGAATCTGGCAACTGTGCATATTTAGCCGAGCTATAAGGCCGGCGACGAGCCGTCGATCCAAAACCGAAAGTTCAAAATTTCTAATTATATTCTGATTAAGATATTGTCGCGCCATCTAGTATTCTATTTGTGCAATTTTAGCTCTTTCATTTCGAGTATTTTTCTGTTGCGTAACTAGATATTCTGTGGTACAAGCCTCATTCAGAACCTCGAAACTAGTGGAATAAATAGAAGAAATTATATACAGGGTCTTTCAAAAAACATGCGCCATCTCTATCTCTCGTGAGGAGATTCCTCGCATAAAAATAAGATTTATTTTTCATATCGACATAGGTCCGATTCTGCTTTATTTCTTAGCTACAGGGTGTTAGAGTTTTAATATTTTTTCGATTTATTACAATTTTCTTCCAAGTACTTTTAGCGTTTCGAATAAAATTTTGAGGGTAAAAGTTACTATAAATGCGACGTATTTTAAAGCTAAAAAAGTGTCGACATTCACCAGGGACGTGCATATGGGTTATCACTGGAATATTTTTCTAAAGAAGGCATGTACGTCACTGACTTTTTTTTGTTAGCGAAATAGTGTAAGCAGTTTAATGCCGATTAAAAGTTGTCTCTTGATTTTTTGTTAATTTCGGCCTCCTTAATGAGATAAACGCAATTTTATTAATTTGTCTGGATTCAAGTATAATGCAACCTTTAAAAAATTTTAACATTATTAATTTGCGAGAGTTTGAAATAAGTACTCATTGATTCTTCATCAAAAAATAAGAAAAAATGTTCCTATAAACATGGGTATGGAAATGCATAGTTTTAGTTACAGGATGTTAAAACTTAGATTTTTTGTAAATATCTTAACTACCATTATTTTTTTAGTTCAAATTTCTGTACGTTGGACTAATAGTAATAATAACTAATAGTAATAATATTTAATAATAAATTAGGTAAAATATATAATTTATTAATTTTATTTTTATTTTATTAATTGTGATTAATAAATTTGTGTTTATCTCATCAAAGGGCCGAATTCGACAAAATATGGAGAGATAACTTTTAATTGGCATTAAAGGGACTACACAATTCTGATATCAAAAGAAAAAAAGTCAGTGGCGCACATGTTTTTTTTTTGAAAAATATTTCAGTGAACCCATATGCACGTCCCTGATGAATTAATCGACACGACACTTTTTTAGTAGCACTTATAGTAACTTTTACCTTCAAAATTTCATTCGAATCACTAAAAGTACTTGGAAGAAAATTATAATAAATCGAAAAAATATTAAGATTTTAACACCCTGTAGACGAAACAAAGCAGAATCGTACCTATGTTATGATATGAAAAATAAATCTGATATGATATGAAAAATAAATCTTATTTTTACGTGAGGAATCTCCCCACGAGAGATGGCACATGTTTTTTGAAACACCCTGTATATGAAATTTCCAAAAAATACATCAATAAATCAGCCAATTGTGTATAATAACGACAAGTTAATCCCCAAAAATATCTAACTGGTTTTGTGTATAATCAGATATTTCAGGAAAAAATATACAAATAAAAATAACATAAGATAAATTTAATCTCAGGACGCCTACTACAAATCTGGCTTATAAATTAATTTCATTATAAAAACTACTTATTTTAGACATTCCTTTTGTTTTAAGGTAATTAGAACAAGTTTTTATTACCTAAATCACATTTGAATTGAACTTGGTGGATAAAAATAAAAATATCTCAAAATAAAATTAAAGTAGGCTCTAATCCATTCAGCAATCTTATATTTAGATACCTACTTCAAAAATATTTTTTGAAAATTTTATAGGATTAAATTATGACAATCAGTAAAGTTTTTATTTTTAAAGGTCAAAAATATGTGATACCTATATGTAATGAGACTGTTTTTGTATTCTGTATCTCATTATTTACCGAATTGTATACATAATTATTGTTTATAATGCATGGTGTTGGTACCTTACCTGGTTTTTAAGTTAATGCAATAATTAAATTTAAACGTAGACACTCAAAATGCAGAATTATTCAAATTCGCTTGACCAACAACATTGTTGTTATTGTGCCCTTTCAAACCGGTTTGTTTTTGAGCAAAAATTAGAGATAGATCTAACAAAAATTAGTATTTCTAAATTGGATTATACTTACGCTGGCTAGAAACGATAGGAATCCCTCCACTTTACTGAAATCGGCAAAATCGTGCTCAATCATTTTATCACCACTCTCTATTTGGAAAATAAAATCAAAATAAAATGTTAAAATTTTGCTTTTCGAAAATAATCACTAACACATTGATGTTGTTTGACTTCGAATGACAGATGAAAATAATTTTTGACAAAAGCCGGTTTCGATGGAACTTGTTTTAGGCAACCATATTAACGCGTACTGTATTTCTAGTTGCATAACCATAAACGTTTATAATTTGATTTTTTTATAACTCTGTTACACAAATATTTTATTTTCTACAAATTCTTAATAACTGTTAAGCAAATTATTGATATTTCATTAATAGTAAAAAATGAATAGTATGGTATTTCTCATAATTATCCTAAAATCGGTATATTGCCCATGGTATATACAATATACAAGGCGATCAAAAGGTTAATACCAGATGTATATTCCTCGATTCCTCCTCTCATTTAAATGGAAAAACATGTATTTTATAATATACATGAACTTTTTGAAGGAATGAATAATAAAATTACCCCCATTATCTCATTATCCTATCCATATATGCGCCTTTGCATAATTCTAAACAAATTAATACACTAGGGTAGTTTAAACTGTTTGATATCTAACAAAAATACTCTACAACAGAGACTCTACATAAATGTGCCTCGAATGCTTCATGTATTTACTACCAAACTGCATAAGTACTTAAAAATAACAGATTATTATAATTATTATTAAAAACTTTGGAATATGATTCATTTGAATATCATATTGTTATTCATAATTTTGATTGTTTATAGTAATTTTTGTTGCTAACTGCACTGAAAAAAAAGTATTTTCAATAATCTTTATTGTTTTATAGCCATATGATCGAAAAAAAGACGGCGTCAAAGACGACTGGGCGACAATCGATAATAATTTTAGCGAGGTCAAGCCCTAGACTAGCGGTAAGCGCCATTAAAAAATAAAAAAGGTTTTAATTTATTTTTATATGGCGTAAAAATTTTTTTTAATGTATATGTCTTTTTTTATAGATTAAACAAATATTTAATTACACAAGACCTAGGAAATGACATAATTTTTTGTACAGGGTTAGATCGAAATTAAGTAATCCCAAAGATAAAACACTTTCACTATACAGAGTCCGGCAATAGTGCGTCGGGTATCTGTAGAACATATTTCTAGAGAATATACAGGGTGTTCAAGAAATAAGTGCAAGTATTTTAAAGCGTGGTAGATCTCGATAAAAGAAACATATTTTCTCTTTATAGTTTTTCAAATAAGTCCAAAATAACGGACTTATTTTAATTTGAAAATTTCCAAAAAAATGATTTTTTGCTAAAATTTTGGGAATCACTGGATCTTTTCTGGATTTCCTTTCTTGTAAATTTAATCCTATATTAACCTATGTTGCCATATTATCAAGAAATTATGTTTTTTAATTAAAAACTAAAAAAAAAAATCCTAAAAATTTTTCAAATTTTTTTTTTTCTCGAAATATAATTATAGTCGTGGTTTTGGGGTTGAACTATACTACCAGTTAAAATACTTGCACTTATTTCTGGGTCACCTTGTATAGTAGAATATATTCTAGAGAATACTAGAGAATATATTCTCTACTCTTTGCCTATTGCATATATTGTAATGCTGCCTTTTGAATAATACAATAAATTTACGAAAATTGATATAATTTCTTTATAATTTTTGGTAATTTTCATAGAATCAAATTACAATCGTTGCTTTGTAAACACACATGCAATTTTATTTTAAGTAACTATAGATGTAACCAGTGGCGGGTCTAACATTTTTGGTGCGGCCCAAGTTTGAAACAAATTTGATTTTATTCTGTGATTGTGAATCCTTATGTTCTATGACTGCATGTTAATATCATGTCAATTTTTAAAAATGACCAATACAGGGTGTCCCAGAAATAAGTGCAAAAGTATTTTAACTGGTAGTATATTTCGGCCTCACAAACACCCCTATGAGTTTTTTTTGGAAAATTTTTGGAAATTTAGTTTAGAACTTTAGTTTTAAATTAAAAAACATAATTTCTTGATAATATGGCAACATAGGTAGATTAAATTTACATGAAAGAAAATCCAGAAAAGATCCAGTGGTCCTCAAAATTTAAGCAAAAAAGAATTTTTTGTTTAAATTTTCAAAGTAAAATAACTCCGTTTTTTTTACTTGCTTGAAAAACGGTAAAGAGAAAAAAAGTTTCTTTTGACCAGATCTACCACCCCTTAAAATACTTGAACTTATTTCTGGGACACCCTGTATAGACATCAGTGCGACAGAAATTTATTATCTGTTATAGTATATAGCATGTACCAGCGACTTCGTTCGCGTCGAATTAATCATTTGTAATGGTCATGATAAAGCAAAGCAAGAGTTTCCATTAAGATACAAACTGGATAAAATTTTCTCACGTTTATGTCAGCATGAGAAAAAACAATATGGCGATATTATTATATAACTTGGTAATATTTGAGGGGTAGTTTCATCTCGTTGGAATTTGACTTTCGAAAAATCCGTTTGCCAAAAATAAGCTTTAAATAAAAAAATACGTCAAGCAGTTTAAACAGAATTGTGGTTAAGAAATTACCCAACTTTTTGGAACACCCTGTATGATTTTTTAAAAAAAATTAAAATATGTAAAAAAACCAAATAAATTATGCTTGTCCAAGCGTTTTCCCGAAAGACTAACCGTTTTTTAAATAACAAAAAATTGTAATATTTGCATGGGCGAAGTTAGGTCGTTGGATCTGGGGGGAGGTCTAAAGCCCCAATTATGAAACTTATTATTACAAAACTGAAGAAGCGGAAGGTTGCCGTCAATCTCAAAAATAGCGCTGAATGCGAAAAATTGTTGGGGTGCCACGCCCCAATTAGGGTACATTTTCTCATAAAGGGTATGAAAACTTTATTAAAAAAGTATTTGGACCCCCAATACCTGTTCTAGGGTAAAATAAATAGATAATAATATAATTAAAATATAATTTCCTTGTCTGTATATTATATGCTGTTTCTTGTTGTATAAATAACTAAATTACTTTTTATTTTTATAATAAATTTATGGCTGTACTAAAACTGCCGTCAAACTGTAGCTTACTAAAATGCCTATGACGTCGTTGATGTGACGAACTTGACGGCTTTATGAAATATAGGAATTTTATAAGGACTAACCAACGCTATCCACCCCACCAAATAACTAACTTAACCAACGCAACTAACCTCAACACTGATAAAAAATATAAAAAACAAATATAAATTAGTAAAAATCAACCCACCAATGAATTAATACCCTCCAAATAACCACGCTAACCAAGCCGCCAAATAACTAAACCAATCCAACCAAAAAGAGTGAAACCAATGCAATAAGATCACGCTATAAATAAATAAAGAAAGATCACGCTATAAATAAAAAAATAAAGGAAAAAAAATATAAAAAAGTCTTGGTCGGCGTGAGATTTGAACCACGGACTATTCGCTTACGAAGGGATAGCCTCAGCTTGGCCTCAGCCACTAACCCACAGGTGCTCTTAAAATATATTGTATGCTGTATATGCTGTATAAAATGCTTAAGGCCAGGCATTACTTACCGCCGACATGAACGACGTCACAATATTAACGGCATTTTAGTAGGCTACCGTTTAACGGCTGTTTAAGTACATCGTAAATTTATTGTAATGATTATTAAATTAAAACTAAAAGAAAACAGACAATTAATAAAACATCTTAAAATCACAAGCCAATTATATAGATTATACATCTGAAACTTTTGATTTTGTTTAGGTTTTGTTCTAGTTGTTTTAAATTTAATTGATTGTTCACTAATTTTGTTTTCAACTTATCTTTTTTTATTTTTACATAATTATTTATAAATTTCGAACAGTTTTTTAAAAAGTTAACGCAAAAAGATATAAATATTGCTTAAAAATCCGACAGTGCTGTTCCGATTTTTAAATACAAAAGGTGGCAACCCTGTTTATCGCTGTCTTTATCGGCATAATTCCCGTTCGGTACGCCTGGTTGCCAATTTCGCTTCAATTTCGCATTCGCTACTGAGTCGAAACTAAAAATTATACAATTTTTACAGATCAAATCAGAAAATTATTTTTATTTTTGGTTCTGTCTGAGTACCAATAATGTTCAATTATTTGGTGTGTAGGCTTGTTCGGTCTGGGGGGGGGGCTAATCCAGGGATTGGGGGGGCCTAGCACCCCCAAGCCCCCCCTGACTTCACCCATGAATATTTGAGGTGCGTTTTCACCCTCTTGGAATTTGAGATTCGAGAAACCTCTCCTTATCAAACCTCTACACCCCACAGTCAATCCGTTTGCCAAAAATTAGCTTTAAACGTCAAGCAGTTTAAGCAGAATCGTGATTACTCAATTGTCATATTTTCTGAAACACCCTGTATAAATTTATAAAAAATCTTAAAATATGTAAAACAACAAAATAAAATATACGTGTTTAAGAGTTTTTCCGAAAAACTCACAGGTTTTTAAATAAAAAATATTTTAATATTTGAGGGATAGTTTCACCCCCTTAGAATTCGAGTTTCGAAAAATCCCTTCTTACCGAACCTCTACACTCTAAAGTCAATCTGTTTTCCAAAAATCAGCTTTTTACGTCAAGCGCTTTAAGCAGGATCGTGATTAATCAATGACCAGATTTTTCGAAACACCCTGTCTACATTTTTAAAAAATCTTAAAATATGTAAAAAACAAATAAAATATACGTGTTTAAGCGTTTTTTTCGGAAACTTGACCGTTTTTTAAATAAAAAATATTGTAATATTTGAGGGGTGGTTTCACCCTCTTGGAACTAGAATTTCGAAAAATCCCTTCTTATCGAACCTCTACACCCTAGAATCAACCTGTATGCCAAAATTGAGCTTCTTACGTTGAGTGGTTTGAGCAGGATCGTGATTAATCAGTATGTCAGTCACTTAAGGATTTTATATATTAGTATAGATTATTTTTATTTCAAAGGCCACTGTGATACAGTTTTTTTTTATCTTACGGTACCTATAATTAATGATTACGACTATTAATGATTACGAATATATTAGACAGATAACTGACATTGTAAATTGCCTTAAATAGAGTAAAATTTCATGTTTTTTCTTTTGGACTTCACTAAACACAATATGCTGTTCTATTTTTGTAATAATTAAAATAAAATCTTGAAAACTTGAGTTTTCTATACAGCCATCCATTTTGCCTGACACAAAACTGACAGGTAAAACGTTACGTCTAAACGGGGCTTTAGTGCCTTATCGTTCCGCCCCTGTACATAAATACTAAAAACTTAAATTAATTTAATTTCGAACCATTGTCTACACTAGATTACGAGGACTTCTTATCGAAAAATAAAAAAAAATAAGTTACATAGAAAATCTAACCTTTGACCACCGTACACGGTTCCAGATATGATGTGTCATCGAAGTATAACCCGATATCTCGAAAATATAAATATAAATACATCATATAGGAGATATTTTGATTTGTGAACTTTGAAATTCCTATTGGATAAGATAAAGGGACTTAAGCTAGCTGCTTTAAAATAAACGATACATTCTGGTACCGGTTGTCGTACTGTGTGCTTTAGTGTTGGTTAGTGTTCAGTTGTTACCTAGTAGTGTGAAAAAGTAATAGAAAGGTAAGTCGATTTAGTATTTTAAGATATAAAAAAGTAGCGTGTACCAGCGACTTCGTTCGCGTCGAATTAATCATTTATAATGGTGATGATAAAGCAAAGCAAGAATTTCCATTATCATACAAACTGCATGAGAAAAAACAATATAGCGATATTATTATATAACTTGGTAAAATTTGAGGGGTAGTTTCATTTCGTTGGAATTTGACTTTAGAAAAATCCGTCTGCCAAAAATAAGCTTTTTACGTCAAGCAGTTTAAGCAGAATCGTGGTTAAGAAATTACCCAACTTTTTTGATTTTTTAAAAAATTTCAAAATACGTAAAAAAACAAATAAATTATGCTTGTCCAAGCGTTTTCCCGAAAGACTAACCGTTTTTTTAAATAACAAATATTGTAATATTTGAGGGGCGTTTTCACCCTCTTGGAATTTGAGATTCGAGAAACCCCTCCATATCGAACCTCTACACTCCACAGTCAATCCGTCTGCCAAAAATCAGCTTTAAACGTCAAGCAGTTTAAGCAGAATCGTGATTACTCACTGGTCATATTTTATGAAACACCCTGTATAATGTAAAACAACAAAATTAAATATACGTGTTTATAGTTTTTCCGAAAAACTCACCGGTTTTTAAATAAAAAATGTTCTAATATTTGAGGGGCAGTTTCACCCCTTAGAATTCGACTTTCGAAAAATCCCTTCTTATCGAACCTCTACACCCTAAAGTCAATCTGTTTTCCAAAAATCAGCTTTTTACGTCAAGCGCTTTAAGCAGGATCATGATTAATTAATGACCATATTTTTCGTACACCCTGTAAACATTTTTAAAAAATCTTAAAATATGTAAAAAACAAAATAAAATATACGCGTTTAAGCGTTTTTTTGGAAACTTGACCGTTTTTTAAATAAAAAATATTGTAATATTTGAGGGGTGGTTTCACCCTCTTGGAACTGGAGGAATTTCGAAAAATCCCTTCTTATCGAACCTCTACACCCTAAAATCAACCTGTATGTCAAAATTGAGCTTCTTTCGTTGAGTGGTTTGAACAGGATCGTGATTAATCAGTATGTCATATATTAGTATAGATTAAAATAAATTAAAAATTTTTAATTAAGAAAATAATTATTTGAATTTTTATTATCTAATAGGGGAAAGTAGCCCAGAACCGTACCACCTTTATGCACAAAAGTTAAAAAGCTACTAATTTTTCAGACTGGGTAGTTGTAATTGTTGCGAAACCTTAGTTTGATCTCTTTTACATCTAGTAGATATATTTTTTCATATTTTTATTAGCATTATTTTAACAGAAAAATCAAATTTTCAAAAGCCTTACAAATGGTACGATGCAGGAAACCGGTTGCCGAAGTTGTAAAAATTGTTTTTCCGTCATATTTCCCGAAAAGACAAATATAAGTTCAGACTAAACGGATTATCATTGGGATTACTAACAGGTAACTTTGTCCCAATTTACCCACCCTGTATCTCATCGTTTCGGAGATCCCAATAGTCCTTTAAAATATTTGACCGAATTTCAAACACCCTGTATGTAAAATTATACGAGGAATGTCAACGATCGTTATTTAAACAAAATAGAAAAAAAAAACATTAACAGAAAACACTAAAGTATACAAATAAATAAATAATACAAATAACGACATGAAATTTGGGGAACCAGTTACACCATAGAGACAATTATATTGTTTTGCATAGTCTAGAATGGGATACACATATACATACGTATATCCCACTCTTTCTTATACACAAGTTTTAGGATATTCTTTTACTATTAGTATTTTCTAAATAATGGAATGTATAATCTTCAACAATTGTAAATATTAAATATATTTGTCACAAAGGTATCGGTTTTCAATGAAGAAAGTGTTAAAACTTCAAGAAGAGGTTTCTCCCTAATTTTATCACAAATCTTCTGTAATAACAAATGTAAATATAAGTAAATAAAAAACCAAATGTAAGTAACCAAGAAATTATTTAATCTATACTAATATATAAAATCCTTAAGTGACTGACATACTGATTAATCACGATCCTGCTCAAACCACTCAACGTAAGAAGCTCAATTTTGGCATACAGGTTGGTTCTAGGGTGTAGAGGTTGGATAAGAAGGGATTTTTCGAAATTCCAGTTCCAAGAGGGTGAAACCACCCCTCAAATATTACAATATTTTTTATTTAAAAAACGGTCAAGTTTCCGAAAAAACGCTTAAACACGTATATTTTATTTTGATTTTTTACATATTTTAAGATTTTTTAAAAATATATACAGGGTGTTTCGAAAAATCTGGATTTTTGGAAAACAGATTGCCTTTAGGGTGTAGAAGTTCGATAAGAAGGGATTTTTCGAAATTCGAATTCTAAGGGGGTGAAACTATCGCTCAAATATTAAAATATTTTTTATTTAAAAACCGGTGAGTTTTTCGGAAAAACTCTTAAACACGTATATTTTGTTTTGTTGTTTTACATATTTTAAGATTTTTTATAAATTTATACAGGGTGTTTCATAAAATATGACCACTGAGTAATCACGATTCTGCTTAAACTGCTTGACGTTTAAAGCTGATTTTTGGTAAACGGATTGACTGTGGGGTGTAGAGGTTCGATAAGGAGGGGTTTCTCGAATCTCAAATTTCAAGAGGGTGAAAACGCCCCTCAAACAGGGACGCGCCGTCCATATGGGCAAGGTCGTGCGGCACACGACGGCGGCAAAGCCCTAAAGGCGCCTGCGGTAACTGACTTTAAAAAATAATAAAACCATTTTTTGGAGCTTATCAACAAATTAACATAAAATTTAAGTAATACTTTTATCTATGAACGCCAGTGGTGAAAATATATTATCCACCAATGTCGAGCGCCGCGCCACTGGTCATTGGAAATTTTGGCTTAATATTATAATATTGGAGAAACGCGCCTACCCTTATTTCGCACGACGGCGCCGAAAATACTTGGCGCGTCCCTGCCCTCAAATATTACAATATTTGTTATTTAAAAAAAGGTTAGTCTTTCGGAAAAACGCTTGGACAAGCATAATTTATTTGGTTTTTTTGAAATTTTTTAAAAAATCATACAGAGTGTTCCAAAAAGTTGGCTAATTTCTTAACCACGATTCTGCTTAAACTGCTTGACGTAAAAAGCTTATTTTTGGCAAACGGATTTTTCGAAAGTCAAATTCCAACGAGATGAAACTACCCCTCAAATATTACCAAGTTGTATAATAATATCGCCATATTGTTTATCTCATGCTGACATAAATGTGAAAAAATTTTATCCAGTTTGTATGTTAATGGAAATTCTTGCTTTGCATTATCATCACCATTACAAATGATTAATTCGACGCTAACGAAGTCGCTGGTACACACTAGTTTATTTATAAAAACTAATAACAATTTTGGAAATAGATAAAATTTAATATACACACCAGAAACTTTTATCAATGTTATCAACTTGTTAACTTAGAACATAGAACTACGTATTTTTGGAATCATTGGACACAATATTTAACTCTATAAAAAGTACTTCGTTTGTCCGCTAGAGTGAATCAAACTTTAAAAAAATAAACACATTTTTTCAGATATTTTAAGAACCGTTATTCTAATCACATTTGAATGAGATTTTGGGTATGCTAAGCGCTGTTACATTTGACTTTCACAAAAATCAAGATAAAGTACAGGAAGGGTCAAAACTACCACCACCCCTACATAAATTTTAGTATAAATGTTTTCCAACTCAGATTATCTTTTCGTAAAATGGTCCCTATCTACTATTCACTACATTTTTGTCTCTTGTAAAAAACGCCACATCGCATAATTTTTTAAACTTTTTTTTTTGAGAACTGATTTTTCCAAAGCAGAATCTTTTCATGAAGCTTATTGTCAAATATAATTTGTGATACTAGCATAAAATTAATTTTCCTAATTTATAGTGCAGAAAATTTAAATTAATGTGAATTTATAAACACACAAATATGCAAATGTGGGTAACGTAGGCGGTGGCAACGTTGCAAGACAAATACACCCCCAAGAAATTTTAAGAGAATGAATCTGTGATACTAAAAAGTTTTTTTCTTGAGATTTCTCGGAAATCTGTCACGAAAAATATAAAATTTGCTTAACTACCACATAAAAAACTTGCATTTATTTAGGAAATATCCTTTATTAACTCTGAAAATATACAGGGTGGTCCGAACTGTATTCCGGAAACTTCGGCGGCATATTCTGCAGATAAAAATGAGTAAAAAAGTTCGTATAAATGTATGTTCTAAAACGCTTAGTTTCGGAGATACAGGATGTAGAAGTTTCATTTTTATTTCGATTTTTTTCAAATAATTTCTGCAGCAACGTCAATATTTGGATGAAAATTGGTGTCTGGGAATTTTTTGACATGAGAAATTTGATTTTGATGTCAATATGACTCCTACTGGTAGAGAGCGCTACCTACATATTTTTAGCTGGTCTGAAGAGTAACAACTTTTCGTCCGTACCTGTATAAAACTACTGCGTAAAAAATATTTATTTACGACGTTTTTTACGTAAAAAATGTCTCTTGGTAAAAATCGATATCGAGTATTGGTTTTTGAGATATTTGGAATCGAAATTATCAATACCTGTCATCATTGACCTAAATTAAACATGTTGACTAAATAGTTCTTAGACTGAGATCATAAATTTGAAAGTGTTTTTACCAAAAGTTGAATAGAAACTGTTTTATCATTAATTTTTTTCCCTCGGTAGTTTTATACAGGTACGGACAAAAAGTTATTACGCTTCAAAACAGTTAAAACCTTTGTTAAAACACATGTAGGTGGCGCCCTCTACTAGTAGAAGTCATATTGACATCAAAATCAAATTTATCATGTCAAAAAAATCCTAGACACCAATTTTCATTCAAATATTGGCGTTACTTCAGAAATTATTTGGAAAAAATCTAAATAAAAATGAAACTTTTACACCCTCTGTATCTCTGAAACTAAGCATTTTAGGACATATATCTATACAAACTTTTTTACTAATTTTTATCTGCAGAGTTGCCTATATTTTATAATATTAAACATTTCCTTTTTTGAAAGAAAAATAAATTTGAATTACAGCCCTGTAGGCCAGTCATCTAAGACATTTAAAAAGGCAAACATCGCAAACGGGACTGTATCTACCATTTTTTAATATATTGTTAGGACCTATGGGACTAAGTTATGCCCAATTTTGCAACCCTCAAAACCCTGTGCTACTCCCGTGATACTTAAAAAACCTCAAAATTTGTGTACTTATTTCAGTTTTTTTGAAAAAACTATGTTAAGAAAGCATTTTTCAAATTTAATTATTCTATACTTTTATAAAGTCAACTAAATTTCCTACAATTTAAGCCCAACCCGAACGCTCTAAGCTAATTCGTTGTCGAAATACAGCCAATCAAATATCGGCTATTTTTTTGAAAAACTAAAAATGTATGAGTACGGTCACATTCCAAAGCACGTATCGCCGAAACTAATGGCTCTAGAGAAAAGTCATGAGGAATAAAGTAGTAGAGAATTTATTCAGCTTTAATTTGATGTAAAAAAATTCCCACTGGATAGACCTCGGTACCATTTTCTTTGATCTAAACTTGAGTCAGGAAGAAGTAGGAAATGCTGGCGAGAAGATGAACCTCGCGTTGAACTTCTATGGAGGGGATCAGGGATCAATAGCATGCGATACTTGGCATTCGTAAAATCGGCAGGAATAGCCAAAATAAACCTTGCCCGCCTGCCCCGAACTACGGAAGCTGCCAAATATCATTTCTGGAGAATCTACCACCAGGTCTAAAAATGGTTGGGGGTCGAGAAAAATCTATCCGACTGGGGATGGACGGTGGTGTTGACTGGTGAGTCAAGAAGGTCTTATGCCAATAACTATGCGTGCAGAGCCCGCCCCTTAAAACCTGCTTAAGATGGTTGCTTGCAGATGCAAGCAAGGCTGCATAGGATCCTGCACTTGCAGAAAAGCAGGACTGAAGTGCTCCATCCTCTGTTCCTTTTGCCAAGGGCGAAGCTGCAGCAACGTTGCTCCCATCATCTTGGATGAGTAGGACGAGGAATTGGACGATTTAACATATGAGGACACACCTCCATTGTCAGAGAATGTCCTTCCTCCTCTTCCTCCCCCCTCTCCGACTGATCCGAAATTGATGGGGCCCGGTCCTTCTAAGAGGGCCAAGTAAAGTAGGGCTTTTGTATTATATTTTATAGTTTATACATATTATATTAATGTTGTTTATTTTTAATTACGTTTAATAACATATGTTTTCATGATACCCCCCAAACTCCGATATTTTACTATATTTTGGTTTTATCAAACCCATTCTTACATCAAATTAAAGCTAAATGAATTCTCTACAACTCTATTTCTTATGAGTTTTCTCTAGAGCCATTAGTTTAGCCGATACGTGCTTTGGAATGTGACCGTACTCATAAATTTTTAGTTTTTCAAAGAAATTGCCGATATTTGATTGGTTGTATTTGAACAACGAATTGGTCTAGAGGGTTCGGGTTGGGCTTAAATTGTAGGAAATTTAGTTGGCTTTATAAAAGTATAAAACAATTAAATTTGAAAAATGCTTTTTTAACGTAGTTTTTTCAAAAAAACTGAAATAAGTACCAAAATTTTGTTTTTTTTGAGTATCACGGGAGTAACACAGGGTTTTGAGGGTTGCAAAAATGGGCATAGTCTCATGGGTTCTAACAATATATAAAAAAATCGTAGATACAGTCCCGTTTGCGATGTGGGATGTCTTAAATGACTGGCCTATTGCATTGAATTTCATGTTTTTTATTTATGTCAAGCGTATATGAAGTATGAATAGATTCAGTTGTTTATTGATTAAATAACAAGATACTAATAAAAAAACATATGAAACAAAATGTAGACGTAATCAAGCCTTATCAGCGTTTTTGAAAGTTATCTTTATTGAAATACGAAATCAAAACTTATTAATAACATAAACAATACTAATATTGTTTATTGTTTACTAACTACATTATTTGCAACAAATTAAAAATAACTAATTACGTATATTATCAGTAGGTAATAAAATCTACTGCATAATTATTATTTTTTTTTGAAAATTTCCATGCACTTAAAATACAAAATAAAGGGACAAAAATCAAAATTCTCTATTGTAATTTTATCAGCGATTAATTTTAAAGTAATTAATTAGGTTATCTAATGAAAATATGTTTAAAATAGTTTTTAAAGTGTCCTGTATGATCACGTACATATCTCTCCTGCTAACAAATAATAGTTTATCAACCACTTAAATAAGTTATCTTTTTTATAAAGTCAAAGGTCTAAAACAAAATATGTTTGTGTTCTTGGCTTATTAGCATCCGTATGTAATTAAAAAGTATGTTTTTTTTTCTGTGATATATTGGAGGCACTGACTCTAGAAGTTTAAAAAAATATTTCTATCCTGCCGGTGCTGCCACCACCGGAGAATATCGTAAACAATCGATATATACAAATACACAGGTTTAAATAGCGAGTATACGAAAAATGTATTATTTAATTATTCTAAAAGTGTTAGGAAGTATAATTTGTGAAAATTCTAAAAATAAAAATAAAACGTAAATTATTATATATAATATTTTGATATCTTCAGAAGGTCTAACTTATTTTATAAGTTACTAGCGTGTACCAGCGACTTCGTTCGCGTCGAATTAATCATTTGTAATGGTGATGATAAAGCAAATCAAGAATTTCCATTAACATACAAACTAGATCAAATTTTCTCACATTATTTATGTCAGCACGAGAAAAAACAATATGGCGATATTATTATATAACTTGGTAATATTTGAGGGGTAGTTTCATCTCGTTGGAATTTGACTTTCGAAAAATCCGTTTGCCAAAAATAAGCTTTTTACGTCAAGCAGTTTAAGCAGAATCGTGGTTAAGAAATTACCCAACTTGGAACACCCTGTATGATTTTTTAAAAAAATTCAAAATATGTAAAAAAACCAAATAAATTATGCTTGTCCAAGACTAACCGTTTTTTAAATAACAAATATTGTAATAATATTTGAGGGGCGTTTTCACCCTCTTGAAATTTGATATTCGAGGAACCCTTCCTTATCGAACCTCTACACCCCACAGTCAATCCGTTTGCCAAAAATCAGCTTTAAACGTCAAGCAGTTTAAGCAGAATCGTGATTACTCAATGGTCATATTTTATGAAACACCCTGTATAAATCTATAAAAAATCTTAAAATATGTAAAACAACAAAACAAAATATGTTTAAGAGTTTTTCCGAACGTATCGAAAAACTCACCGGTTTTTAAATAAAAGTATTTTAATATTTGAGCGATAGTTTCACCCCCTTAGAATTCAAGTTTCGAAAAATCCCTTCTTATCGAATTTCTACACCCTAAAGGCAATCTGTTTTCCAAAAATCAGCTTTTTACGTCAAGCGCTTTAAGCAGGATCGTGATTAATCAATGACCAGATTTTTCGAAACACCCTGTATACATATTTAAAAAATCTTAAAATATGTAAAAAAACAAAATAAAATATACGTGTTTAAGCGTTTTTTCGGAAACTTGACCGTTTTTTAAATAAAAAATATTGTAATATTTGAGAGGTGGTTTCACCCTCTTGGAACTGGAATTTCGAAAAATCCCTTCTTATCGAACCTCTACACCCTAGAATCGACCTGTATGCCAAAATTGAGCTACTTACGTTGAGTGGTTTGAGCAGGATCGTGATTAATCAGTATGTCAGTCACTTAAGGTCATAACCTCGTGCTTGAGTTTTTTATAGTTTCAATAACAGCACTAGCAAAAAACCAAAATACTTAAATATTATGACAAAACCACGATATCAATATTATTTTAATGCGACCAACATGACGGTGGCGTCAATTATATATTGATAATTTCAGATTTTTTCCGTTGAAGCGCTGCGGTCGGAAATCAACTGAAATGCACCAAACCTAGAACTTAAAATACTAAATTTATGAGATATTAAAACATAGAATAGTTATAGAAAAAATTAGAATAAAAACGGCGTCAGCGATGGCTCTGAAATGAAAATCGCTGTCATTGTCAAATGTCATTGATCGTTATTTCCAAGCCAACTGGACGCCGGTTTTTTCGATCTTTATACCATACAGATGTGAAAAAAATGCATGACCGCAAAACAGCGAAGTCTTGCATGCTTGGTATTAGTCTTGGTCTTTCGGTAGTCTGGCATTGGTCGGTCTTGGTCTTGATCCTGCAGATTAAAAGCTAGTCTCATTTTTATTTAAATTGCAGATGACACTCCCTCCATTTGCCTTAGATCTGGCACCTGCCAGTGAAGAAACCAAAGCTATAGCTGTGAAAGAACTCAGAGAGACACCAGAGGTTGTCCAAAAAGCCATAGAGGAATTAAGAGTACTCTTAAAAAACGATCCTAGTATTTATTTCAAGGATACAGATGAGGTGCTCATTATGTACTTAAGGCCTGTGAAGTTTTACCCGGAAAGTGCTCACAAATTGGTAAGTAAATAAGAAATCTACGAGTTATATACATGTACAGGTAGGCTCGAATTCGGCGCTCATCATTAGGATTTCGGAAACCGTAAGAGATACAGGGGTGCGACTTTGTTCAAGTTAGCAACCGATCGTTTAGAAGCGATGTCGAAACCAGATCGATACTATGTTCATTGCAAAACTAGTGTCGCTCAAATGCTGCGAAATATGGTATCACTATCACACTCTTGCACACGTGTCTAGACTGTCGCCTCGCCACAAAGCGAGAAATCAGAATATCGCTACGAATCGATGTTGCTACTGAACATAGTGCATCAAGCTACAAATTACTTTGCTATCGCTTTGAAACATGAACAAAGTTGCACCCCTGGATCGGTTAAATGGAGGCAAAATTGCGCAATTTGATGCTCAATAAAATGCCCTATTGCATTTTGAAAAATTCCGAATACTTCCGAATATATTCGAAAAAAAAACGGAATTTTTAATTTTGTTTTCTATTGTTTCCTGGCTTTATTTGTTAAGATAATTTAAAATGAAAAACACATTTTCATGGCCACTTTTTCTGCTCTATAACTCCGTGTGATTAAATATTGACTCTGACGTTTCGGCTTCTGGCGACCATCATCAACTTAATTTTTTTAAATACGGACCTGATTTTTTTTCAATTTAATTAAATCCTTTCATCACTTTTAAAACACTATATATAGTCACTTTGATATTTGCCGACATTTCGTACAGAAAATTCCACCACCAGAATATTTTATGCAAAAAAAATAATAAAAAATAAAAATGCAATACGGCATTTTATTGAGCATCAAATTGCGCAACTTTGCCTCCATTTAGCCGATCCTGTATCTCTTACGGTTTCCGAAATCCCAATGATGAGCGTCGAATTCGAGCCACCCTGTACAGTTCATACCAAATAAACTTTTAGTCACGTGATTAAGCTTGACCGGCACAGCGTTGCCCACTCTTATATATTTTCTTTTAATCAAAATATTTTAGGAAACGAAAAGAAATTAATTATAGATATATAAACAATTATTATTTACATCAACAAAACTCACCTTCTTAACAGCACTTAAGGGACATAAAAACTACCGCTTTCCCATTCAAAATATTCTAATAAGCTTGCGATGAGTTTTTTACGGTTATTTAGCTATTACAGTTGAGGGTTGGAACCTTTATTTTTACTATAAACTTTTTTGAGTTTATAATCATCTGCTGATGATGCTAACATGGTTAGCGAAACGCGCGTCCAGTGTAAAAGTAAAAGTGTTTTGGTGTGTTGTGGTGATTTAGTGTTTTTATTTTGTTATTTAGCTATCTTGTATACTTTACCCTAAAAGAGTTTCTAAAAAGAACAATATGTTCGTCTGCACGGTCTGCTAGTAATTTTTTTAAGCTTAAAATATCACAACACAATTAATTTAAACTAAAAACCCGTATTACAAAACTACAGTGTCAAAACGAATGACAATGACAGGAAATAAATAAATAAATGTGGCAACATGGCATTTTTTACTCCAAAGCTACCACCTGAATCCCCAGCGGGCAATTTAAATACCAGTCAGTCAGCCCGGCGCCGAATATGTCCATGGTTGGCAACAATTAATTAATTGTACCCTAATTGGTATAGAATATGGTTATGGCATGTCCTGTTCATCGCTAAAAAAATAGAATCTTGCTTTATTCACAACCTTATTCACAACAAAAGTTACATTTTTTTATTTATTCATATTTTTTTCAATATATTTTATTGATGAGACATAAATTACAAGAGACAGACAGGATATATCATAACGTCACTGATTATTTTCCTATTCCTGTTTTTTTAAACAAAATTTAATATTGAACTTCGAACAGGAGATAATTGCGAATAATTCCTTTGTGATTCTTATCAAACTGATGCACGGTCTATGCTCCTTGAAAATATTTATTGTGGACGGACTTTAATAAGAAAAGATTACCTGTTCATGATAAAGTTCATTATATATTGGATTAAATTGGCAATAATCATATTATTGTAGCATGATACGGCATAAATATATATATATATATATATATATATATATATATATATATATATATATATATATATATATATATATATATATATATATATATATATATATATATATATATATGCGTCTATAATGGTTTCAAGTTTCATTAAACAATTTCTTGTTATTATGTTAATTTCGATGTATTTTCTATAGTTTTTACGAAGTAATTTAAATATAATGAGAATCACGATATTTTTCCTTCCCCCAGCATGAGAAATACCGTATGATCGAAATAAAAACGGCGTCCAGTTGGCTTGGAAATGAACATCTTTGCCTTTTCCCATATAATTTTACATATAAAATGATCAGTGGCGGACTAAGCCTGTCGGGGGCCCGGGGCGGCGAAGCTAAATGTGGCCCCCGGTCTGTTCAGATAATGATATACTTCTAATGCACATTTTGTAAAAATTGAATGACTTATGTATAATGGTTGATAAAATTGAAGTATTGATACAGGGTGTCCCAGGCTGAGCCTGCATTAGAAGTTTCTAGAGAACTACAATATCTAGATCCGAGATTTTGTGCATATCATTGTTTCACAACGAGATTTATCGACTAAAAATATTTTCAGTATGATGGCACTTTCGGAAGTACCGGAAGTTGACAGCAACTTTCTTATTTCAAATGGGTGGCCGCATTTTTTATTACATACTTAAATTCTCTGTAAAATTTTATGAATTTTGATATTAAACACTCTAACCTAACGTTAACCGTTTCTGAGAAAAAAATATTTACAATTTTTGGAGGAAAAAAACTGCCTGTCAAAAATATGTATATAGCCTAAACGTCAAATTTAGTGTTTGCGACAGCCACTGTACCATAAAGAGAAGACATGTGGCTATCTATATAAAAAATTAGATTGTCCGAATGTCATATAATAATGGCCGCAGCTGTCATGGAATTGAACGATTAAAAAATTATTATAAATCATATTTTTTTCAAATGGATCCACTTTTTATATTTACACCATTTAAAATAAGAAAGTTGCTGTCAAATTACGGTATTTTTGGAAGTGTCGCCATGTTGAAAATAATTTTAATCGATAGATCGATAGATAGTTGTAAAACAATAATGTGCAGAAAAACTTCGATCTAGATATTGTGGTTTTCTAAAAACTTCTAATGCATGCTCAGCCTGGGACACTCTGTATACTGTAATAATAATAATAAAAATCGATATAGATATAAATATGTTACTCATCAGCAGTGCCGTCTTTACGTAGGGACCTGATGGGCCCTGGCCCCAGGAATATTAAGGGCCCCAGCTCTAATAAGGCTGCAGAAAAACGATAACATCATTTTTTTAAAGCTTATAATAATATTTTTAAATTGAAAAATGAATGCAATTTGATGTAATAAAACAATGTTTGCATGTATTTAATGGCAACTTACGATGACAAAGTGATGAAAATACCGGTTCCACATATGAGCAGCGTTACTTTCGCTACCGTTCCAGGGAAATACCGCGACAAAATATCGCGATTTTGTAAGTCCTTCAAGATCCGTGGGGGCCCAAGGGAGGGGCCCCTTCGCTGTCTCAGGCCCGTGGCCCCCGCTATACTAAAGACTTCACTGCTCATCATCGGTAAAGAGCTAGAATACAAGTTATGCTGTGCATTGGTTGTTACTTATTTCGTTTTGAGCCATTTCTGACTCCAATTCAATCAGCAATCGACACGAAAGATAATTAAAAAATATTGACTCAAAACTGCCAACTAAAGAGACAGCTTTATGTATTTGTCAAATTACAAAGAAACCAACGCCAACCCAGCACAATATTTTTTCTACTCGTAATAAATTCCTTGAAATAATAATTTCTGAATATTTTTTAAAACGTAACTCGCTATGGAAAAAATATTGTTTTATACACGACGATAAAATTGCATTATCGTATCCCGAAATTAATTCACTCATCGCTCGTGAATTAATTTTTTCGGTCTACTATAAAATACCATTTTATCGTCTTGTATAAAAAATAACTATTATTCTATCGTTGATTGAGATTATGGAAGTTTAATATACAACATACAATAGTCGACGAGATAAAGAACAGACAACTCATATAAGACGGGCATGTCCATAGAATGGCAGAAATAAGAATCCCAAAGCAAATCATAAACTGGAAACCTACAGGAAGAAGAAAACCGGGTACCGAGAAGAAGTTGGCAGGAAGGGATTGGACACGTTTATGGAGCAAAGAGCTCTCGGAGACGGCGCATGAAGAGACAGACAGGCATGGAGATGGAGAGATGGCATCGGAAGACGTAGAACGTTTTAAACCGATTAATATATATATTCTATCGTTGACTCACCCTGTATATGTTGTCATCGACTGTAAAGACTATGTTAAATATTGTATTTTATTGTTCTAGATGAAAAGAATAGCAGACTTCAAAGAAAAACATAAAAATTTGTTGGACAATCTACTTCCTGAACAAGAAAAAGAAGCTTTTACCCAGTACGATGTTGTCAATGTGCTTAAAGATAGAGATGACAAAGGCAGAAGAGTTCTTATAGTACATTGCGGATGTAAGTGATATCTTACTAAGTATATTATTAAAAATTTTATATTTCCTATTGAAATATACAGGGCGTAAACATAGTAGCTTTAAAAAATTCTGGAGGCAGTTGTTTTGTATATTTTTCCAAAATTTATATTTTTTTTTATTTAATGATTCATTAACAACTTTAACAGAAAAGAATATTTCTATTTTTATATAGCCTAAAAGTCAACTTTACTGATTATCACAGCCACTGTGACATAAAGAGAAGACATGTGGCTATCTATTTTAAAAATTAAATTGTTCAAATGTCATATAATAATGGCGGTGGCTGCCATGGAATTGACGATTAAAAAATTATTTTAAATCATTTTTTTTCAAATGGAAATCCACTTTTTTTTTAATTTCACCAGTGAAAAGGTTTTCCAATTCGTTACTTTTTGAGCATACATGTTCCTATACCTAAAATAAATCGTTTTTAAATTATTTAAGATTTAGTTTGAAAACGTATATTTTTCTTGATTTTATCTAGCTTCCTTTGACATTAAGTGTCAAACAGACAATTTGTTTTCATCTATCAGAAAACAAATTATTTGAATTTCCTATACTTATAAATACTGCCTGCTAAGAGTTTAGAAGGTGTATTTATAAAAATATATTTCGTATTTTCGCTCTTGAGTGATATCTAATAGTTAATATTATTAATATTATACCGTATGACCGAAAAAAAACAGCGCAAAGTCGGCTGGGAAATGAACAAAGTGTCACAATATTACATAGCCAGATCTATTGTTTTACATCACTTGACGTTTAAAGTCAAAGACTACTGGTTAAAATCAAGAAAATAAATATACGCTTTAAAACTAAATCTTAAATAACTTAAAAACAATTTATTTTAGGTATACGAACATGTATAGTCAAAAAGTAACAAATTGAAAAGCCGTTTCACTAATGACATAAACATTTTTCTATTTGAAAAGCATTACCTCTTATTTTTTTAAATTTTATTTGTTTGCACCCTGTAGGTTGTAGGTATATGTAAAATACAAGTATTTCTTTGATCATACAGTATGATCGAAAAAAAAACACGGCGCCCAGTTCGGTTGGTAATGACCATCTATGACATTTCCCATATAATTTTACATATAAAATGAGAGCGACCTTCATTTCATAGCCATCACTGACGCCGTTTTTTTTTCGATCATACTGTGTTTTTCTATTACGTACATTTATAGCGATAGGTAATCAAAGTATACTCTATAGTAAAAATTGATATGATGTTTCTTTGATCATTGTCTTTTTCTTAGCAATCTGGGATCCATCTAAAGTAAACACAGACCAAATGTTTAGATTGTTCTATTTAATTCACGAAGCTGCTCTGTTAGAGGAAGAAACACAAATCAGAGGTGTAGTTGTCATTATGGATTTCGATGGTTTAGGAATGAAACAGGTAATCTTAAATAAAAGCTTAAAAATATTCTGCTTTATAAATTGAAGCGATTCTAGGATAATCACCCTGTATAAAAATATGTGTGTTTGATTTTAGATCAAGGCTCTGACACCAGCTTTCAGTATGAAACTTTTGGGCTTTATCCAGGATGCTATGCCCCTCAGACTGAAAGAAGTCCATATGGTGAAGCAACCTTTTATTTTCAAAATGGTGTGGGCTATTTTCAAACCATTCATTGGAGAAAAATTAGGGAAAAGGGTAAGCATTTTTGGTAGCGCTTATACGTAGTATCATAGAGATAAAGGATTATTCAACTTAAAAAATCAATCTGTCATTTTTAAGTCAAGTTAAAGACCGAAGAGGTGATTTTGTTTTGTTGTTTGATTTCCAAAAACGATTATCTAAACCATTCTTGAAGCTGAGAATTAAAAAATGTGATAAATCAAACCGAAGTCATATTTTGGCGCCCAACGTGGGGCACTATAATAAATAGTAATACATAGAAATTAGAAATATCACATAATTTTTTCATATTTCAGATACACTTCCACGGATCAAATATGTCATCTCTACACAAATTCATGGCTCCAACACACCTACCCAAAGACTACGGTGGTGTCCTTCCTGAAATCGACTACACAGGAAAGGAATGGTATCCCTGTATAGAAAGCCACGTAGATCACATCAAAATGTTGAACACCTTTGGATTGGTCAAGAAGTAATAAGCCAAAAACTAGGATTTAATAGAAAAATGTCAATTGTCAAGTTGTGTTGACACATTCTCTCTATTTATAAGTTTCAATCATAATTTTGTACAGTCCTAGAATAGATTTCCAGATAATTTTAAGTTTTTACATCAAATATTGTAAATTTTATCATGAAATAGGAATTCCAGATATTAACTGGCTTTGTTTTTAGTACCAGAGGAAGTTTTCAAAGAAAAAAGTACCAAGAAACAGTTTAATTTTTCTTGTTTCAAAATTGTCTGTCTTAAAGTGCTTTTTTATACATGTTTATAATTTTTTCTGATATTGAAACTATGAAAGCAATCTATTCTACCAGCTGTATGTAAATAATCTGTGCTATAGTTGTCTTCGATCCTTAATTATTACCTAGTTCCTATGACTGTGGTTAGATCATACCAAAACTAAATGTATTTTTATGTTCTCTATAATTTCTACAAAATCATTATGCATTTATTAGTTAATTTTGAACATACTTTAAGATTTTTTGTTTTAATATTTTAACTGTTCTTTGTTATTATAAATGTTTATATTTTTATATATCGACTTTTAGCGTTTTCTGAGATTCTTTGTTTATGTATGGATATGTATGTACGTTATTGATATAAAAATAGACTGTTCTTGTACCTGTTATGTGTGTATGAACTGATAAATAAAATGTTAAGTTTTTATAATAAATCTTTGTTCATTCCTTATTCTGATTTTAACCTTAACTCATCTTAAATACAACTAGAAACCATTACTACTACTACTACTGCCATTACTCGCTGACGAGTATTTGACACGCATCAGAAGATTATTATGCAAGGTGTTTTCTTTCATGAGCTTCTCTGAAAATCTCATTGCTTTGTTGCCTCTTTACTTTTTGGTTGTCGCTGTTAACTAAATTTACAATTCTTCTCCATTGCGTGTGCTGCTTCTTTCCACTCATTCTGCATGTTTATCCCCTTTAAGTTTTCGTGGAAAATATCTGTGTCTCTGTTGCAAATTGTTTAAAGCGTTGGTGTGTCGGCGATACGGCACCCAGGTTTCGCTTCCATATAACATGGTGGGGATTATTATTGCTCGGCACACTGCAAGTTTCTTTTTATACTCAAGTCATGATTGTAGAAAACCCTGTCTTTTAATTTTCAGAATGCTCTTGAGGTGCTGCTAATACTGTGTTGAATTTCAGAGTCGATATTGGCCTTTTCCGAAATCAAACTGCCGAGATAATTGAATTCTGCTACATATTCCAATAATTCTTCTCCGATTTTTATCGAATTATTGTGATCTTCCGGGAGAATGCACACGATTTTAGTTTTATCGATGTTCAGCTTAAGACCCAAAGCCTCGTATGCCCAGGTATATGTGTTCAACATTTCTTGTAATTGTTGTAACGTTTTTGCAACTAGAGTGCAGTCATCAGCGTATTGATGTTCTGTGATGAATTTTGTACGTGTTTTTGCCCTGAGTCTTTTTATGTTGAACAGACCGCCGTCGTATCTGTATCTAATCCCATGCAATCCTCTTTCCTGCAGTTTGCTGCCATGAATATGTTGAATAGGAGAGGCGCTAAGACACACCCCTGCCTAATTCCTGTATTTGTTAGGAAGGGATCGCCCGGTGATCCATGATGGTGACACTGTTAACTTGTTGTTAGTATGGTAGAATAACTAGAAAATACTTTTATTTGCAGTCAAAAAAATTGCAGACCAGTGTTACAGGCAATTTAGAATAATAATAATCTTCGGATTGTTACGGGGTCTTGGTTTTTAACAGGACAAAGTCTCCCCAATGAACACCTTAGTAGATTTAAGCTAAAAAACAACGGCGAATGTAGATTCTGGGCGGAAAATGGTGTAAATGGGGTAAATGGGCACTATTCTAGTGTACAGGATGGGTCAAATTCGACGCTTTTAAATGGAAACACCCTTTTCTATAGGAGATAGACGAAAACTAATATCGGTGTCTGGAGCTCAATTTTCATCAAAAACATGATGGTGAAATCCGCACATCAATATCTGTTACCGTTTCGGAGTTACGGGGTGTTTTTCAAAAATGTGCATTTTTAACAAATCCCTGTAACTTTTTTGCTATGGAAAATTTTGTATTTCTATGAAGACATTTCTAAAGCACCTTTTTACGTAGAATTTAATGGTTTAAGTATATTTTTTTTTAAATTAATAATTTAAGAGTTATCAACAGAAAAATTGATTTTTTATTTGGGACACCCTATATATTTTTAATTAACTGAAGATAATTTAAAATTACCTTTTCAAAAATATAATACACTTGATATTTTGTTATAATCCCGAATTTTTAAAAGCTCGCCACTTTTAACTAGTAGGCTTTGGACCCCTTATTGATGATATGCCTTTAATGGAACTCGAAAACATATTTTTCCAGCAAGACGACGCATCGCCTCTGAACGCTGAAGTTATCAGCAAATTTTTGCAGCCAATTTCAAGAATAATTGGATAGCTAACCAAGATCTCAGCCGTTGGCGGTCGAGGCCGCCTGACTTAGTACCCATAGATCTAATCCTATGGATATATTTGCGGAAGAATAAAGGTTCCTTATTCTTCCGTATAATCTAGACAAGAATTAAAAATACTTAGCAGTTATGAGAGGGTATCTTTCACCCCCACTGAGTTAATGAATACCGCGAGAAATGTTCAAAAACTGCCCCGTCTGCCCATTATAGAAGACGGTCGATATGTCGAACACCTGTAGCAAAATCTCATGTCTTGGTTTGCTACTTATTTTTATTGTTATTAGATATAGTTTAAATGTGTCGATGTTGGTTAAATATATTTTAAATTGTTATAAAATTCTGCATCTCTCATAGAAAATATTATTTTCGTTTTAATTGATGCTCACAGCTAGAACTTTTTTGCATTACAGCCGGTGCCGTTCAAAGCCTTATTTAAAGCGGGCGAATTTTTATATACTCTATATCTCGAAGAGGAATCGAGCAAAATATGAAGTGTAATATTTTTGGAAAGGTAATTTTAAATTCTTTTCAATAAAGTAAAAATATACAGGGTATTCCATATAAAAAATCAAATTTTCTGTAGATAATTATTAAATTGTTAATTTTAAAAAAATTATACTTAAACCATTAAATTCTACGTAAAAAGGGGCTTTGGAAATGTTTTCATAAAAATACAAAATTTTCAATAGCAAAAAAGTTACAGCGATTTGTTAAAAATGCATATTTTTGAAAAACACCCCGTAACTCCGAAACGGTAACAGATATCAATATGCGGTTTTCACTTGTTTTTGACAAAAATTGAGTTCCAGACACAGATATTAGTTTTCGTCTATCTCCTATAGAAAAGGGTGTTTCCATTTAAAAGCGTCGAATTTGGCCCACCCTGTACACCTCATCAACGACAACCATTCATGTCATAAACTTTGGTACAACTATTATCGGAGATGCAGAACTAACCTCTGTAAAACTCAAAAACTCAGATACTGGCTTTTGTCAAAACACTTAGACTATATGATGAGGTATAACTCAAGAAAGGGGGGCAACAATACATCTGATTAATCCGTCTCTTGTTCATTCTTACATTCTACTTAATGAAATGTAATTATTTAAATGAGATTATGTGATACAGAAACGGAATTTAAATAATGTTTTTAACATTACCTATACTCTCCCTTATATATATTTTTTTTTATTTTTTTTAATTAATATCAACAATGGCGAAATAAAAAAATCAAAAAGTCATAAATATACCTACTTGTTAGACAATAGATTTTATTAAACTTTCTAAACTGAAAAAATATGATTTCTGACGTGGTATATATTTCGTGGTGGGTAGGTACCTATTGTTTCCTGAGGTCAAAAGGTCATAAATCGTTTTATGCATTCAATTTGTGACCTATTTACTACCGGGTACTGAGTTTAGTTTCATAAGTGTTGTGATCGGTACGGTTTTGCGGTTTTTAGTTGCCAAAATTTGGATTATATCATTGAAAGGTATTTGTATTTATATTATCTATTATATAACACTGTGTAAATGACCATTTTTCAATTTAATATTTCTCTTTAAAGATCCTTCTACACGTAACATTTTCCTGTCAGTCTTTCCTGTTTAGTCAAAGTCAAAACGTATTAGTTAAAACCTGTTAAAACTGACGGTGTCATTTAGTTTTATCTATACTGAAAATATAAGTAAATTTTTCAAAAATATAACATGGATATATTTCAGCATCTTTAATAGCCCCCAATACATCAGAAATGTGGATTTAGCCTGCGGATAAAACCTTGCATTTATAGGGCGGACCTGGCCTGTCATCACAGCCCAAATCCGAAGACTTGATCTGCCATATTAGACTAAGACTCTATACAGACTAAATCCGCAGGCCAAGTCTTCAGGTGTATGGGGGCTATTAAGCGACTTAGTATTGTTGAATTGGAACTAAATTTTAAACTTTAATGCCGGGACCCCATTAGCCAACACGCCACGCCACGCCACGTTATGAAGGTCTGTCCGTATGTTTTTCCATTTAATTACATGTATTGTGTATATATATATATATATATATACACGTGTGTCGTCTGTCCCAGTGTCCCAGATCTAATGTGTACACTCTTTCCCACGTCGCGTGGCGTGAGGCCTAATGGGGTCCCCGCTTAATGGTTGTGGTCGTTTTTTTTTCTTAAAGTCATTAGATCATGGAAAACTTTTGATAAATTAAAAATATTCATATTTATGTTCTTAAGATTAAAAATAGATATTAATAGAAAAATCGCCATCTACGTAAGATCTTAATAAATATTTATTAATTTACTTAAATTTAAAAAAAACTATATGGTGGAAAATTTCGTTTTCTAAAAATATATCTGTATAATAACATTCGCAAGGTTTGGTCGGACAAAAACACTTATCGATAAAGAATAAACATAAAGATATATCTTTTGTACCAAAACAAGTAATGTGTCAATATAAAAATTATTAAGCCCCTTTTTCTTGTATTAAGTATTAACTATCTTAAAAAGTTCCTGATATCTCGTACTAGTAATTCTTAGTATCTTTATTTTATATAAACAATAATCTTGATTGTTTTTTATTACATATTAATTTATTTAAGCACGTTAAGGGGCCCATACATTATCAAACAAATTGCGCAACAAAACGATGCGCAACGTTGCGTTGCACAACTGCATCACCCATACACTTGGTAAAATTTTAATCAAACTTTTTATTAAAAGTTGTGCATTGTTCGAGAAACAAACGACGTCCCGCCAATAAAAAAAAAAACCGGCTCGCAACTAAAATAGTGCACACCGAAGCGCAACTCAAACATACACTACACAACCCGTTGCACAAAAGAATTCAAACATTCTTGAAACTTATCAAACAATTGCGCAACGCAACAAACAGGAAACAGGACCATACTTTGGAAACTTGGTGCTCAACAGTCTGTGTTGCGCAATTTGTTTGATAATGTATGGACAGTTTTATAAAAATACAATATGTTTGACACTCTCGCTTAATAAAAAATCGTATTTTAAAATTCAATCTAGAGTGCCATGGTTATATTAAAAACACTAATTCTTAATCAATGAGCCTTGGAAAAATAAATTTGAACGTCTAATGTTTTTAGTGTCTCATCCTGGCCAGTTAGAAAATGCTCAAATCGTATTTTTAATCATATCTCAATTTTTTCAAATGGAACAAGGGTGGCTCATTAGCATATTTGGAAAATGATTTTTTTTACGAATAATTTGGTACCATACACTTGTTATTTCGAGTCAAATTTTCGTTACGCACCGCAAACCATAATTTCAAATAAACCATATGCGAAAATGTCAAAAGTCGACAAATGAAAACTATTTTTCCAAGGCTCCTTGATTAAGAATTAGTGTTTTTAAATAGCACTCTAGATTGAATTTTAAAATACGATTTCTTATTAAGCGAGAATATCGAAAGTTGACATATGATATGTCATTCTATTCAGAATGTCAAATACCGAGGGTGCCATTTAAAAATCAAAAGTTTTAGTCATTTCCGGTGAAACAGGAAGTCACCGGAAACAATTGAATACGTCAATCAATCCTAATTTATGATATACTAACATACTAAATCTCGTTTTTTTAACTGAAAAAATAAAAAAGTTATAAATGTGTGAGCCACTTTTGAGACACATCCGGTATAGGGGATTCCGTGTAAAAAAATGAAACTATGACGTGCCACGACTTTATAACTGACCCTGTATATTTAAACTTATTACCCGCCAATAGAGATTTAAAAACCCTATAACTTTTATATTTAACTTTTTGCGGTACCTCGTATATTTTAATTAATAATCGACCGTTCCCATACATATCAGCGACCCTGTATAATAAAAAGTGTTATATTTTAAAAATATATTTTATATAAGTTGAAACTGAAAAAGTTTACTTACCTTATGGGGAAATAACTTTTTAAACTCCTGCGAGATATTAATGGTGGTTGCATAACAACTTCCATCGATTTTCAGCAGGAAACATTGTTGCCAAGTGCACGTTTTAGTCAGAGTTTTTATTAAAATCATATATCGGTAAATTTTGTAGAATCATAAAATATTGCACTGTAAGAAAATCTACAAAATAAAATAGTTATTTTTTGTAAAAACTGGTGCGTTAATCCAACGGAGACTACATACTTGTTAGCAGTGCAGTGATTTACTAATAAACAAATTGCCTAACGGACAAAAAATGCTTATGTTTCAGGAGGTATATATCTCCTCCCGTCGTTGGAAGCGAAAAAAAATACAAAGAACAAAGAAAAGACTATTTAAAATATTTAATTATAACTATACAAGAACACTTTAGATTTTTTTGCAAGATACGTCTATTAAAAACCATTGAATATTCTGCCCAATGAGGAGGATACATGACAGTGACAGTTGTGTTTGTCTCAGTCTTTGCCTGGAAACTTATATGGTGAAATTTTGATAAAATAATTTAGTACTCGTACTATAATTTTGAGAGGTTACTAGTTTATTTGGTTGCCTGGTTGCCTGTGATATGCATGTACAGGGTGTTTCCTAATTAATCTAAAAAATTAAAAATCATTAGAAAACGGCTTAAGGCGGGCTCTTAATAAGTATATTTATTTTTTTCTCGGCAACCGTTTGATGAAGAAGAAAAACTCAAAAGATCAATTTTGTTGAAAAAGGATGGCCAGACAAGAAAAAATATATTTCCTTTAAAAAAGCAGTAGTGTACCATTTATGTTAAGCAAAATATCGATTTTTTTTTAATTTTTAACACACTGTAGATCAGAAAGGAAGTACTTTAGACCTAATGGTTATATAAAAATTGTTTTAAGAAGACATGAGGAATCACACCACAATTTTTTAGACTAATTAGAAAAAACCCTGTATATTGTCAACTTGACAATGATTGTTGATAAATCAAAAAATACCTTTTCTGTGAAAAAAGCCCGATTTTCGCAGGAAAAATTTTGGTTTTTATTGAATTTGGGCCTGCGTCTGCAAATACCGGTATGTTTTTTAATATACTATCTATCTAAATTTTAAATATCATAGTCAGAAATAGTTTTATTATTTATTAACTGTAAAAATGGTATACTTATAAGTTTTGTCAAATATTGTGATTTACTTTCTACCTTGTAGTCAAAATTTATATTTAATAAACTGTAAAATATATATATTCTTATGTTTTATTAAAGTAACTCTGATATACTAATATATCAGTGTAACTTTAAAACTAAATCCTTTGAAATCAAATATAAACATAAAAAATATTTACAGCAGAAAAAGCAAAGGCGCTGAGTTAAAGGTAGTCTCTACTAAGAACACGGAGGGGCGCTTTGACCCAAAATTTTACTATTAAGTTTCATATCTATCTTAATAGAAGATTATTTTTTTTTATCTATGGTCTCAGTTGATTATGGTTTTATGTTCCGTTTCTACGGGTTTCCTGAAAGTTTTCTTATTACTGAACACGGTTCCTGAAAAATTCGGTTATAACTGTCACCAAACTAACCAGCCCGAGAAGGCTGTTTTTTTTTCTGGTTTTGTTTGTCAATCAATGTCATTTATGTGACAGAAATCAAACATATTGGAAGTTCGAGTGAAATTCTCATTTAATTTCTAAAATTTGTAGTAATATTTTGTATTTACATCCAAAAGCAATGGAGGTAGGCAGTAAAGGTAAATAAATTTCATTAACTAAATAGAATAACTTTTTAGGACCATTTAAACTTATCATGCAGCCCACGGGGGTGTCACTTGTATGGGAGAACAGGCAACAGTCAAATTTAAACGTGCCAGGATAAACGACAAAGAAAGCAACATCTGCCAGGCACTACTAGGTAGTTGTATCATAGTGCCTTATGCATGTTATTTACCTATTATATACTTATGTATTATCAGTAAATAGATGATAACATACTACTAAAATGTATTTTAATAGTATGTTTATCTTTCCAATTCACTAGTTATTTGCAAAATGTATTTTGAACTAATTTAAGTCATTAATTGATCATCATTCTTTTCCAGGTTCCGGGATATTCTTTTTCATTGTTAAAAATGTATATATATATTTCAATATTATTGTAATATAAATCGCAGTTTTAAAAAGTAAATGATATTGTTTACTAAATGTGTAATTTATTTACTATGATAAGTCTTTAATAATATCATTGATTTGCTGTGTAAAGTTAATAGACATATTTTTTAATACTTTAAATTATATTAAAGTAATAAAAAATATGTTATTAACTTTAAACAGTAAATCAATGATACTTTTAAAAATATTTTTTTTTAAATTTCCCCTCTTTTAAGCCCCGCCCCTCCAATTCCCCTCAATTTAGATAGTAGTGCAAGGGTGCAAGGCTACACCAGGTGGCGTCTGTTTCCATTTTTTAACATGAAGTTAGCATTTCTTTAATGTACCTATTCTCTGATGCAGCCATTGTTTCTTAAAGTCAGGAATATTTTAAAGAAAACATGAAAAACAAGACAACAAGTAATCGTGATTGTTTTGTAAGCCATAAAAATTTAAATATTGATTAGATTTGTTTATTTATTATTGATCTGTTTTAATATTGGACCTGCAAATCTTCACTTGAGTTGTCTAACGAGTTTAACAGTTTTTTAATAAAGCCCTTTTCAATATTAAACTCCATTGAAAAGAAGAAGCAAACGTAATAGCAGAGAATAGGTACATCAAAAATGCATAAAAGATAAATTTTATAAGAGGTATTGAAATTTAGAAAACGTCAACATTTGACGTTTCCAGTATTTTACCAAACCGTTCCGTAGCAAACTGATGTTTTTTAGGAACCGCTCATTACCGTAGTTTACCGGTCTGGTTCGCCTGGTTTTGCAATGGAATACAGCCTGTTGTCATAAATACTTTTTCCAACTTGATCTGGCAACATCGGTATCGCTCGCCCAGTTTCTTAGTTGCTTTTGTTTATGTGATATTTCCTGCAATATTGTTTGTTTAGAATATGTGAAAAAGCGGCTACAAAATTATGCAGTTTTTTTTATTAGATTGATTGTGAATCAAAATTTTGAAATACCGGTAAGATCCTAAACTTCTGTACCAATTTTTCAACAATTATTTTTTTGTTTATTTAACATAACCTTATCTGTTGCATTGTTTTTAAAACAATAATAATTATAAAACAACAGCAAAAAATATGACGTTAATCAAAATTAATAATAACTATTACATTCCTTTTATTATTAATTATAAAATTCTTGCATATTTTCATGATTTTTTTTTTCAATTTTCTCTGAATTTTGGAAAAATATAAACTGGATTAAAACAATTTTAGAAGAAACGAATTTTTTTACGTACAATATATTTTTATCAATGTCAATAATAAAAAAGTTTTCCCTCTTGTAAAGACAATCCGGGGACATACTGTAGGTAGATTTTCCAAATTGACTTTCGTTTATACTATATTTCCTCCCATTCGTTGTCAGACGTAAAAGAAACCATTAAGAAGAAAGGAAATATTATTTTAATAATATTCCCTTTCTTCTAAGTAATTTAATTAAGATTGCCTTATATATCTGTGCTTATATCTATCAAAAATAGTAGATAAAATAGTACTTGAACCGCAAGGGTAGATTAAATGATACTTTAACAGCGAGGATAGGTTAAAAACTTTATTTCTTCTCGCACGTTTTTTAATTGCTTCCATTTTTGAAAATTTTTGTATTCCTTTTCATAAGTTATTCGGGATTTAAATGGAAGTAGTTTGGATAATGCGTTTGTCGCCTCAGCCTGAATATCTGTTGGTAATTTACTTATTTCGTTTTGAGCCATTTCTGGCTCCAATTCAATCGGCAATCGACACGAAAGAGAATTAAAAAATATTGACTCAAAACTGACAACTAAAGAGACAGCTTTATTTATTTGTCAAATTACATAGAAACCAACGCCAACCCAGCACAATATTTTTTATACTCGTTATAAATTCCTTGAAATAATAATTTCTGATTTTTTTAGCAAATTAATTTTTTTTAAAATAAATTGAAATCGGGAGAATTGGAATTGCAATTTATTTTATTTTCTCCCAAAATTAATTCACTCGCGATTTCATCGTTCGCGAATTAATCTTTTCGGTCGACGATAAAATATCATTTTATCGTCTTGTATAAAAAATTACTATTAAACTATCGAAATACAACTATTCGTAATCGTATTATTAGAAATACGTCTATTATAAACCGTTGGCGTCCTGTTAAAATGACATTACATGAAGTCAAACATACATTTAACAATTACTACCTAATCGCATTTACTTAATGAGGTAAAACCTTTGGGTAAAACCAACAAGCTTAAAATTCATGTATATGATGGCAAATAAAAAATAATTAAATAATTACTTTGTCATATTTTAAATTGTTTTTAAAACATTTTCGATATATTTTTTTCGTTTAATTAAAATTAAATCATCAATATTATGAATCAGTTTGACTTTAATAATAGTTTTAACATAATTTTTATGCAAAAACTTGTTAACCCTGAATCATAATAATTCTAATATTTAAACATATTACATTCGTACATAAATTGGAAAAATTTTGCATTTTATTTAAATAAACGAAACATATTTAAAACGATTAAAAGTAAACTAAAGGCAATGTTAAAGCGGCTATAAATAATGCATTTAATTATAATTAGTAGAAAAAGGCGTTTAGTTTGGTAAATAAATATTTGCATACATTAAAGAAATTGTGAACCTTGATTCTTGAAATTATGTTCTTGAAAATTACCAGATTCCCAGAAAATGTCAAGTGTACCAAACGATTGAAAAAAAACGGCGTTACAGTGGCTTTTGAAATAACTTTCGACAGTGTTACAGCTCAAATCCGCATCATAAAGGATTTGAGTATGGAGCGATAATGCACGTGATCAACTTTGAGTGACAAGCGATGACGACAGCGCTGCCAGATTGTGGTGGATTTATGAGATGAGCCTTATTTTAAAATTGACAAACATCATATTTATTATATCATTTTTCAAAAAAATTTTTTCGCAAAATAAAACATTAAATCACCACAATACACCAAAACACTTTTACTTTTACACTGGACGCGCGTTTCGCTAACCATGTTAGCATCATCAGCAGATGATTATAAACTAAAGTACAATCTACAAGTTGAGCGTTTATATACTCGCCCAGTGGGCACCGAGTGGGCGTGGCAAAATCTAGCCAACCGAGTCAGAGCCAACTAAGCGTAACAGTTAAATTTCCGCCACTAGAGTAGTAGGAACAAAGAACTTGAAGGAATTGGACCGTTGACTCGGTTCATACTATCTTTACATTTATTAATTCTGATGCTTTCATATGCATCTAATTGCCTGTAATTTGAGACTTGTTTAATTAATTTTAAATTATTAAGATCTATACAATGTTGTTTATCAACAATATGTTCGGCAACGCAAGATTTATCCGGTGTACCGTATCTTATCTGAGCTAAATGTTCTTTAAATCTAGTTATTATTGATCTTCTTGTTTGCCCAACATATTTCTGATTACAATCTTTACAAGAAATTTCATAAATACCCGACCTTTCCAGTGGAGGTGTTTTATCCTTTGGATTACCTAATAATTGTTGTAATTTTTTATTAGCACTATACACAAGTTTATAATTTACATTCTTAAAAATTCCTTTTAGACCACGGGATAACTCTCTATCAAGCGGTATTGAAAAATATTTAGACGTATTGTTACGGATTCCGTGGGTCCACTATTTAAACTCATGATAAAATACTTAACGAATTTATTTGTCTCACTCTGTACACACAACTTATACTATGTACAACACAATTTATGCAACTACTATTACTCTAACGGTATTTCGCGGTATTATCAAACTTCAGACTATCTTCAGACTTCAGACTATCTTCAGACTGGTCCAACTGTCAAAGCGCGGGCCTTATATACCCCCTGGCGATGGTTTCTGTAATTTTCTAAAGAATTCTGTAATTTTCTTTTACTTTCTGGCGAATTCGCCAGGTTATGCAACCAGTAATACACCTTGACCTTAACATTTTCTTTTACTTTCTGGCGAATTCGCCAGTTATGCGACCAGTAATACACCTTGACCTTAACAGTATCTTTCTCCACTTGAAAAGTCGAATTTTCAGAAATCATTAACCTATACCTACGTTTTCTAATTAATTTATCAACTAGTGAAGGAGAATATCCATTACACTCAGCTATATTCCTAATGTAATCTCTTCCTATTTCATATATTTCGTTGGAAAGTGGGAAACTAAGTAATCTATGAACTAAGAAATTTAAACTAGACATTTTATGTTCAACACTATGATGTGATTCATTAGGAATATATCTGCGTGTGGTGGTATTTTTCCTATAGATATCAAATTCCAGGCAATTATTAGTATTTCTAATAACTAATACATCTAGAAATGGTAATCTGTCGTTGTTCTCAATTTCATGCGTAAATTTAATAGAAGGAAAACGATTATTTAACTTAGAAATAAAATTATCTATGGTGTCTAAATGTGTGTCAAGAACAGCAAAAATGTCATCCACATACCTAAACCATACTCTTGGAAAATACTCAAACTTATTCTTAGCCTCCACTTCAAACCTGCTCATGAATAAATTAGCCAAAAATGGAGACAATGGATTACCCATTGCTGTACCTTCCCGCTGTTCAAAAAAGTTGTTGTTAAATTGAAAGCAATTTTGTTTCGTACATAACGATGTAAGCTCAATATATTCAATCACAGTTTTGTTGTCGAGACCATTTGCGTTCAGTAATTCCTTCAAGTAGCCTAAAGTTTGTGGAATTGGAACACTTGGGAACAACGAAGATACATCAAAGAGACCAAAATTTCACCTTCATGCAATGTTATATATATATTTTATTTTTATTTTTCCAACCCTCAACTGTAATAGAGTTTTACGTTTTATTTTTAATTTAATAACTAATATTTACTGATTAATTGATTTATTGGTTTTATAGCTTTTACTTATTACATATTGGTAAAAACTAGTCCATTATGAAGATTATTATAAGCGTTATTATGGGTTATTTATTTAATTATTGATGTACAATCTTACAACGCCATAAGTGGCAATAACAAGTAAGATGGTGCTATTAATGCACAAACTAATAATCACAAAATTTAATAAAAACTAACTTTGAAAGTGGTATAATGTGCTTATCAATCTAACTTACTTTTCTGACTGCAGTCAAGGGTAATAAACAAAAAGGACCTTTATTGTCACGTTCTCGTTTAAAATATTAAAAAAAAAACAGGGAAGCTACAAGCTCTTTGCTTCGACTGTTTAAATGCTTCAGCATATTTTCAACACACAATTTCAAGAAATGCAATACAAAAACTCGAAAATTTAGCTCTTAAAAGAACTGTTTGTGCTTAAAAGTGCAATTTTTAAAAAAATACTATGAAAATGACGATGACAATGATGATTGATGACGTTCATCAGAAAATGTTTTACGATTACAATACATAAGTGTTTGTCAAAAATTTTTGATAGCGATTGCTATTTCAAATGCTACTCTGACGCCGTTTTTTATTAAAAATGTTATAATGAACTTTTTATTACCGGAACTTATTACCTTTAGTTGGCCAAATACCTACATTTTATATGCGTTTTATGTTTATCCTGCATGTGCAGATGCGTCAGTTACAATTTCTACGTAATAAACTTAATATTACAGAGCGTACTGACCCGCAATCCCACCACAGATGCCAGCAGAAGTCGATGTTGTATGAAACAGTTTATTGTTAATGGTATTCAAGAAGTAAAAGCCAGACAAGTCTGTGTCGCGTGCTAAATAGATGTTTTCTCTAAGTTTTCTTTATAATCTAGTGATTTTTTAAGGTAAAGTAAAAGAAATTAGTAAAGCTTTAAGTTTAATTTAATTTCATTGTGTATTTTACAAAGTTTTCTTTGTTTAATAATATTTACAATATTTATTACACTATGATTAGAAATTAACTAAATATTTACCGTACTAGAATATCAGCTATTATTATTAAAAAATTCAGAATGTATCAAGAATATTTCTCATTGATTTAGTTTCAACTTATAAAAAAAAGAAATTTCATTCTTAGATAACCACCAAACAAAATTGGTGGTTTGCTATATTTATATACAGTTTTATATATTTAAAAACAGTTTTTGCTATATTAAATGAAGGCTTTCTTATATCTAAATAATACATAACCAAGAAAGGCGTTCGAGATCTAACAATCAATTTTTTTACTATGTTAACTCTGATCGGTTGTGCCATACACATTGGCGTAACTACAGGGGTGCCCGGGGGATCTCCTCCCCCCCTGGTACTGCTGGGCCCTCCCAGAAAAATCGAGAAATCCTGAATTATGACTCTTGACTACGTATTAATTTTTACTTGCTTGTGATGCAGTAAAAATGACGTTTTCTAGTTTTGTTTAGTTAATATTATTTTGTTGTGTTCAAAAAATGTGTTAATTTTTATTTTTTAGAAAATTTGTAGATATTTAAGTAATCTACGGCAACACGGTTTGAAAACCAAGTCTATGAAATTTAGTGATAGAGAAATTCATGTAAACGTTTTATTCAAAAAATTTGTTTTCTAAAATTATTTTTTATTTAAAAAAAAACAAAAGCCATAGGCCCCCCTGGGCTCAACCCCAGGCCCCCCCTAGGCCCACTCCAGGATAAATTGCTAGTTACGCTAATGGCCATACATGCACAACCCTTTAAAGAGGTTCATGTATTGTGGGGGTACTTAACAGGGTGCAATATTTCTCCTCTCATGTTATAGGTATACCGGGTGCGTCTCAAAAGTGGCTCACCCCTATAACTTCTTTATTTCTTCAGATAAAAAACAAGGTTTGGTATGTTAGTATATATGACATAAATTAGGATTGATTGACGTATTCAATTGTTTTTGGTCACTTCCTGTTTCACCGGAAATTACTACAACTTTTGATTTTTAAATGGCAACCTCGGTATTTTTTTACTTTATTCAATAGAAAATGACATTCTGAATAGAATGACATATAACATGTCAACTTTTGACATTCTCGCTTAATAAAAACTCGTATTTTAAAGTTCAATCTAGATTGCCATGGCTATGTTAAAACACTAATTCTTAATCAAGGAGCCTGAGAAAAATAGATTTGATCGTCTAATGTTTTTAGTGTCTTGTCCTGGCCAGTTAGAAAATGCTGAAATCGTATTTTTAATCATATCTCATTTTTTTCAAATGGAACGAGGGTGGATCATTAGCATATTTGGAACAAGCATTTTTTTACGAATAATTTGATACCACACACTTGGTATTTCGAGTCAAATTTTCATTTCGAACCGCAGGTTATAATTTCAAATAAACCATATGCGAAAATGTCAAAAGTTGACATATGATATGTCATTCTATTCAGAGTGTTATTTTCTTTCGAATAAAGTAAAAAAATACCGAGGGTGCTATTTAAAAATCAAAAGTTGTAGTCATTTCCGGTGAAACAGGAAGTGACCGAAAACAAGTGAATACGTTAATCAATCTTAATTTATGTCATATACTAATATACCAAATCTCGTTTTTTTAACTAAAAAAAGAAAAAAGTTGTAGGGGTGAGCCATTTTTGAGACGCACTTATCTTGCTTGCTTGTGCACTACCATAGATAAAAGACTTATACTATTAAATAGATAGGCAACTTATAATATAATTCAATTTTATTATATAAGGGCGCCTCTGGTAGACGGAGGAAGAAATACTAATGGAAGAGAGGGGTGCGGGGAAGGGGGGTTGTTTTAGTTAATTTAAAATATATTTAGACATACATGTAAGAACACTTTGTGTGCTTTTAATTAGGTCGAACATATTATAAACGATAAATCAACTGAATTAAAAGCATACAAAGTGTTCTTATATGTCGGATATTAATTAAAAAATATATTAAAAATACTAGAAATAGTATATATTAAGTTGTTACAGTTATAATTTAATCTTTGGCAGTTTTCAGCAAATAGCAGGCAGTTTTACATAATTTTCCTCTCTTTGAAGTGAATTGGAAACGGCTAGGTATATAATTTTGGTGTAGGCAAGATTCCCAGTTTGTTTCCGTTTGGGACCTGAAATAATAAAAACAAATTAAATCAGATGTAAGCATCTGCTGATCATGCTAATATAAAACGCGCGTCCTTAATTCCTTACATGCACCGTAAAAAAATTAAATAACTGCTCTGCAAGTAGCATTTATTAGCAGTACTAATTTAAAAAATCTATAACTGTAAGTAGATATATTTAATTTACTTACCATTGTATCCTTCGGAAACCAGGTGTACAACAATTAAACTCCATGATAAAAAATAATTAAGAGTTATTACAAAACACAAATTGTCCCACCATTTTTTAAAAAACATTGTCTAAAACAGAATACTGGCAAAAATCTGAAGGAATTTAATTTTACAATAATTCGACAAATCAAAACGAAATCAAACCGTAAAATCACAACAAAAGCGTCTCTGAGTGACAGTTAAAAATCAAATTTTATTATTGTCAGATATTGACATTTGCATTGTTAATATTGACAGTTTTAATATTTTGCGCCTCTGCATCTTGGAGGAAAAACTATTTTTAATGAACTGTCATTTCCATTTAAGTTTCCCAGCCATGTGCACTACTACTCAAATGTTGAATTTTAGACAATTTTTGCAGTTGCAACATGTTTGAGTGATTACTAGATATTGACATTTGCTTATTTTCGTTTGTCAATGTCAAATGAGTGTTTCTAAAAACTAATATTTATATAAATAAAAACAAGGATGCAATTAGCATTGAACTAGAAGATATAATTTTAAGAAATGCCTTCGTATCTCCAAATTTACATATTACCAATAAAATACATATTTATATTATATGTTTTTTTGATTCTTTTCTTTGACATCTCAATATATATTTTATTTAATTTTTCCTTGACTTTGGTCAGGTAAACAATGAGAAAAACGTTTTTTTTAATTACATTGACAACACTTCAGTGTTTTGGTTTGGTTTGGTTTGGTTTGGCTTCAAAATCCATTTCAATGTGTATGTCTCTTTACAAAAATTATGACGACTATATCGATATGTTTATGTTATGTGTGTGTTGATACCAATATTGGATTATTTTCTTCACTAAGAATGAAAATGATAAAATTGTAAAAAGAAAACAATAAAATTCAAGTAATAAATTTTGATAAAGACCCTACCAGGTCAAAACGTCAATGTAATTTAAAAAAAAACGTTTTTCTCATTGTTTACCTGACCTAAAGCCAAGAAAAAATTAAATATAATTTATATTATATTAGACACTTTTACTTTGAACGAATCAGAATGAAATTACGGTATAATACTGCATCGATGGCTAGAAATGTTTACTAATTTAATTATTTGTATTGATTCAGGATATGTTCTGATAGTCAACTCATAGTGTGCCCATAGCGTTCTCATAGAATGAAATTACCTATAATTTTTACGAAATTGTCAATAATTCAAGATACCTATAAATAGATCTGTGTATAAATGCGATTTATTTTTATGTCATTGAACAAAAACAAAAATCACTTATAGAAAAAAAACTTTTACCATTGGCAGAAAGTGGCTTTTATTATTTAAATTTATCGTTAAGTATATCTTGCATAATTTATTGATTGATTTCTCTTTTAAAAAACAATACATTTGATCTGTGACAATCTTATAATCGATCGGTTTATAATAGAATTTTATATTACATAATATTTATGTATAATAGTAAAGGATTCCAAGAGAAGATTTTGGGATTTACTCGAGCTTATTAGGCAATACAATAGATTTTGGGATTTACTAAACTGCTTATTAGGCTACAATATAACTATTGTTCACATTACTTTAAATGCACTGTACTGTTTATGTACCCATTATACCGTATGCAGGTTTCTTTTTTAAATCACCGTTCTTTTCGTGATTAATTCACCATAAAGAACTTAAAATTCATTATTCGGTCCAAGGTTAAAGAAATCTATTTCTTCAGCGCTAATCGTTTTTTTGATGAAATTTCCGAAATGATTCGCATGTTGAATCTATAGAAACAGTTTGCAGCTGAACGTAATCATTGCAAGGCAGAGTTTTTATAACTATGTACTTGGTAAGATAGTATACAGGGTGTCCCAGAAATAAGTACAAGTATTTTAAGGGGTGGCAGATCTTCATAAAAGAAACATATTTTCTCTTTGTCGTTTTTCAAATAAGTCCAAAATAACGGAGTTATTTTACTTTGAAAATTTCCAAAAAAAAATATTTTTTGCTAAAATTTTGAGAATCGCTGGAACTTTTCTGGACTTTCTTTCTTGTAAATTTGATCTATTACCTATGTTACCATATTATCAAGAAATTATGTTTTTAACTAAAAAAAATCCAAAAAAATTTTCAAAAAATTCCGAATTTTCAATTTTTTTTTTCGTGAAAAAAACGTAATAGGCGTGTTTTTGGGGTTGAACTATACTACCAGTTAAAATACTTGCACTTATTTCTGGGACATTCTGTATATTAAATAACATTTTATTTAAAAATTTATACAATATACAACTTGTCTGGGATTCATTTGAATCACCTTGTGTGTTTCCAAGATATAATTAAAATATACACTAACATTTTTGGCATATTTTGTAATAAAAAAATTAGCGCCGGGAGGCACGTATAGAAAAGGCCCATACTAAAATATGTTAATAATCAATTATCTCAAAAACTTCGACTTTGACTGATATTGATGTTATTACAAATTTTGTTGCAAATATTATTCCCAATCTTAAATTGAAAACCGCGTTTCGCTAGCTACCCCAACTAGCAAATATAGTTCCCAGTCCTTTTTAAAATGTCACTGCCCCTAAAGTATAGTTCCTAGGCCCACTCTGCCACTTAAAATGTTATTCTATAAGGAATAGTCACTTTGAAGTATATTTCGAGAGTGACGGGTTAGTGTCTACCTACCATAAAAGTGGAAAATAAACACCCCGATTGCAAGTCGGAAACATGTAATTTAAAGAAGTGGCTGGAACTACCCGAATCTTCGAATATGACACCATAAAAGACCAAAAACTTTATAGTAACTTTTCAAAGTAGGGCTTACTAACAAGTGCTACCATAATGCCTGCATTAAGTTTTTGTTACTTTATAGTAACAATTTAAGTTACGGGGTAGTCGCGGCCACGACACCTAGTTTCTTCTAATTTATAGTAGCATTGAAAGTAGCAAAATGGCTACTGCTACCTTCCTAGGTCACTATAAAGTAGCCGTCGCTCATCCATTGCCAATAAAAAGTCACGGTGGTCAAAAACGGCTACTTTATAGTGACCGTAACTTAATATACCCTAATAAATGTAATTGCCTCAAATTGCATCGTGTGCTGCTCTGTTTTAGTGTTTTCTTTTACTTGCTTTTAAGCTTTATTAAAATTTTGTAAATTCCCTAAGGTGAATAAAAAGAAATTTAGATATTCTAGTACTTTCTACCGAAAAATTAAACACAAGGAATTACTGCGAGTCGATGCATCAACATCAGAAACAAAAACTACATCTTTCTTTAATCCTACTGATGAACATCATAAATCAGGTAGTGACTGAGACATTTTTGAAGCTGTTTCTGTAGATGAGTGTAGTGTTAGTTTATCTGAAACTGAATCTCAGAGGAGAACTAATTTGAGAACCTTAAAATACTCTATACCTCATGTAGCTCTGAATAAGATAGAAACACTAATAATAGAAAATGTACAATAAGTAAAAAATAACTTCAAAGGGCAAGGCGGAACGTTATAGTGGCACCAATGGAATGTATAGTCTCCACCGCCGCGATCGGTATAGCATAACGCTCTAATTAAGTGGCAATTTGGTAGCGCAGGGAACTTTCTTGGAAAAAATAACTTTATAGTTCCAAAGAATCGTTGACCATGTAGTTCCAAAAAAGTTATTGTTTCTATAAAGTCGCCTTTGGATAGCTACAATTGTCACTTTATCAATCCGAAGATTTTAAAGGTCCAAACGGGTAGGGTTGGCCTAATATGTTATTGTTCCCGGTACTTTGTGGAAGCATATATGGAACTATAAAGTATTTTTCGGATTAAACGGCCATATTTTTTTCATGAATTTTTAAACGAACAGCCAAATGGCTCAAACATGAGTTTTTAAGCTAAATATACCTAGATTAAAGCTAGTTATTTAGTTATTTCTGACGGTGGGCTAATATTTTAAAGTTTGACCCCGGTTTCAAGCAAATTATTATTATTTTTTAATTACAAACATGAGTTTCTATTGCAAATAATATAATAATTTGAAATATTTTAAGAGGCGCTCGAAAATTTTGTTATATAAACCCACTATTTTATTCAGTAAAGTTGATTGCGTTCTGGAATTTACCTAAAAAAGGCGTTAAAATCGCACGGTAAATAACAAATAACGAAAAAATAATAATGGCTTCCATAATTATTTTCCATCATGACATTCATTTTTATGAAATGTGAAATTGCATGAAGAGGTCGCTGCGAATAAAGTTCAACAGTTTAACGAAAGTTCCACATGTCGGTGGATAACACTTGGCTGCCACGAACCCGCGAATAGGCAGCTCCGTAACAGATAAATGGCATTCACCAGTAGGCTACTTTATAGTAACACATCATAGTAACTCTTTTAGTGGCAACAACTACCCAAGGCACTACCCGGCTACTCAAAATCTTTCCCCATTTTGGTCGCAGTTACTTAGCAGCTACGAATATACGACGTAGCCGCCGATGGTCACCGCCCACTTTGTAGTGGCTTTGATAGTATCAGTTACGTATCTGCCACTATAAATTCTAGTTGGGACTGTAATTTTGGAGTTACGATTTTTTTAAATTTTTAACCCCCTCCCATACCTTCTTACCAAACCCCCATCCCCACCAAAAACTAATGGCCAGATTCTCGGGTGTCGTAGTATTTTTGTGCCAAATTTGGTTAAAATCGGTTATGCGGTTTTTGAGTTATCGTGTTACAGACGGACAGACAGACAGACACCATGAAAATATTTTGAATTTAAGTCATTTACGATAATAACTGATTTTGAGTGAAATTAAAAAAAACTTTTTTTTTGAGGATCTTAATAGCCTACCATACCTGTTGGTATGGTAGGCTAAAAATTAAATAACAATTCCTACTAAATATAAATGGAAAAAGACAGTAAAAATGCAATTAAATAGAAGAAAATTAATGAGAACAAAACAATTTCTGGAAAATTATCAACTTCCTTCCTTCTTTCACTTAATTATATGTTCTTGTTCTCAATAACCAGTTAATTTTCACTAAGTATTGTTTATATGACACAAAAATCCTATATTAATAGAAAAATATTGCCTGACAATTTTTGTTCCGAAAAAAAAGTGGAATTAACATTTTTTAGATACAGAAAACTAACAAAAATACTTAATTTTTAAGTGTTATGGCAAAAACGGTAATTTTTTTGATTCTGTTAATTTAAACTTGACCATTCTCAAGTATATTTTTATAAATTATTCCTTAAGTTTGAACAACTACTCAAAATACGGCTTGATAACATTGAGAATAATGTCTCAGTTATCCTTCAGGTATGTATACGTGCACATAAGCATAAAAATAAGGAAAATTACAATGAAAATAACCTTATATATCGAGTGGTTTGTTTATTTCTTCAAACTATTTTAGTTTTTGAAAATCGGAGAATAAATATTTTCAAGATTTTTTGACATAATGATTATATTGTTATTATTATCAATAAATAGATGAACTTAAATATTATCACAGAACATAGTTATGTTATCTGTAATAATTATATTATTTTCTTTTTACAAAAAATTAGTAAATAATTGTAATACTTAACAGCTAATTAAAAAAATAACTAATTAAACGAAAAAATGCACCAAAACAAAAATATATAATATAACATTGATGTACAGGGTGAGTCTTAAATAAGTGCAAATATTTTTAGAGTTGGTAGATCTCGATAAAAGCTTTGCAACATATTTTCCCTCTATCGTTTTTCAAACAAATCCAAAATATCTGAGTTATTTTACTTTGAAAATTAAAAAAAAAACATTTTTTGTTAAAATTTTGCAAACCACTTGATCTTTTCTGGATTTTCTTTCTTGAAATTTAATCTGCTACCGATGTTGCCATATTTCAACAAATTATGTTTTTTAACTCAAAACTAAAAAAACTTTCGAATTTTTTTTTCAAAAAATTGCATATTTTAAAAAAAAAATTGCGAAAAAAACTCATAATCGTTTTTCCGGGGTCGAAATATACTAGGTACCCGTAAAAATATTTGCACTTATTTAAGACTCACCTCGTATATATTTACTTGAGTAATAATTAATTAACTATTTATTTAAATCCTACTCCTAACTTGGATAAAAGTTTATTATGGGTATTAAAAAATAAATAAACAATTAATAAATTAAAAAATTAGTAATTTAATAAACATTTTAACAATTTTTTTGATCGTTGTAGATAATTAAAACTATTAGCTATAATTTTAGAAATGCACTATGTTATATTTTGTTTATAGTTTTATCAGGTGATATTTTTTTCATATAAAAACTAAAATCGTTTTAAATGACTATAATTGGTTTCAATTTTTAATTAGATTTATTTACTTATTTGGTATGTAGGTACATAAGATTAATTATTTATATAATTATCATATTTTTTGTATATAAGTTTAATGTGTAGTTATAAAGTTAAAATTAATGATCTATAGACATTAATACATGTATTTATACATAGTATCATTTTTTATGGTGAAATAATAAAAAAAAATAAAAAAATAAATAGACCTTAGGGGGCGGCCTAACTATTTCTTCTCTTAATATCTTCCGTTAGAGAGATGGTAGAATGTTGCGGTTAGCACCAACTTTTAGGGAATTTTCTGCTCTATTTAACTGTGTAAAAAGGTATAGCATGTTATTTAAAATTTTTATGCAAAAGGGTAATAACTGTTATGATGTCAAACAGCGCCCCCTAGCTACCACGGCAAATATATATTCAGACCAAATTTATACTGTAGTTTATTAAGGAAGGAAAACTCTTTTAAACGAGCCCTAGTTTCATTAATTCTGTTTAGCCAAATCAGAGTTTTCCTTATTTAAAACAAAAATAAGTTTCAAACTTCCCCCACCACTTTATTTTACGAGATAGATCAAAATATGTTATAATAAAAAAAATAACAAATTTTACGTTGATTACAACGGAAGGATGTAAAATACATGTTCACCTGCAATTTTTTGAGGAGATAAATTCCGTTTTCTGATTGGTCTTTACAGATACGCTCCCTACCGGACATTTTTCGAACTTGAAAATAATTTCCAGCCATTTCTCTTGGCCGATTTACTTACTTATTAGAATTTTTATCCCAAAGTTATACGATAAGGAGTCTCTGAGATACAGCCGGCGTCCATTCTTACTTGGCCACCCGGTACATTATGCAATTTTGTTGATATAAATGTATAAATTTAATATAGTTTTTTATTTATATTTTAGGCTAATATCTTAGAGATTGGGCACGATGACTATAAACGTTGAAGTGGACAACGATGGAGTGCCCTTCATCAGACTAGGAAAGCACGAATTGAGACTAGACGTTGAAGATATATCTGGCGAATATGAGGAAAGAGCTAGACGAGAATTAATGGAAACACCAGAAAGAGTACAAGAAGGCTTACAGAGATTTCGAGAGCTTATATTAGGTTAGTATCTATAAATAGGTTGTTCATGATGTTGCATGGTCCAGTCTTAGTCTTGGTCTTGATGCAAGAGACTTGCAAGTGTTATTTATTTTTTAATAGTTTTTTACTAGAGGCACTTTCTACATATATGAAAAAAATGCAGTGTCTTGTATGCTTTGTCTTGGTCTTGGTCTTCTTTTTCCAATAACAAGGGGCCGAAAACACTGCGCTCTCTGAGGCTTATTGTGTTTGTCCCCTTTCTATATCTGCACCCATTCTCCTATCCCTGTGCCCTGCACTAACTTATGCAGGTCCTTGATAGGATGATAGCATAGTTCTTCCGGTTAGCCTAGCTTTCCCAAATAATAAGTGTCGCTTGCAATCCAGAGTCTCGCAGTGACATATTATGTGCTCTGCTGTTTCAGGATCTTTATCGCAGAGTCTGCAGCAAAGATTTCCTTGATACAGGTAGAGCTTGTTCAGTTAACACTTGGCAGCCATGTGTCCAGTCAAGAGGCCTCTTGTAATCCGCACTTTATTCCTGCTAAGCGTTAGCAGTTCTTTTGCGGTTTTAGAGCTAGGTCCTTGGATAAAGGCCTTGCTGTGCCTGTGTCTCTGTCTGTTTTTCCAGTGGACATTCTCCTTTTCTCTGATCCAAAGTTTTAGTGCACTACGGACCATACATTTGGATATTCCCAGTTCTGGCTCTGGACCAAGATAGGATGCCGATGATCCTTACCTAGCTAGCTCATCGGCTTTTTCGTTGCCTTGGATGCCGCTGTGTGATGCCGGTACCCAGATTAATTTAATTCTGTTTCTTCGTGCCAGGGCTTCCAGTTTATCAAGTGCCGTCTGACTGACTGAGCATATATTGATGAGCTTACCTGAATAAGCACTTCTGTTGTTTTGTCTTACACATTGTAGAATGGCGTAGATTTCTGTCTGGAATACGGTTGAGTATTTACCCAAGGAAAAGGATAAGCTTACCCTTGGTCTTTCCCTAAAACTCCAGCTCCTGTTCCTTAAGCGGTCTTTGACCCGTCTCGTCTGTATAACAGGTGGTTTTGGTTTTGCTTTTTATGTAAGACCAAGACCAAGACCGCAAAACCAAGACCAGTATCGCTTACAAGACAGAATTCAATATATTTTTACACTCTCGTTTTTAAACAACAATAGTTTTGCAGACGGTCACCCGTCCAATCCCCACTTCGTGTAACATTGCTTAACTTCGGTGATAAAAAAAAACACAAAGAATAAGTTTATGTAATGTTTTTCTCTTTCAGCTGAAAAAGGACTGTCCTTACCTATAGACGACGATAAATTCCTATGCAAGTTCCTCAGACCCTTCAAATTCAACGCAGATCTCGCCTTCAAAGTCATGAAAAAGTTCTACAAATTCAAAGTGAAGTATCCCAGGTATGGAGGATTCAACGTTACACCGGAAGGAGTTAGGCATGTGTTTGACAACGAAGTTTTTGTAATGATGCCTACAAGGAGTAGGACGGGAGGCAGAATCATGATAGTCAATGCGGGAAGTAAGTATGTTTTCAAAATTATAAGTAAATAGGATATTACCATTAAAAATATATATGTTATCCGCAACTATCCGCAACACTTTTTTGAAGTACCTTGTATATTCTACAGTAATTTTACAACATTTACAACATTTTGCTCTAAAAAAAGTTAAAAACATATTTTGTAAAAGATGTGTCTCGAAACAAATTAAGGGTTAAAGGGAAAAACAACCAAAAGGGAAAAAACCGACGATGAATAAAATACGAAGAACCAAATACTATGTTAAAGATACAAAAATGTATTACTGTATGCGTTATTATTTGGCCATCGTTTGTTATATTCAAATACAATTTAATATATGTTTGGGTTCCTTTCACTATGATCCAACTCGCTTGCCTCAAAAAATTGATAGAAGGTGTCTCGCTCTCGTCTTGCTCTTGTCTCACTCTTATCTCGTTCTCGTCTCGTCAGGTCTGGACGCACCTTTAGTTTTCTGGAAATTCCCTTTCTTAAATAATCTTTATGTTCTTTAATTTGAAAATTTGAAGGTCTAGATGTTTCACCAATATAAAATTTATCACATTTACATGGTATTTTGTGTATTACATGATTTGGGGTTTGTATTTCGTTTAATGTTTTGTCAATAAAAGATGGTGGATAGTCGTTTTTTATTAATGTGTTTTTATGTAGTTTATATCTCTGTTTAGTGAATTATTGTCTGAACATATTATTTTTACCCTATCATATAAACTTATGATATAAACCAAACTAAACCAAATACCTTTTTTACACTTATACTGTGATTTGATTTGAAATTTAAGCTTTTTTTAATTCAATTAAATTTTTATATTTTTTGTTTGTCTGCAGTGGCGAAATACCCATAGGATTTTTGGCGAAATATATTTATATTTTTAAATGGGCGATTCTCCTAAAGTGATAAAAAAATCTTTAATTTATTTTAGGTAAATGGAATCCAAAAGTAGTTTCTTTAGAAGATATGTTCAGATCAGTAATGGTTGCAATAGAAATAGCTATGATGGAACCAAAGACGCAAGTTGGGGGAGTTAATGTAATTTTAAACTTGGAAGGATTATCCATATCACATGTGTATCAGTTTTCACCGTCAATGGCCAAACTCATTGCTGACTGGGTCCAAGTTAGTATAAGATCTATACAAGGTGTCCCAGAAATAAATGCAAGTATTTTAACTGGTAGCATAGTTCAACCCCAGAAACACGTCTATGAGGTTTTTTGGGGCGAAATTTTTTTTTTGAAAATTCTGGATTTTTGAAAATTCTGAAATTTTGGAATTTTTTTTAGTTTTTAGTTAAAAAACATAATTTCTTGATAATATGGCAACATAGGTAGTAGATTAAATTTAAAAGAAAGAAAATCCAGAAAAGATCCAGTGGTTCGCAAAATTTGAGCAGAAAATCATTTTTTTTGGAAATTCTCAAAAATAACTCCGTTATTTTGGACTTATTTGAAAAACAATAAAGAGTAAATATGTTTCTTTTATTGAGATTAAAATACTTGCCTCCCCTTAAAATACTTGCACTTATTTCTGGGACACCCTGTATATAAAAATAATAATGTTAACTTGTGTAATATATTGTATATAATGATATTTTTAGTTAAACAACAATCAAATATTTAATTTATTTATTTCTATTATAGGAATGTGCACCAGTTCGATTAAGAGGTCTGCATGTAGTAAACCAGCCCTACATTTTCAATATGGGTTATAGAATTTTCAAACCGTTTTTGGGAGAATATATTAAAAAAAGGGTAAGTTTTATTTTTCATTATGAACATTTTAAAAGATGATGAAATTGAGAAAACAATTTTTGCATCGAGTTGTTTAGTAAGTTTGTTTTACTCATAAAAAGACCTATTTTTATTATTTCTACCTAACCAAACTAACTTAGTGCCTGAAGTATTATCAGTAATTTTCTGCTGCACTGTATAAAGAATAATTTGTTGCTAAAACGTACAAAAATACAAAAATCTTGTACTATTTTTGTCAAAAAAATATGTTAAATTTTACAAAAATTAAATTAATATTACCTATTGGGCGTAGGCACAAATAGATGTTTTTTATACAAGACGATAAAATGGTATTTTATCGTCGACCGAAAAGATTAATTCACGAGCGATGAAATCGTCAGTTGTCAGTTTTGAGTCAATATTTTTTAATTCTCTTTCGTGCCGATTGCTGATTGAATTGGAGCCAGAAATGGCTCAAAATGAAATAAGTAAATTACCAACAGATATTCAGGCTGAGGCGACAAACGCCATATCCAAACTACTCCCATTTAAGTCCCGAATAACTTATGAAAAGGAATACAAAAATTTTCAAAAATGAAAGCAATTAAAAACGAGCGAGAAGAAATAAAGTTTTTAACCTATCCTCGCTGTTACTATCATTTTATCATTTAATCTACCCTTGCGGTTAAAGTACTATTTTATATACTATTTTTGATAGATATATAAGGCAATTTTAACAGTTGCTGTCTCTGATTGCTATGGAAAAAATGAACAAAATAGTTTTTCTTGCTTTTAGTTAAGTTTTCATGGCACAAACTACAAAAGTCTAACTGAACAGATAGGCGAAGATAGTTTACCAGAAAAATTTGGAGGGACAGCTGACATTCCCGATTATCCTGGATCGCAGTTCTCGAATATGCTATTCTATTATCAACAAAATTTCAAAGGTAAAATTTAACATTTTAATTAGGGATGGTATTTTTTCCGATATATCGATAACTATAGGTAGTTATCGATATTTACAATTATCGATACCTGTCTTTATTAATTATCGATAGGTAAAATCCATTATCGACCATCCCTAACGTTCTTCATCATAGGCTTACATTATTTTTTTGCAGATTATCATAATTTTGGATTTGTGGACGAACTGAGAGAAAAAATTGAAAGAAGTGATTCCAAAGACAGCATGAAGATAGACAAATCTTGAATAGGTTCTTTAAATCTCTGGAATATATTTGACATCACCAAATACGATTGATTATCTAATAAGTTATATGTTGTACTGTAGCTGAATAAATTATTTTATAATATTATCTAGCTTTAGCTCTCGACTTCGTGCGCGTAATTGCTAAATATACAGGGTGAGCAATAAAAAAAGTGCAATTAATTCAAGTCAAAAAATAAAAATGCAAAGATACTAGGTTATGATTTCGGCGGCATTTGATAATAAAGTTTAAAATACAGTATGATTAGATTATATCTAGACCTTTATTAAGAAATATCCGTCTGGAATGAAAAAAATGAGACACTTAATTTCGATCATATGGTATTTATTTGTTGTAAAAATCACTTTAACAAACAAGTTAAAAAAACAAACGGTATAAAACTAGTTACTTATATACACATACATTCTTATAAAAATCTATATCACAATAAATACGTGATTAACAATATAAAAAATAAACTTTATGCCACTAGTTGAGACCCTTACTATCCATAGAGTATAAACTAAAATTAAAATACGTATTTATGGTACAGTTGGCATGGTGATATCATTTGGCAATCTTCTTGGGGTAACCGTAGCTATTAATTGCTAAAAAAGAAAAAAATTATAATCAGTACAAAAAAAAAATGAAAAAAGTCAATATAGCGGTAACAGTACATACAATTAGGGTAGTTATGTTTTAATAAATGTATTTTAAAGGTGTTTGAAACACCATTACTTGTTTCAAACTTTCTTAAAATACTTGTTAAAAACTGTTTAAAATCTATCTAGTGTGTAGGTGTCTTTTTTCAATAAAAAATTAACTAAATTAATTTCAATAAAAAACTAAAATTCGAAAAAATGTTAGTGTCTCCTTCAAAAGCAAATATCTCCAAAAAAATAAAGCTATTGGATGAATTAAAAAAGAGACTATCGAGTAAAGATCCACTTAGATGATAAAGTGATTTTTAAATTCCTTGCTTTGTTAACGTACTCCACAGGGTGTTGCAAACATTCACCAACCTATCAATATTTTGTTTTGCCTCGTATAATTGACAGATAGAAAGTTTCATTTTTAATTTAAAAGGAGATACTAAAAAGTCAAATAATCTAACTACAAATTGCTTAAAAAATCATCCAAATCGGTACACTAGAACACAATACATAAAACTTTAAAAAACATGAAAATTTTAAGCAACTCTAATATTATAAGTAGGGAATGCAATACCGCAAATGTGGGATCCCTCCGAGATTCCGCGGGATCAAAGTTGCGGGATTTACAATTTTACACTCAAAACTTGTTAAAATTAAACAAACAGTTTTCAACAAAACTTTTTTTTAAATATAAGCTAACAGTAAATAAACATAAAATAGTAGTTAAACATGTTTATCGCTTCCGCAAATATTTCTTGTACAAAAATATTTCTTAATTTTCTTTTCTGTACAAACGAGTGGGAGGAGCGAAAGTCACAGATTAACATTTTTTTGACAAACAAAGCACGTGGCGATAAAAGAATATTTTTTAGATTTTGAGTATGGTATCTAGAAAAAAGAGGACTTTTTCAAAGCGTGAGAGAAAGAGGAGAGTGAGAGCAAAAAGAGGACTGTCCTCTGGAATAGAGGACGGTTGGCAACCCTACCCTACCTCAACCTAATATTGTTTAGAAAAAAAGTCGTTCAACTCATCAAATCATAGAAAAAATGTGCCAAACTCTGATAAAGCCGATCCAACACGATGCGGCAAATACCTATCTTGCAATGTTGGAAACATAAACATTTGCCACATCGTGTAGGAGACACACTTATCAATAAGAATATATTGTCGAAACTGTACCAAATGTTGGTTCTAACGTTGAAACCAACGTTGGACCCATCGTATAGGATCGACTTAACAGGATTAATAAAAAAAAACATGATACATAATCACTTAAATCTATTATTCTCCAATGAGTAGTTTAGTCAATTTTACTAGTCGTTTAGTATTTTAATGATGACTCGTACTCTAAAATTTTAAGAATAATAGCGTTGATTGAAAGAATTGGGAAGATACGCAACCTAATGGGCAAATTCGAGACAAGGTTGATTTGCTTTCCCCTTATGTCTCAAGTGGTGTACGGTGGCGCCTCTACTCGTTCTGCAGCCAACGCATAAAACACATATTTTCTCTAATTCAGCTTGCGAAGGCATATCAAAGACGGTGTGGAACTGAACGCGACAGTGTTGCCATATTAAAACGTGTAATATCTGTAATACGTTTGACGAAAAATACCTTTGAATAAAAAATCCACGTTTATGTATTGAAAATTTATTCGTGTTTAACAAAGAATAAAAAACAAAAATAAAAATTCTTTTATAGGTACTGAATATGTCGTATAATCGAAAAAAGTCGTTTAGTTTTAATGTAGTCGTTATGAAGATCACTGTTATTTCATATGTAAAATATAATGGTAAATGTCAATAGTCGTCATTTCCAAGCCAACTCTGACGCCTTTCTTTGTTTAATCATATAATATTATATTAAATTGTTTAATGATAGAAACTCCGTATTATTAACGTACTGTACCCAAAATCCATAAATCTACGGATTAATCCGTAGTTCTGGCAACACTGTCTCTGGCACCTACCCACTCTGTCGACTGAAAGCAGAACTACGGCACAGTATTCTTTATTCGCTGCGCTGTAAACGACAATCAGCGCACATCAGCGGCGCAGAGTAAAATAAATCTCGGACAGGTTGACTAACGGCAACGGTATCGCCAGCTACATCTCGGACAGGTTTTGTGCCACGAAATCGCCAATAATGTAGCGAATCTTCTTATTTCATCAATCAACAATACTAGTGGGTTCAAACAGGAAAGTAATCTCCCGACCTCTATAGCTCTGATTGTCGATACTCACCTTTATATTCTTCGTCGCATTTCTCCAGCAGTTCCAACCATTGGCTACCCTGGATTCTGACCATTTCCAAGGTACCGCCGTAACATGGTGGCAAGCAAGAAGGGTCCATGTATTGGTGGAGGGATTTGCGGTCAGTACCGTGGAAAATTATCCTGCTGCGCAGTTTTTCCTTGAGGAAGGGCTTGAATAGGGCGAACACTACTTTGAAAATGTAGGGCTGGTTGACTATGTGAATGTTCTTTATTCTTAGTGGTACGCTGTCCTGTAGAAAAGAAGATTGTTCCAAAGATCTTGTAGGCACACATTTTATGAAATATACCGGGTGTTTTAAAACAAATACGAAAAGCTTTAACCCCATAAGACGTATAAAAAAAATATACAGGGTGGTCCGAACTGTACTCCGCAAACTTGGGCAGCATATTCTGCAGATAAAAATAAGAAAAAAAGTTCGTATAAATGTATGTCCTAAAATGCTTAGCTTCTGAGATAGAGTGTGCAGAAGTTTTATTTTTATTTCGATTTTTTCCAAATAATTTCTAAAATATAACTGTCAATATTTCGATGAAAATTGGTGTCTGGGAGTTTTTTGACAGGAGCAATTTGGATATTGATGTCAATATGACTCACGTTTTGAAGAGTAATAACTTTTTGTCCGTACCTACATAAAACTACTGAGTGAAAAAATATACATTAGCGGGATTTTTTACGTAAAAAATGTCTCTTGGTAAAAACCGCTACGAGCAACCGATCTCAAGATATTTAGAATGGTAGTAGTCAATACATGTTATTATTGACAAAAAAAACATGTTGAGTGTTTAACTGAAATGATAAATTTGGGAACTTTTTATTTTTTAAATTAATCATAAATTTTTCTTCGAAATGATTTCCGTCTAATAACTATTTAGTCAACATGTTTATATCGATGATGACAGGTATTGATAATTTCAATTCCAAATATCTCAAAAACCGTTATTTTTAGCAATTTTTACCAAGAGATCTCTTTTAGGTAAAAAACATCGTAAATGTATATTTTTTGACTCAGTAGTTTTATACCGGTACAGACAAGAAGTTATTACTTTTCAAACCAGTTGAAAAATATGTAGGTGGTGCCCTCTACAAGTAGGAGTCATATTGACATCAAAATCAAATTTTTCATGTCAAAAAACTCCTAGACACCAATTTTCATCCAAATATTGACGTTACTTCAGAAATTATCTGGAAAAAAACGAAATAAAAATGAAACTTACATATACATACTACATACTGTATCTCGGAAACCAAGCAATTTAGGACATACATTTATACGAACTTTTTTACTTATTTTTAATTACAGAATATGTTGCCGAAGTTTCCGAAATACAGTTTGGACCACGTGTCTCCATTAGTTTCTGTGTGAAAACTAAAATCTTATTAAAATGACCCGATTCTTGCTATATCTCCGGAACTTAATAAAAGATTTTAAAAATGCCAACCACCTTAGAGGTTTAAATAAAATAAATATATGAAAAATACATGTTCTAGTTACCTGTAACCACTCTACAATTTTTCCCGCAAACGAGGGCGTGAATTTTGACACTTGCGATAAACTGAGACCGTCCATGTCAAAAATGACAATTGCTCCGCACACTTGGCTTTCCGGTTCCAACATGGCGGCTTCGAGGAACAGCACGCAGCCCTTGAATACTTCTTCTAGTGTTACTTCGCTAGTCTTCCATTTTTCTGCAAAGAAATATTAGTGTCTTAGTGGATTTATAGTTATTTTTTATACAAGACTGTAAAATGGTATTTTATCGTCGACCGAAAAGATTAAATTAATTTTAGTTTTTTAATTGCTTCCATTTTTTTTGTGTTTGTCGCCTCAGCCTGAATATTTGTTGGTAATTTACTTATTTCGTTTTGAGCCATTTCTGGCTCCAATTCAATCAGCAATCGATACGAAAGAGAATTAAAAAATATTGACTCAAAACTGACAACTAAGAGACAGCTTTATTTATTCGTCAAATTACATAAAAATCAATGCCATCCCAGCACAATATTTTTTCTACTCGTAATAAATTCCTTGAAATAATAGTTTCTGAATATTTTTTAAAACGTAACTCGCTATGGAAAAAAATATTGTTTTATACACGAAGATAAAATTGCAAAATTGTCTCCCTTAATTAGTCATGAAATCGCGAAATAGCACTGAAAAAAATAACTATGAACTGTTGATATTCCTGAATGTCTATATTCAAAAGTTCAAAGAAAAAGTAATGCTAGAGTCAAATTTCACCTAAAGCAGTTAAAAAAATACCACACTATTTGGACTTTATCTTGACATTGTGTTTTTTTTTAATAATTTTCATGAGCATCTACCTTTACCATCTCAGAGGCATTAAGTGGAAACACGTGTAAAGTAAAATTTACAATGTTTAAAGTATATTTATAACCTTGAATAATAAAATCGCGGTCATCTTGATTAATTAATAATAATATGAACCTTTTTGCACTTATAATCAGATAATTTTTGAAAAAAAAACACACACGAGTAAACGAAATAACTGCGACTGATACTTAAGCTCCCTTTACACATAACGGTTTACCTTAAGCCGCGTACAAACTTGAACGCGTCCCCAATGTGTGTTTCAATAAATTTCATTAATTTCATTCAAAATGCTTGGAAACAAATAGCAAAAAATTTGAAAAGGAAAATAGAACCCATATAAGGACACAAGCTAAAAACAACAAACAAGCTCTTTAAAACCGATTTAAAACAATGACCGCCTAAAGAACTGACGATATCATTCAGTTGTACAAGAAAACTGTCGCTTTACCTACACTGAAAAATATATACAGTATGTCTCCGGATTGTCTTTAAAGAGGAAACCCTTTTTTATTACTGACATTTTGAGAAAAATGCATTTTTTATAAAAATGTTTGCTTGTTCTAAAATGGTTAATCCCGTTTATACTTTTTTAAATTTTCATACCGTTTTAGAGAAAATTAAAAAAAAACATAAAAATATGGTTGAAGTCCTAAAAATCAAAAGGCGTTTCTATGGTAATATAAATTCAAGTTCATTCTTTAATAGATGGTTATTATTAATTTTGTTTAATGTCATATATTTTGCTGTTGCTAAAGTATCACCAACACTTTCTGATTAACTACTATTGTCATCCTTTTCGTAGCATTGAACTAAACAAATTTTGTGCTTCTTGAGCAATTTAAAACACCAAAAAATATGACGTTAATTAAAATTCTATCAATAACAATCTGTCAAAGAATCTAGTATAGTCTGTCCAACGAGAAGATCCTTGACAGTGATAGATCTGTCATTTTAATTTCAAAGTAGTTTATTTTATTTTACAAAAAAATAAAGTTGGTACAACTGGAACGCATAGCAGGAAATATTTAAAATTTGACTGACAAGTGATTACTTCAAAATATTGTGAAAAAAAACTCTATAAAACTGAAAAAATGTAATCGAGTTATTTTATTTAATCAAAACAATATGTGTTAATACAAAACAAACAAGAACAAGACACCATATACCAAAAAAAAAATAGAAGAAAGAACTATTTCTTACTTTCAAGCTTTATGAAACTTCCCGCATTTATGTTTATATTTATCAATATAACTTATATGTACAAATACAAATTTGTAATATTCCACAGGAATAAATAAAACAACATAAATAAAACAAACTATTTTATTAATAATAACACTTACCAAATTTTATATCCTTAAAGGTTGATTAATTAACTTTAATCTTAATTTTTTTTAAACCGGTACCTTTTGACATTATTTTTTTGCAGTACTAAAATCCATTATTTACCTATCGTGTGATGTCGATATTTTACAGCTACTCCAGTTTTTAGTATGTGTTTAGTATGGTCCTACCATATTCGAGATGCACTTATCTACGACGAGATGGTATACGAACTTTATTGATGGTAACTTGTAACTTTATTGGTGTATAAAACCATAGATAAAACTTTCTGCCTGGGTAGCAAATATTAACCATACACTGTGCTCTGGGTCTACAGTTAATTTTCACTCAATTTTTCCTCCACTTGACTTCAAAAGACACAAAACACAGGTAATAACACGAATCAAAATGCACCATCTTCCAAAACGCAGGGTATTTGACAAAAGTTGATACAAAATTATAACCTATAATTTAGGAAGACTTTGATAAGCGTCAAAAATCTAAAGGCGAGTTCATACGCATCGGCGTCCGCTTGTCGTTCATCGTTCCGCCAAACCAATAAAATTGATATACGATCTGTCATTTTTGAAATAAACCTGAGTAAACCAATAAATCTGGTTAAAAACAACAAGAGACGACGTATGACGGATTTATATTTAAACCCATCCATAGTTAACTTAAAAATTATTAGAAACTTTTTTTAGTAAAATAAATAGATTGGTATGGGACGTCATCTGTTTTTCTTCTGTCATCGTCTGTCGAAATCTTACCTGAGAAAAAAAACAGAGTATACATAACATTTATTAGTCTATGCAAAAAATTAAGACGAAATTAGATTGCCATAGAAACGCTTTTGATTTTTAGGACTTATTATATCAACCATATTTTCATATTTTTTTAGTTTTCTCTAAAACGGTTTCTTCTAAACAGTTTGTACTTACTTCCTAATTCTATGATTAAAATTCTACGGCCTAGTTGATCCCTGGTGGGTTGTACTATAAGAATATTTTGTTGGAAGATATTTTTCTCTCTACTGGGCATCAATCCATCGTAAGAATCGGAGTGTTTCCGCTTGAACCTGTAGTACCTTTTGATCTGAAATATTGTAAATAAATTTGAATTATATATCTTAGTTATACACACATCACACTTTATGCGTCGTTTACATTGAATGCTAAATTCGTAAAGGTTCTACGTAAAGAAAGTAAATCTTTGCTACAGACTCTGCTATCTGAAAAAGCAGAGGACATATTATTCTGTAAAGTAGACAGTTGTTCTCAAGTGCTATCTGAATAAGTTCAAACTGCATCAAGAAAGCCTTTTCTGCAGACTGTGCGATAAAGATTCTGAAACAGCAGAGTAAATATGTCACTGCGAGGCTCTAGTTCGCAAGCAATACTTATTTGGTAAAGCAAGACTAGAATAGGAGAAACTATGCTCCCGTCCTATCCAGGACTTGCATAGGCTGGTGCAGGACACAGGGATAACAGACTAGGTGAACACAAAAAAGCGAGGACAAAGACAATAGGATTTACAGGTCGCCATTGTTTTCGGCATAGGACAAAAAACTAAATTAGATTATTAGAATTAAATTTCTCATGTTTTTTTTATTTTTATTATTCTATTGATGTAAATATTATGTTAAAATCGTTATTTAACATAATGACTGGCTTTTTTAATGACATAAAAAGACTGGACTGCTTTTGCTTTGGTTTTTAAATGTCTACACATAATATTAATATTATGTGTAGACATTTAAAGCCATTTTACGAAAAAAAATCAGTCGTCGGTGGAGTTGGAAAATATTTCTACTAAAATTAATATAGGGGTAGGGGTAGTTTTTACCCTCCCTGTACTTTTTCTTGATTTTTGTGAATGTCAAATGTTAAAGCTCTTAGCAAAACACAGGCACCCCAAATCTTATTCAAATCGGAATATCGGTTCTTAAAATGTCTTAAATAATGTGTTTATTTTTTTACAGTATGATGCCCTCTAACGGACAAACGAAGCACTTTTGTATAGAGGTAAATTGTGTGTAACGAACTTATTTTGATTCCAAAAATACTCAGTAGTCCTATGTCTACGTAATATTGAGACACCCTGTAATATTTAATAAATAATTACTCACCAAATCTCTGGCACTTTCTGGATAAAACTTGGTAGGTCTTAAAAATCTAATGAGCCAAATGTCTTTTTCTAAGGGCACATGAAGGTCTGTCTCTTCTGTAACAATAAATAAGATTTTTTGTGTTAAACTATAATCCAAAAAAAATTGGTCAAGTGCGAGTCGGACTCGCGCGAAGGGTTCCGTACCATTCATTATCAATACAACATTAGACACTGTATTATTGTAAACTTTTTTTCCGATTTAGCTGAAATTTTGAATGCGCGTATAAGTAATTTAAAAAAAATGAAGAAACACATTAGTAAAAATTGTATAAATCAATAATAAATATGTAAAAAGTAAAAATAAATATGTAAAAATAAAAAACGACTAAAAAAAGTCGCCTTAACTAGGATTCGAACCTGCCTTACTACGGCTCTAACGTCATAGCAGCGTAAAGTCCTAACGCTTTAACCATGCCGCCACCGAGGTTTGAAAGATTCTATGTAAAATTCTTACTTAAAAGATAATGTTTAGTGAAAGTACTTTTTATTTATAAACATTTATTTAATTCTGTTTTTAGTATTTGTTCGTATAGCGGCAACATAGATACATTATACCCGGTGTTGCATCGTCGAGCGGGACATAGGAAATCCCATGTAAATTTTAATGCGGTCAATTATTGGCTTCCCTAATTATTTTAGAGAATAATTCTATTTGGGTTTATTGAAGAGCACTAAAATCCACATTCAAAAGAATAACTTTAGATATTTTTGATTAGCCGGTTTACGAGTTATCGCCGATTTCTTTTTAAATATTTCTCCTTTCTTATGGCCCTGTATTTACTTATGAGCACCAGTCAAGATAAAAGATAACTGTCAAATGAAGTTGTCATTTCAGAAATTTATCTATTTAGTGCTTTATTATTATTATTAAAAACTCATACCTACATCGAAAATATTAGCCATGAATTAGACTACCGAAGAAAAAGTATTGATGATTAAATGGTATTATCAAGGAAATAGTTATCAAAAGGTGTCGGACATGTTTGCTGCTCTGTATTCGAATAGACCGATACCTGGAAAATCTACAATCGCAAGGAATATCCAGAGATTTGAGACCAAAGGTACCCTAATAAATAACTGCAGATGTGAAGCAAAGCAGGTTGTACAAAGAGAAGATGCAAGAAATGATACCGACTTTAGGAAGTTTTATTGTGCGTGGAAGAGAACGATGGAAAGATCAGCACAAGGAAATTGAGGATGAAATAGGAATAGATCACACTACAACGTTTCGAATTTTGAAACGACATAAATACTATTCCTTCAAATATGAAAAGCACCAAGAGCTACGAGATGGGGACGAAATACGGCGGTAGGTGTTTTATTTTGATATGATAGAAAGAACAAACACGGATAGGGAAATTTTAAAAAAACATATGTTTCTGACTGACGAATGCACGTTTACCTTAAATAATGAACCCAATGTTCAAAATTATCGATATTGGAACAAAGAAAACCAACACAGGTTTGTCGAAACAAGGAAGCAATATCCACAGAAAGTAAATGTTTGGGAAATCATATTTTACCTGCTTTACATGATGTCGCTAGGGAAAATCAGGAAGTTTGGTACCAAATGGATGGCTGCCCGGCACATAATACCCTGGCTGTTCGGGAATATTTAGACAATAGTTTTAACAGAAACGTTATTGGCCTAAATCATACAGTTAATTGGCCAGCAAGGTCTCCTGATATTTCGCCAAATGATTTCTTTCTCTGGGGCCATTTAAAAAACAGGATATACAAGGATAAAAAATACCCAAATCTAGACGAGTTAAAAAATGCTATTTCTGCCGAATGCAATAGAATTTTAGTTTACCAACTAGCGAATGTAAGAAGATAATTTGATGATCGCCTGGGTTATTGTCTAGCAGTCGATGGAGGATTATTTGAACATCTTCTTAAATCCTAAAGTTCTAACAATTTAATAGTACCTAAATTAATAAGTTATTGAATATTGTAATAATACTATAATTAACCTTGTAATTGATTACTGTATTTTACTTTAATTCATATTAATTTGTATTTATAAATACATCTTTAAGATTTTCAATATAGGAATGAGTTTTCAATAATAATAAAGCACTAAATAGGTAAATTTCTGAAATGACAACTTCATTTGACACTTATCTCTTACCTTGACTGGTGCTCATAAGTAAATACAGGGCCATAAGAAAGGAGAAATATTTAAAAAGAAATCGGCGATAACTCGTAAACGAGCTAATCAAAAATATTTAAAGTTATTCTTTTGAATGTGGGTTTTAGTGCTCTTCAATAAACCTAAATAGAATTATTCTCTAAAATAATTAGGGAAGCCAATAACTGATCCCATTAAAATTTACATGGGATTTCCTATGTCCCGTCCGACGAAGCAACACCCGGTATGTAAAAATTTCAACTGTGTAGCTATAACGGTTCATAAGATAGACCTTTGTGACAGACGGACGGACGGACAGTCTTAGTAATATGGTTCCCGTTTTTTCCATTTGGGTACGGAACCCTAAAAAGTCAAAAACTAAAATGAAAAATTTCTGAGATTTTTTTCAAGAAAAAATTACCTTTTAAAAGTTCTCTAAGCTCTTTAACGGCTGCTTCTACTACTTCCGGTGTTTCCCTCAACTCTTTCCTAGCGATTTCTTTCACTTCCGGTTTCAATTCGTCCAGTTCTATTTGAAGTGTGTAGTTGTCGCCCAACTGGACCGTGGGCATTTCCTTCATGTCCGACAACAGAGTCTCTTTAACTGCAAAAAAGGAATGAAATTAATTAATATTTTCCAGCGTTAATGTCATTTTCCTAAATCATGATTTAAAAAAATCAGATTTTTTTTATTTTAATTCAAAACAATATTTAAATCAGATTTCTAAATGACTAGGACTTATTTCCAATTAAAGTCCTATCCTAAATGGCTAAATTTATACCCCAATACCGATAACATTAACAATTCAACGGGGCGTTGTGATTTTTCCACATCTGTCACCAATATATTCCGCAAAAAAAGTCGTTCGCTTCAGATCAAAAAGATTTTTTTTCAAACGTCTCAAAAATATTAATATTGGTCATTTTAACGCCTAGGCATAAAAGTAAAGCACTGTTACGCCTAAGCACAAAAATACAAAAATATATTATTAAACTGATATTAAGTGTCAAATTCAACGAGTGTACAAATTGTTGCTCGATTACTGTTTACATTATTTGCAATGTTTGAAATTGATTAAAAAAGTATTTGTAATGTTTAAAAAAAATAGTATGTTCTATTCGGAGTAAAAATCTACGTTTTGTACCTCCCTGTAACGTCGGAATAAATTTACGATCTCTTTACCATGGTCCTTCAAAGGTACAGCATCGTCGAAAAAAGTATAATTTTTATTCCTAATAAAGCAATACACTTTTGTTCGGAAATATTCTTAAGTCGGGAATGAAATTAGTATGTATTATCAGTATTATCTGATGTCAAAGTGTAAAGTACTTACTGCAGATCAAAATGTTGGTAGGAATTTGGAAACATACAACCGTTTCAAAAAAAATATAAAACAACATATTTTCTGACAACAATTGTAGATTCTCGGGAATGAAGATATTAGTATCTATATTAAAAGAACCTAGTTTTGCACTAAACTTTGCGAATTATAAGTTATAAGTATTCGAAAAGCGAATTTTAGTCACTTATACATAAATTTTAAAATAAATCCCTGCGTCTAGCGGTCTAAGGAATTCACACGAAATTAGTGGACACATTTTTATAACTTTTACTGTTATTTTTTGATTTATTATATAGTTTCAATAAAATTATTATTTTTATTTAAATCACATGATTAAAATTAAAAAAATCACTTGATTTAAATCACGATTTAAATCATGATTTAAATCATGCCAACCCTGATATTTTCCCTTATATCTCCTATTAATATTGTTATTGATGAAGTAAAATGATTGCAGGTGAATACTTTTTTGCTTGAAACTAATAATCAGGATAAATGAAACCTGGAGGACAGCAGTATTCTATACCGGGTGCGTCTCGAAAGTGGCTCACCCCTACAACTATTAAAATTTTTTTCAGATAAAAAACGAAATTTGGTATGTTAGTATACAACATAAATTAGGATTGATTGACGTATTCAATTGTTTTCGGTCACTTCCTGTTTCACCGGAAATGACTACAACTTTTGATTTTCAAATGGCACCCTCAGTATATTTCTACTGTATTCGATAGAAAATGATATACAGGGTGGTCCGAACTGTATTCCGGAAACTTCGGCAGCATATTCTGCAGATAAAAATAAGTAAAAAAGTTCGTATAAATGTATGTCTTAAAATGTTTAGTTTCGGAGATATAGGGTGTAGAAGTTTCATTTTTATTTCGATTTTTTCTAAATAATTTCTGAAGTAACGTCAATATCTGGATGAAAATTGGTGTCTGAGAGTTTTGTGATACGAGAAATTTGATTTTGATGTCAAAATGACTCCTATTTGTAGGGGGCGCCACCTACATGCGTTTTGACTGTTTTGAAGAGTAATAACTTTTCGACGGTACCTGTATAAAACTACTGACTAAAAAAATTTACATTTCCATGCCTTTTTACGTAAAAAATGTCTCTTGGTAAAAATCGCTACGAGCAACCGTTCTCAAGATATTTAAAATGGAAATAGTCAATACATGTCATTATTGACAAAAAATAAGCACACGCGTTGAATAGAGTTATTTGACTGAAATAATAAATGTTTATTTTTTTAAATTAATCATAAATTGTTCTGCGAAAAAATGATGATTAAACAGTTTCTGTTGAACTTTTGGCACAAAAAGATTTCAAATTTAAGATTTCAGTCTAATAACGATTTGGTCAACATGTCTAATTTGTCAATGCTGACAGGTATTGATAATTTCAATTTCAAATATCTCGAGAACCATTACTCGTAGCAATTTTTACCAAGAGACCTTTTTTATGTAAAAAAGTTGTAAATGTATATTTTTTTACTCAGTAGTTTTATACAGGTGTGGATGAAAAATCATTACTCTTCAAACCAGTTAAAGCATATGTAGGTGGCGCCCTCTACAAATAGGAGTCATATTGACATGAATATCAAATTCCTCATGTCCAAAAACTGCCAGACACCAATTTTCATCCAAATATTGACGTTACTTCTTAAATTATATGGAAAAAATCGAAATAAAAATGAAAGTTCTACACCCTGTATCTCCGAAACTAAGCATTTTAGGATATACATTTATACGAACTTTTTTACTTATTTTAGTCTGCAGAATATGCTGCAGAAGTTTCCGGACTACAATTCGGACCACCCTGTATAGGCTTGGTAAAAATTATCCAACAGAATAAGTAATAGTTATTTTTTATACAAGACGATAATGCAATTTTATCGTCGTGTATAAAACAATACTTTTTTTCCACAGCGAGTTAGGTACGTTTTAAAAAATATTCAGAAATTATTATTTCAAGGAATTTATTACGAGAAGAAAAAATATTGTGCTTGCTTGGCTTGGCGTTGGTTTCTATGTAATTGGACAAATAAATAAAGCTGTCACTTTAGTTGTCAGTTTTGAGTCAACATTTTTTAATTCTCTTTCGTGTCGATTGCTGATTGAATTGGAGTCAGAAATAGCTCAAAAAGAAATAAGTACATTACCAACAGATATTCAGGCTGAGGTGACAAACGCCATATCCAAACTACTTTCATTTAAATCCCGAATAACTTATGAAAAGGAATACAAAAATTTTCAAAAATTGAAGCAATTAAAAACACGCAAGAAGAAAATAAAGTTTTTAACCTATCCTCGCTGTTAAAATATCATTTAATCTACCCCTGCGGTTAAAGTACTATTTTATCTACTATTTTTGATAGATATAAGGCAATTTTAACAGTTGCTATGAAAAAAACAATATTAAATAAATTCAGGTGTATATTAACATAATTTATTTATTTTTAAATTAACTATTAATAACAACATTACAGGGCATTTCACTGTCTCAATTCCAAGAATAACTTATTATTAATGTCAATGTAATGATAAATAGTTTTTTTTATTTATATTTATATCGTCACGTCAGAAACAAATTAAAATTACATCGATCCAATGAGCTAATGAACGCGCGCTTATTTTGCAGATTATTTCATTGCCATTTAATAATAATTATGTCATTATAAGAAATTAGATCAAGAAGGTTAAAACAGATCCCTCTAATTACTTTAAATACTGGGTGTGTCTTAAATAAGTGCAAATATTTTCAGGGCTGGTAGATCTCGATAAAAGAATCATATTTTCTCTTTGCCGTTTTTCAAAAAAGTCCAAAATAACCGAGATATTCAAGTTTAAATTAAAAAAAAATGATTTACTTTAAAAAAATAACTCGTAATTAAGTTATTATTATTATTAAAATTAATAACTCGTAAAGTAAAATAACTTATTTTGGAATTACTTGAAAAACGGTAAAGAGAAAATATGTTGCTTAAATCGAGATCTACCAGCCCTGCAAATATTTGCACTTGTTTAAGACTCACTCTGTATATAATCTCCAATACAATCTACAATATATGAAAAAAGCTTTACATTAATGTTGCATGGTTTATAAAAGTAATCCTAAAAAATGTGTTGTATACAGGTAATGATAACGTTTAAGTTTTTTTCAAATTTCGATCTCCATTTTTCAGTATAAATTCAAATTTTTTTCTAGATATGTAAATTTTGACCCAAGACTCTCTTTTGCCGACCCTGTATACAATACATAAAAACACCCATTAATTATTTTTTCTAATCGGCCCACGTCACAAACTGTCTAACCGAAGACATACTAATTGCAGTTGCAGACAAGTGTTGTTATTGAACTGAAAAACAACATTATTAATAAATAATTTTGGACCTGTTGCGTAAATGCGAGCGTGTACTTGACCGTCATCGGTGTCATTTAGGTAGGCAATGATAAAATATTCCTTAGCGAGCGACCAACAGCTAGTTAATTGACGTTAATGACATTTCAATCCTTCGTTTGCTGAACCTGAGGCTTCATTGACATAGAAAGCTGCCATTAATAACGTATTTATAAGGGCAAGTTGTTTATTAATTGGTTTAATATACGTAAATTGTTGTAACATTCAATAAAATGCATTATAGTTACCTCAGAGACATAATATAAATATCGTTGACTGGTATTGATAAAAGAATATCTGAAAGTTATAGAAGATAATATTGAAAATTAATCAATAAAATGTGTCAGCTCAGGAGCTTGGAATAGCCACAAAAGGAAAATTCCACTCTTCCAACTCCCAGTGGATGACATACCAAGAATGCAGGGTGCAATGATTTAAATCAACTTGATTTAAATCAAAGGATTTTTTTTAATTTTAATTATGGATTTAAATAAAAAAAATCAGGCTCAACTTTCGTTTAGCTGAAATCTGTAATTACCACCATTATCCCTCCCGTATATACGCCCCTGATGTTAATACTGTTCTTTACTTTAATAGCTCAATTTTTCTATGTTATATCCATATATTATTCAAATTTTAAAACATGTATGTTGTTTAGATAAAATGAGTTCAAAAACAGCCCTAAAAGTGATAACTTAACGACTAAAAAAATACTGATATCTAGCTAACTTAAAAAAAGTAATTTGATCTTTTAAAATATCCTAAATCAGTTGAAAATCATCTAGTTAATCGAAAATGATAAAAAGGTCTGGAAATTTATCAACTCAAAACGACAGAGAGCAGTAAATTATAAATAAAATG